TAAAGATAAGGATAAAATTAGTGAAGTATAAGATTTTTCATGAAGGTCCAAAAGCTTAGCACAAAGATTATTATAATTATTGTCATCAACATTGGCATTTTACTAAGGTTAGCGGTAGAGGATTAATGGCGATAATCATATTTCATTTTCCATCAATTTGTGTGTTTGTGTTTTTCTAGTAATGTAAATATTTAACATGCATAAATTTTGATTCTTTATTGCTGCCACGGTAGACAAATGTATTTATAGTTTCATAGTCTTGTCAAATTTTTTCATTTGGAAACTTTATTTCAATATTTTCTGTCCTTCTCCTTTCGGTTTGTTATCCATAGTTTCGCCAACTTGTTTTCGCCACTCGCTTCAAATGTCGGCTCGTCCTCTTTTATCGATTCATAATGTCGCAACATCTGTGAATTTATGCTTTGGGGGCAGTTGTTATGTTGTTGTAGTTGCTATTATTTTTGATGTGATATAAACATATGTATATTCTTTATTAAGAAGCTTTTAAATTGAATGAGCAGCAAGACAGTTTTGGCAAAGACCTCAAGAAAATAATGGAAATCGAAAAAAGTTACTTGCAGCATATTTTAGGTTCACACCAGACATATATACCTACGAGTATGTGTATGTAAGTATTGCTGGAAATAAAATGAATATCTTGTTGTGAAAAATATTATGTTTCGAAATTCATGTTTTCTTTTCTTTTCGGAAATAAAGTAAGGCGAATTTATCAGTGTGAATTTACTGGAGCTGCGAGTTCAACTTTTTTCATTGCATTAATTTGCTTCAGTGTAAAGATTGTTAAAATGTTTGTTTATTTTTTGTATTTTGGTTTGCATTTTGCTTTTTATTTCTTTACATTTAATTTGAGTTTCTAATTGGAAAAGTTAAAATTTTCAAATTAGTTCTTTTTTTTTGTTTTTTTTTTTTCAAATAAAAAATATGGACCATTGCTGAGCTGAGCTGATACAGCTATTAATCAACGAACTTAGGTCAAAAGGCCCGTTGTGATAATCGCTATGAGGCTTTTATCTTCACCGAGCCATTTCGCGTGTTTCTTAGAAGCAACGACATTACCAATTCTTGTTGACGCTATCTTAGCGAGTCGTTCAAAGAAGTCTTAGTGTTCAATGGACTATTTCTATTCGGCCACAATCATTGAAATAACAACCTGCTTTCCCGTGAAGCCCCATTAAACGGTTATCTGTTATTACACCTATAGTTATGCTAATGGATAACTGGTCTAGAAAGATAACATCTGTAGCGTCCAATTTTGGCCAGAGCTGTCTGGTCACATTGCACGTGAGATCATTCAACCTTTGCCACGGCAAAGTATAGAGGCGATGAAGAAAGCCGTTGTCCATGAGTGGACCAAAATATCTGCAAGTCACATTCGGGCAGCTTGCGATTCATTTTAGGACAAAAATAAATTGTTTCCGAATTTTGAATTGGTTAAAACTAATTTTCCAAACTGAATTGATGGGATTTTTATTGGTTACACTTTCAGTGCCGAACCCTGTATAAATCTGTACGAAATGAAAAACCGGACTACCAGAATAAAAAAAAATCTTAGGTCAGTGAATTGTGTTTAGGCGTTGCCAGTGCCGCCAGATCTACTAAACTCTGAATTGGTTTGACCTACATCAAAAAATTATGGAAAAAAATTGTGTGCAGCTTCACTAATTGACCTTGGAAAAGAACCTTTCCGGATTGAAAAGTTTTTCTCATGTTAATTTAGACAAAGGTCTACTGTGCGGAACCACACTCCAAGTGAAAAAATAATAATTTCGAATAAAAGGGTATATAGATAGCTCCATACTCGCATTATATGTATAGATGGATATGTATGTATGTGAGCAAGCGTATGTGTTTTAATAGAAAGTTTATATTTAGAAATTATATGAATAGTCTGTCACTGAAAAATGAAATATTTCACTACTACTAATATGTATACTATAGCACACATACATATTTATATATATATCCCAAAAGTTTTTAGTTGTTTTTTTTTCTCGATAACTAAAACTAATTTTCATTGCCAATGATGCAATTTATTTTGCTTGCGTACCAAACTCACTTTTTGTTTTGTTTCAGTTTTTAAGAAATCTAAAGAATTTCATTGCTCATAAACCAAATAGTTCTACGCATTTAATATTCATTTTAACATGCAAATGAAAGAAGTCGAAAATATAGATATATATTTATAATAAATTTTATATTTTTCAAAATAAAACATATGCTTACATACAAAAATACATACATATACTCACATCAATCAAATATTATATGTGTTTAATTTAAAATAAATATTTAATTTTTTTGATTATTCTTTTCGCTTGCTTGTAAAAACTTTCAAGCCAAAATAGCGATCAGTAATAATAAAAATATTTATTTGCAGATTCCTGACAAATGTTTCATTTAACATGAAATTTTGTGAGAAATTCTAAGCATCTGTTCAGTATAATTTGGAAAACTATTATCTCCAAGAGCTTATAAATTAAAAAGCTTTGTAATCCCATCTAGTCCCTTCTAAAAAGGGCTGACCTTATTTACCGGCTCAGATTTTACTCCAAATTTTCTGCTATTTTTACATATTATCTGATTGTATAAAGCTTTGATAGTCACAGTGAGAGGGCCACAACAGGCTCAATTTATGTATATCCTGACCTACCTTTAAAGAGACTGGACCGAAAATGGCTTAAGTAGTTATAAAGTCCCAATTATTTCTGCTCATGAACTTTCAATTAAAAAAAAAGTGAACGTTTTTATTACAAAGTAAGAATCGTATCTGATCAAATTACCAATTTTAAGCTTTCACCAGCTACTAAGACCTTTAATATTCGAACAAGATAGCCCCGTAAGCCCGGTCTACCCGTCGTTCCACATATTTTGTCTGACAAGCCTTGATTCCGCTTTTTGGATTTCCTAGGCAAATATCTCTACATTAAATTTTAATTTTTGGTTTCCAATATAATAATATTGCAATGCTGTCTGTAAAGTTTACTGGTTATTAAAATGAGTTTGTTTATCTTTGATTTGCTCCTCGGAAAAAATTTGTATGTGCTATAAACTTTCGCTGGAAAAGAAAAACAGATTGTGTAAACAACACTACGTGTACGTATTAATACCCTGAAGTGAAAATGTAGGTTAGTATGAAAACGTTCTAGTTAAATACTAGTATTTGAAGGAGTTGGTCAAACTAGTTGGACACCAGTTTTCCAGTAACGGAAATAATATAATTTTCACTAGCACGCCATTCTCTTACCCTCATTTTTAATTTAAATTTTATTTTTCTTAAATTTTTTTTTTTCATTTTTATTTATATATTTATTGTATTTTACTTACAAAAATGAACTAGATGCCGCTGAAGCGATTTTCGGTCGGCTCCTCCTCGATTTTGTGGTTTTGCGTCTTGATGTTTTTGCAACGAAATGGTACGATCAAAATAAAAAAGTTATAGAAAATTAATTTAAATATAAATATAAGTTATATTTTCTATTTGTGACATGAAAATCAGCCATTCGGAGGCGGTTTTGTATAAACTGTAGGTTTGTGGGATTTGTCGAAATAACTATTCAGTGTAAAAAATGCCAACAGGACTCTAGTCAGCAACTGTTATTTTTGCTTGGAGGGTATACGAGTATAAGCTTAAAGATACACATTTACAACCATGTACATATACATACATATCTAATCATTCAAGGCAGACAAAGGTAAACAAACAGTGCCGATTACCTTCGATCGCGCTCTGACCTTGCCACGCTTTTCAAAAAATATATTTTTCTTATTCTTAATGCGATTTTAATTTATACACTTAAAAGTGAAATTGTGTGTATGTAACATATGTATAATGAATGTGTATCGTATACAAATGGATGTGTAAAAATTTTTAATAAGCGAAAGTGCCGAAAGACCGAAGATTTAACTCATATGAGATTTGCTTCTAGCGCGGGGCGTAAATATACGGCAGGCAGCTAGAGCGTTGTTTACAGAATTTGTAGGAGTATTTATTTTTTTAATTTCTTTTTTCTTTTTCCATGTGTAAGAAACTGTGAAATTAACAGACATTTCATTTATACATGCACATATGTACATATGTATGTGTGTGCTCATCATAAATTCATGCCCACGCATATCTCATTAATTTCGAAAGTCGCAAAAAATTTTGTTTTTGACTTTGTAGTTTTGTTTGTTTTTGTTGACTTTTCGATTATTTAAAAATTTTAATTTTGCAATAAATTCGAGAATATTCAGAAATGGCTTGTTAAATGAAATGTAACATTCTGTGACGAGAGGACGTTTCAAAAATTTATATTTTCTTTGCAAAACATAAAAGGTATAAGTAAAAGAAAGCATCATTGACTTCAAATAATGAGCTTTTAAATTGAAAATTTTTGAAATAACTTTTTGATGTAAATTTATAAATTTTTTTAAAATTGTACTTGAAAATAGATGGAAAAAAAATATAAAATATGTCCCTTTGAGATGATATTAGTAGACTTACCCCTCAAAGGAAACAAACTATCGTCACTTTTTATATAATTTTTAAATTATACAGAAATGTACTTCAGAACAATGATATTAAAAAAATGTTTTAATTAAAACTCTTATTAGCTGAGAACAAAATTTTTTTTCTCATATTACAGCTTTAAATATTTTGAACTATGAAGTTTTTCGAAATTTCAAAATTTTTTTTTCATTTTAATTTCATAATTTTATCCCTCCTTTCTGTCAATGCTCCGATATGCCTTTGAGGTTTCCAATATAAAAAACTGAGTGAAAAATTCAACACCAAAATATCCCATAAGTTTAATATTTTTGTTCATATCAAAATTTTCGCACGGAATACTACTTGCGATGCTTATCGACATTTGGGAGCAAAATTAAAAACCAAAAACCAAATTACTTTTTTGTATATTCGAGTATAGTAAAAAAGTATTAAAAATACTTTTTATGTAAATTTTCCCAAATCTATCGCTAGTAAATGAGAACACGGTTGGTTATTGATTTTTTTTTTGCGAAATTCGTTTTGGCGCTTGTTGTTGTGATCAGTATTGGCCGCAACGTTTTCCACTTTATTTAATTTCAATATTTTTTTTTACTGTTGTTTCCCCTGATTAACAATACGTCGTGCGTTAGAAATGTGAGTTATGAGATACATTTTCAAAGATTTATTATCATATATAAAATAGCTTAAGTGTAAACTTAAGGTACTAAGACTTGCTTTATTTCATCATTTTTTGTTGTTGTAGAATACAATTTACGCTTCACTTTACCTCTAATATTTTTGGCTAATATCATTTTTCTTTTGTTTTTACTTGTTTTGTTGTGATTTTAAAAATGTGTATATGTAGATATGTGAGTGTTTTTGTGTGTATTTGTTTAATATTTTTAATTTAACTTAGATATAAAAAATAAATTTTATAAATATAAAAATAATAATTTCATAAATTATACAAATTGAATAGTACAAAAATTTCAGCTTAACCAATGGGTAGTAGCAGTTGGTGTTGTTGTTGTTGCCATTACCGAAATATTGGTTTAAGGGCTGCCAATTTAGGTGTAATGTGCCCACAGCCTCCTTGTATCCACCTCGAATACTGTTTACTTGCCGAGCAAGATTTTACGGCTAGCGCCGATGTTTTGGCCAGATTGGTTGGCACCTTTGTTGGAGCCGGCTTGCAGACCAATGATACCTTGACCGGCGCGCAATTGTTCTTCGGAGAAGTCACGCTTGCACTCATCGGCAGGCTTGGGTCCGAGCCAAGGTCCCTGGAATTCGGGGTGTTTGTAGGTGGCACGGCCGAGGGCGAAGATGGTGTTGGTCACTTGAGCGATATCCTTCTTCTCCCACAGATCAACAGTTTGGAAGACATCCAAATCGGGTACACCGTATTCCTTCAATGCCTTCTGGAAGTTATTGATGTTCTCCATCATTTTGAATTGACCACCGGAGGTGTTGATCTTTGGCACGGCGTTGGGTGAAAGCTTGTTGATCAGTTGGCACAAGACCTGACCGTCCTTGAGATGATCCTCATAATCAACACCGGCGGGGAATTTGGAACCAAGAATAGCCTCAACCCATTCCTGAGCTTCTTTGTCCATTTCGGGATTGCGTTTGCCAGCAATCTAGATTTGGGAGAGAAAGAGAGAGAGAGAAGGGTTGCTTTTAGTAAACAGCTCACTTTGAATTTTTTCTTAAATTTTTGGTCTTTTCATAAACTGTTTAAATAATTTTCTTTAATTATTTTTACTCGGCCAGAACCATCTTCAAAACTAAATTCAAATAATTTTTCAAAAGCTTCAGAGCTTTTTACATTGATTTTTGTCTAAATTTTCATAAAAATTTTCTAAAAATGAAATACTTCAATTAGTTTTGGAAATAACTAAACAATATTGCATTGATGCTCATTATTTCTTAGATTGAAATTATTTTAAATAACTTTTTGAAATCATGATTTTTTTTCAAATACAGATATTTTAAATTATTTCATTATTTCTCAATTTAAAATTTTTTTTTCTCGCTCGTGGGCTTCACTTCTTCAACTTTCGTTTTAAAACACTTTAATTATTTATATTATTTTTGGTCACATTGAAAATTGATTTTTTTCTTAATTTTTGGCAATCACCTTTGCACGAATAGCACGTTCAAGAGACATTTTGCGTTATTCTGTTTTTTGTTGCTTTTTTATGGAAAAGTTAGAAGCTTATATTTGTGATCCTCGCTAGTAGGAAAACTGTCTGTAACTGATGTCTTTCCTTAGCGTGTTCGCCGCTTATAAAGTACCCGGAGAGCCAAAATTTTGTATGCTCAAAAATTCAATAGCACAAATGCGGAATAATTTTTGAAAAAATCTCAAAATTACACTAACAACTTACCTAGGATGAGTATGAAATTTTCACATTTGCATGATTTTTTCCAAAAATACCTGCGATGAGAAATTTTCCCGTTGCTCAGCAGCGATTGGCTACGGACACAGTTGGCTGGCAAGTGAAATGGCGTGGGTGTATGTTGTTGTTGAGTGTTGTTTTTGATTTTAGTTGTTTTTGTTGTTCACGTTATAATTGCTTCAGTGCCTGACGATGAGTATTCGTATTTAATAATAGGAAAACAAATTCATACATTTGGTTGAAAATAGCCACTTCGCTATTTATTTGATTGCCTCCGGCGGGGGACCGCTCCCACCACCAAGCGTGCTGCGTATCTTGAATACATTTGTTGGGCGCTTTTGTGCAGTTCTTAAGTTTTTATCTACTTACTTTCCTCATCGAATGGTTGGGGGATTTCCAATTTACATTGCCCCATATTAGTTGGGTTGAATTTTCGCTTCGTTTTGCTTCATTTTATATAAGAAATTTAATTGTTTATTATTTATTTTACTTTGTGTGCCAGAAAAGGCTTGCATTTGCAGCTGCTTTAGCACGACTTGTGCTTGTTCTAACGCTATAAATCAAAAATTTTAATTGAATTGATCCAATTATAAAATGAATTTGAGAGAAAAAAACAAAAAAATACAAAAGGCAACATATTTTCCGCTAGAGAGTAAAGAAACAGTAGCGTGAAAATAAAAAGCAGTCTAAGTCCAAAATTATTCTTTATTTTGCTATAATTTCGCAAAGGCAAACTAAATCTTTAAAGTGAGATCCCTTTTCAGATAAGAATTTCAATTTTTTAAATTCAATCAATACATTTTTTTATTCTAAGCTTTGCATCTATAATACCAAAATTTTTCTTTCGTCTGTAGTCCTTTAAATTTACTAAATATTTTTTTCTATTTTGTAATTGGAAAATTACGCTATGCATATAAACATGAAATATTTGATTTTCTCTCTCATTAATTCGTGTAAACAAATTTTTTTCTTCTATTTACTGTGCACATGTTTCATGTAAAACATTTACATATTAAGTTATGGGAGTGTGTATGTTTATATTTCATGCTTCGATTCCTTACCAACACATAGAAACAGTATACATATTTTTCCTTTGTGTTTAATGCATATTTTTGTTTCGTACATATGTGAGTGTGTGAGTATATTAAGAGCATATACTTTCAAAAATTTTTCACAGTTATTTTGCATCAAAATGTATTTCTTAGAAAAAATTCTTCAAAATTCGATGACGGGATTGGTAAATTCCAATAAGATTTTTCATGTTTCTTTCGTTGAATTAATGACTATAATCAATAACGAGTGATAATGGACTTAAGATAAAGAAATAAATAATCATCTTTGGAGATTAGGAAAATATACTATATAAATATATTTTCTAGCATGAGAGATATATTTATATATTATTTTAACCAGGGAGGATTGAAATCGTCTGCCAAGGGGCGATAACTAAACTAACATTTAAAATAATTTTTTCATAATTTTTTAATTTTGTTTGACCAGGGCTAGAACTCATACTACTCTAAAGGGCAGTACGCACTGCTAATCACCAATTTTGGAATTCAGATTGTTTCAAAAATACCTTTCCGATTAAAATATAATAATCTGCAAAATCAATGACTAAAGTAAGTTAAATTAGGTGTTTAAAATGTTTATGATTTCTCGCTGTTAACGCGCTGCTTCGCTAACTTAGAACTATGGGTTACGGAGGGGGTAGTATACGTCAACGACTGGCATTAAATCTATCAAAGGCCGAAATGTTACTCTCACCAAAAGGTGCTTTTAAGCCGTTCTTAATAAGACACATTGAGACCGGAATTTCTACCGAGGTCAAATACCTAGATATAATAGATAGTAAGTTTCTACTTGCTAAAATCGGTCTTCACTGCCAAGACCAATAGCAGATGGCAGGTGAAACTACATGCAATGTGACCAAACAGATTTGGCCATTGATCGAAATAAAAAGAACTAAGTCCCTACTCCTTTTAAACAGGGCCTCTTCGAGCGTAACTACGGGGGTAATTGCCGGGCACTATTTGATGGGTGCTCATGGACGAGGGATGGGCTGCTTCTATTAAGACTTTGGCCGCGGCTAAAGAAACAGAAAGGATGGGAAGTCGGTGGAGCATTATCTCCGTTGCTGTCTTCTTTAAATACACATCGACTTCGTTCCCAGGGTAATTTTTACTTTGTTTGCCAAACAAATCAAGTGGTTTCAACACCTAAAAAGATGAGAGGAACAGGACAACACTGACTGAGCAATATAATTCGCTAACCAAGATCGTAATAAGGTCTTCAGCGTAAAATTAAATATAATAAGTAAATAATTTATGATTTGTAAAATAAAATCTTTTAAATAAAAAATTTTAATTTTCACGCAATACTTCAAAATTTTCGAGATATCATTATGAAACAGTTATTTTTAGATTTATAAGCGACTACAATATTATTGCTGGCAAATTTTTCTTATTACTGTTTTCAAGATACCACACCGAAGTGTGTCTATTTTTACGCCAGCCGAAAGGTGGAAACTTTTGTTCCTTAAATAAATGTATGCTTTGTGGTTTTCGAGATATCACGCTGAAGAATGTATTTTTAGTTTGATTCTGCAGAAGAGAATTTTATTATTCACATACTTTTCAGAGATCATCATGATATAACTTTTTTATTTTTATTTCTTGTAGTGTATTTTAGCACAAGCGAGATACACTCGTATGTATTTTTATAAGCAATTTTTGTATCGATTGGAATGTTTTTTTGTATTGCCTGCTTGTGAAAAAATTTCCAATTCAGAAAATAAAACTTGGTATAACAAAAAAGCATTTATTTTTGCTAATAATGTCATGCTATTTGGCTCGTTTTGCAGATGTGTTTTTAATAATTTTTTGAATATATTTTTTTTAATTTTTTTAATACACTTTATAATCTTTTTTAGAGTTAAATATAAAACTGTCATTGCAATAAATTCTCTTAATTTGCATAGGAGCCAGCTTGTCATACTTTTTTATTTATTTGAAATATTAAAATTATTTATTACAGCACTGAATCTTTATTACTTGCGGTTTAACTGAATAAAATGAGAATTTTATAAATTTAACGCATACGTAAAACAGAAATAAATGGAAGAACGACAAGAGGTTAAAACGATTTTAAAATTTTCAGACTTTTTTATAATTCAGAAAATTTATAAAAAACTCAATGTTAAAAATATCTCATTTACTCGTACAAACCCTTTCACCCTTAGTATATAAATTGTGTATATTGTAATATCAAGGTAATTAAATGTAATATTGAAGCAAAATGCATAACTTTAACTTATAAAAAACATACATTTAAATTCACTCTTTTTATTATATAATTTATTTAAAATACATTTTACTTTTGCGCAATAAAAAGTTTAGAATCTTAAGATGTTAGTTTTTTTTTAGCTTTTATTAAGAAGAAAAAAAATAAAACAAAAAAATTCATCAACAACAGCCAACAAGAGAGACGACTAAACGGCAATAAATAAGTGTGTAAGAATCCTTGTTTGTTTGTCAGATGATTGTTTAGAAAAAATAAAATCGAAATTCCACCGTGAAAAACAAGCAAATTCTTGTTGCCGCTAAGACGCAAAACAGGTGTACAACTACATACAAATAAATAATCTTGACTCTCCGTTCATTTGGCGATTTGTCTGCGATCGGCTGTTTATTCGCTGTTTTCTAGTTTCTTGCTAAAAATAGCGGAATTTCGTCATTTTGCCGATATATTCCAGAAACACAAAGAATAATATTGAAAGATAGACGAAAAATTGGGAAACTAAAAGTAACAATAAAAAAATAACTAAACATAAAAAAAATAAAAGTGATTGATGCCAGTCGAGTAAGTGCTCCCAATACATGAGTATTACCCGCTTTCAAAAAAGGTAAAAAAAATATGCCTACATAAAGTCCTACTCATATATACATGTGTAAAAATTCATATGTAGATTGTGTTTGTTTTCTTTTGATATTTTAATATGATTGACAGCCACCAGCAGCGGCATGCCACTTCCAATTCGTAATCCACTAAAAATGGCATTCAGTCATCAAGCCAACACTGCTGGTTTGCTGGCCAACTCGCCACCTCGACGCCACTCCGACACGCCGTCACTGTTGGGAGATAGAACTGTTGCGGGCGATAATTTGTGGCACAACTCTGCTGATGGTGGCGGCATTATCATCGCATCAACTGCGGCTGCCACAACCAAGTCGGTATAAAATTTTTTTACTTTACTCAAAATTTTTTATTTTTTCGTCAACTCAAGTAGACTGAAACCACTGTATGTGCAATGATCATAATTCAAGTACTACATATACACTTTTCGCTTCTCTTTTTACATACTTAAAATTAATTATTGAAATTTTGCTAATGAGATTTTAAGTGTCAGAAAAATTCACACATTCTTCAATGCAATTAAAAATAAAAAATAAAAAACTGTTAAAATTAATTTAATACCTTCAAAAGCATATCATTGAGTGCATAAATTTCGTAACGGTGAATGAAACCCGGTACTAATTGTGCATACTGATGAAAGAGCTGTTGTTAACATACGCTCAAATATACGTGAACTTGTGCATATGTAATGAAAACGCAAATTGTGCTCGTGTGCTTGACTTTTTTGTGTAAACTAACAATCTGTGAAAGAATATGTTGGAAGTTATTTTGCTTCGCGCCTGACTTATTTTGTTATAGAAAAAGGAATAAAAATTAATTAAAAATGTGTTTCAACTTGTAATCGAATTGTTTAACCTTCAAGCGGTCGCGCGGCGTTGAATCATAATTATATTACTGAGTTATGTTATTTGATTTAATGATTACCTTCTTCTGAATTTAAGTTACTTATTTCCCATGATTTTATTATAAACACAAGGATAATATATCTAAATACAAAAAATTAACATTTATTAGTGTTTTATTTCTCCAATATATCAGCGGCCGTTACAAACGAACGCGCGACAGCTTGAAGCTTAAAATTGTTATTTTTTTGACTCTCAATCGAAATGAAGATATCGAATTTAAACAAATGAAACTCAAACTCATAATTGAAAAACCAAATTTTTTTTTAAAGAAATATAGTTCTCAAATGCTTAATCCCATTTGCTTTTTGTTTTTTTTTTTTAATTACTATATTAAATAGCAGCTAATATATAGCAAATGTAGCAATTGTTGACATATATTTCATGTGTAAATATTATAACAAGTATTCGCAACAAAAGTTGCGTATACGCACTGTGTCACACGCTGCGCAAATGCATGTTAATTGTGTACAAACATTGCAGAGATATTTTAACAAATTTACATGTATAATACAAACTACATTGTGGGAAAACACACACATATAATATACATATATATGCACATACTTGTAATTTCCGATTTGTGTTTGTTTTCGAAAATTAGTCAGCCATTTCACTTAAACGAATACGTGACTTAATACGAGTATACAAATGCACCAAATTCATTAACTTATTATCGTACTTCATTATTTGGCATTATGAAAATTAGCAACAACTATGTGCAGTGTGTGTTTTATTTCAAAATTTTACTTCATTTCATTAACAATCACCAGAATGATGATCTTTGCCGTCACTGGATTATTCAATTTTGGCTTATAGTCACATAAAGTCCTTTAGAGCTTTAGTATAAGCTCAAGCTCTGGCTTTGAGTCAAATTAAAGTGTTTAAAATTATATAAAAAAAATCTGTTACAGCGAGTACAAAGAAAGAAAATAACGAATGAACAAAAAAATATTTCCCCTAGGTGTTTAATAATATTTCTTCTTTATTCGCTATGTACCGTTTGCTGTCGTTGATGGTTTACTGCATGAATTTATGTTTGGTGCTGGCAGGCACTAGAGTGATTGAAATTATCTTTTCTTTTGAACTTGGTTTAGTAAAATGATAAAAACTCTTTGTTAATATAATTTTAAATCTTCGCTTCTGTTTGAACAAATATTTTTTTCATTTACTCTTTGCGCCTACAGCCAAAGTATCTTCAACTCTCAAAAAAATGTAGCAAATATATTAATTTTCTTCCAAATTGTCATATTATTTTTATATTTATGTGGTAATATGCTGCGCATTTTGTTGCTTTGTATTTTAGTTGCCAAGACTTTGCCATATAAATTTGAATTTCACACCTGAATTTTAAAATTAAATTTCTTACTTAATTAAAAGCGATTAGTTGTATAAATGTACAATGAATTTATAATAAAAATAAAAATGTACATATAATTATTTGAATATCTGTGGATAGCGGGTACTAGCGTTGGCATGTCTGCAGACAGTGTTTATGTGTATATACAAAAATGTGTACATTCATATACTGTGAGGAGAATATATAAGCACACAGTTACTCTTTTGCAAATATTTACAAGTATTTTCGAATTTCATTTTTAGTGAATTTTTAAAATAAATGACATGTATTTCGAATGAAAAATTCTGAACTAAACTTTGAGTAAAATTCATAAAGAAGATTTAGTTTTTTTTTTTTTCTGAAAAGCCATAGAACGAGAAGTATAGTGAATTGGCCCCAGGGAAATCCGGTACCAGCTAGATGCTTTGAAATTTTTGTTTATTACCGTTTCGAACAAAATAGAAATCAGCATCAAGAAATAACTTTTTTTTAGCTCCTTGGAAACCTCTCAACCTAATTATTTTTATGAATAAGATTTGGGCGATAATTTCAAATACATTTCAAAAAAACGAATTTTTAAAGATTGTTATTGTGTTGTAAACATCGGTTTGGTTTTTAATTTTTTCACGTAATCTTCTGTAAAAGACGGCACAAAATATTCGATATATGGATTGATCCACGCTGAAAGAATACTTTGAAATAAAAAGTGCTCGCTTCTTATTGACTGCTTTTTTGATCAAAAGAATACCGTTAACATGCCTCCGTCGCCGTATTCGCAAGATTTATTTTATGCGATTGAAACGCTGCATCAAAACTAATTCGAAATTAGTGTAGTAGTGGATAAACTATATATAGATGAATAAATTATTTTTTATGAAATGATTAAATCAAAATTCCCTTATATTTTGAGCACACTTTGTACATTTAACTTAAAATTTTGCATATTAGTTTAGTGACATTGTCAATTTCTTTCCTTCTTCTCATTTTTCTTTATCTGTATTCATACTACAATATTCAGTTCATCACACAATTGCATGTGACGCCCCACAAGCGTTGTTTGGCATTATGTTTGCTGACTTTGTTGACTTCTGCTTTTAGTAAGCAAATTTCATGAACACGTATACGCCATGGTGAGCCGGTGGCTGCAAATTATAACTACGCTTGCGGGCGTCGTAAAGTGTCTGACACGTGCCGTATGTCGTGTGCGATTGAGTTTACACAGCGCCATCAGATGGCAGACAATTTAAGAAATTATCTACTGACGGGGTCATTAGATTTTGGTAATTAATGAAAAATAGAGAAAACCCGTAGGGAGAAAGATGCAATAAAAACGAGCAAAAAAAAAGTTCATAAGCTAAGAGTATTGTGGGGGATATAATAATATAATAAAGAAATAATCAACTAGTTTAGAGTACTAATAATAATTGGAACGCTTCTATTTACATTGATTTGAAGGACTAATTTTCTCAGTGCAACTGCATACCCACTCACTGTGTACCCGCACAATCATTGCAGTATAGCATTACAATGCAAATTTAACCATAATATGTTAATAAATACTGTCAGCAATACGCACATACTGCAGGTTGTTATGGAAACCAGTATGATGCAACTGTTGCATATTAATTATTATAAATGTATGTGTGTCTACTAATATTGACTAAATAATTTGACTTTGACTTTGCCTAAGGAAGCAGTTGCTTTAGTTGATAATCAAGAGATTACTGAATGTCAATAACAATAATCAGAAGTATGCGTATATAATATGCTTTGATGCTAGGACTCTCACTCCGAAAGTCTCTGCCCTCTTCACCCTTTAGTTAACATTGTATGTATATATGTTTCTAAAAGTCATAGAAATGTGTCAGCGGTTCAAAGTCAAAAACTTTTTACAACAAAAATTTACACAACAAACATTCAAAATAAAACTACTTATGCTTTACCGAATGCTTTTCAAACCAATCACCATTTTATTTTTAGCCAAAATGTGACATCGCATTGTCCAACCAGAACAGAAAAAAATTAACTTTTGACATTGTTGTCTTCATACTGCGAAGGCAGCATACAATAAATACGCCCACACTTCAAGGCAAGTATTTATACACATCTGATGTAGATAATGTTTATATTAAAGAAATGAAGGGTATTGCCAAATGAAAGGGTTGGTGAGATGTTTTAAAAAAAAAAAAATGTATGTATGGAAACAATAAATATTTTTAAGTTAAAATCAAAGTTATAATATTTGTTATGAAAAAAAATATTACTTTCTGCAGCGCTTGGTTATTATAGGGAGTAATGGTAATCTCGTCCGGAGGCGGTTTAGTATAAACGGTAGGTCCAGCCATCAGGATACAAAATCACAAGCTAGAGGTGGAGCTCGGCCGAAAATCGCTTATGCGGCTATAAAGCACTAATTATATTTATGCATATATATAATTAAATATATTCTCTTAAAAAACAGTTTTTGAAAGCGTGTTATTTTTTATGAAAATTCCATTAAACAAATTTAGAATTTTGGAGTTCTAACTTTATGATAAAACAATTTACTTACACTAGTATGTTATATGATTAAGGTTTTTTAATTTAATTTGTTTTCTTCTTATTCAATACAACCGGGCTTGTGACTTTGCATGTTGAAATTTCAAATGGATCTAATAATATTTTTAATTCTTTTTTTGTTATTTATTTCAATACGAAATTAAAATTATTTAATCGGATCATAAAAAGGATTCCTCCGATAGATCAGTTCAGAAAAGAAAGGTTGTTTATGTGTTAATCTAGGCAAAGAATGTACGCTTTTTCCAAATAGATATGCACCGGGTCCAAGTCTGCACAGAATTCATAAGCAAACCAATGGATTATTAAAGATTTTTCGACTAGATCGATCTACTTCCTGGAAAATCGTTTCTTATTGGTCGCATACGTTATACACGGAACACACCCTCCAAGTCTCAAGTCTTTACAATCCTTTGTTTAGGCTGTTGGTTTGATTCGACAGACTTTCAGTACAAAGCCTTTTACGTACATGTATGCATATTGAGTCACCCTTTAATATTTGATTTGGCACACTCTTTCTTTTATTGCCTTTTGGAAGTGTCTCGAATCGCCGATAGGCATATAAAAATATACAAAAAGATACAAAAGTAAATATGTTTGTATATATACTTAAGAAAAACTCGTTAATATAAATTCAAGAGCGCGCCACCGTGGCGTTGATTACTCTTGGCTCCTGTTGCATTGGTGTTGTAGAATTTATATTAGCTCAAAAAATATGATTTTTCCATGAATTTTACTTTTCATTGTTAAAGTGTGTACATACAGACATTAGCTCATTTTCGTATGTGCGTACATGTGCCTGTAGTTGGGTGTAGGTGTGTGAAAATGACGACATTGACGTCTGCTATTTATAATTTAAATACTAAACTTAACGAGCGACGAAAAGCGCAATGGTATTTTGGTCAGCATCGAATTTGCTTCACTGTAGTTTCGTCGTTTTGTGCGTGTGAATGACCAATGTGTGCTATTTTAGAAATTTGGTAAATCATTGCGGAAAAATTCATCGCGTACACATGTTGGGCAAATTTGTTGATTTGGATTAATATTTTGGTTTTTATTTGCCAGTAAGTATGTGCATGAGCATGCGAAGCAAGTAAGTAAGTATGTGATATCTTAGCAAGTGTGTACATATATATATATATATGAAAATACAAAACAATACTAAAGGAATGTTAATAATAGAACGGGAAATTTGTATTTAACATGAAACATTTGTTCGCTTGTAAACTTTTAAAGCAACATTAAAATTTCTTCACATACATACATATTTATGTTTTACAAAGTTCTCTTTGTTGCTGTGCAAGTTGTTGGAAAAATGCAATAAATAACAGCGAGGGAATGTCAAAATTCTTCTACAAGTATTTATATGTCGAGTGTTTGCTTTTAATATACGTGTACTCGTATGTGTACATATAGATGCATAAGAGTTCACAGTAGTTACAAGGTGTGTTTTTTATGCAGACGACTGAAACTATTTAATGCATACGTTGTTGTATTAGTAAAGCATCTGGTTTACATGAGGATCTTAACAATTTAGCAAATTGGAGCAATAACGACGATCTTTTGTTTATAAATTTTTGGATTTTGGTGTGATGTTGGAATTACCTTCATTAATCACATCATCTTTAGTTTTTTCAAAACTGAAGTACGCTAGAATCAGAATTTAGAATCCAATTTATTTTACGCATCCCTCTAGATGTGTCCTTGCTATTTATTTACGACAACATCAATGGTTTAGTGGGCTGCCCAGAGCTGTTTGAACAAATCAGCTTTAATACTCGAGTGGTTAGCTTTGCATACTAACATTCGAACTGCCATGGTTTGAATTCTACTTCTAGGGACTTCTAAAATTGTAAAAAAATTTATTTTATAATTGTGGTCGTCCCTCTACAGGGCATGTAAAGCCTTTCGATTGTATTTCTAGCAGGAAACTCAAAGTTCCTTATAAAAATCTATCGGACGTTCCGGGTCGGCTTAGTATAAACTGTAGGTCAATGGAGGCATTTATTGGAAAAACATCGACACACACCACTAATTTGAGGAGGAGCTTGGCTCAACGCCTCGTTTCAACGATTATAGAGCGCCAATATATTATATATACATATGGGAACGGACGAATAACAAGGATGGCAACTCTACGACGACGAATGAACAGACGAGGAGAGACGAAAGCATCGGCGTTCATTAGTTAGCCATAAAACAACTGTCGAGCCGCACGCATATAATTAATTAAAATAAATACTTGTGTAAAATAAATATTTGATACATTAAATATTCAAATATAAATTTTTGTGCAATATGTTAAATACAGTGTTTTACTACATACATATATATTGATATATTGATTTATAATCGATTTGCTTTGCTATTTCATAGTCAACAATTACGTTTCGGAACAATCATGCAAACCGTATAAAAAGGAGATGACTACCAGTTCCGAATTTTCGTGGCTGTAAAGCTCACTTTTGGTTGAATGGATACGTAAATAAACAAATCTTTTGCATTTGGAGTGATTGTAATTCGAGAGCAATTGTTGAGACGGCGTTGTCACTGTTTCATGTGCTCTGCGGGCAGAGGGAATCATTGGTCCATATTTCTTCAAAAATGGAATATAATTAATGATTTTATCGTATCTGAATTGGAGTATGTTGATGGGGACGATCTTTGCTTTCAACAATACGACTACTACATGACTGGACCATTTTTTGTAGAGTTTCGTTAAGTCTCTGGTCTACGCGGATAAGCCCGAGTCGATTGTCACCTTGAAAGAGAATTTTCGTCGCATTATTGCTGATATGCGGCTCTAATAGCCGGTGGTCGAAAATTGGGCTTCTCGACTAGAATTGATTCGAGACAGCGATGTCGGTCACTTGCTGAAATCATTTTTAACACAATAAGGCTAAATTCTTGGCCATCACATTGCATTATATCCGCTTTATCCCTTTGAAAAGGGCATGTAAACAAACTTTTGTGTATTAGAAAAATGTTTGCATGAACAAAACGTGTAAGTTGTTTATTGAATTACTTTTGTGGCACCAATGCATATTTTCAGGCGTGACTAAATAAAAATATGCAAAGTGATGGCGAATTGTAAGTGTAAGTAATAATAAGTGCATTAGTATTTTAGAACTTTGGCTTCCTGCGAACTTAATTGCCTTATTGACATGATATTGCCATATAATACGATTAAAAATTTTTAACGGAGGTTATCAATATCATAAATATTGATATCGAATTTTATAATAGAAGAAAATTTTTAGTTTTCCCACTGATCACTCATACTTACTTTCTAACTACTATTCGATTTCCTTTTCATTAACGACGAAATAGGGGAAATAAAAATATTATTGCGCTTGGCATAACAACTGAATATCGGATATTCATTCACTTTGTCGACGAAATGAAGGAGGACAAACCGGCTGAACAGGCATCCTACAGTTTCTACATACACGAAAATGCCGTAAATTTTTTCATTTAATTTGCTTTATTTTCAGCATTAAGCGTTTTTGCTACTGAAATTTTATTTACTTGTTGCTTAGCAAACGAAAAGAAATATAATAATAGGATATATTAGCAGTAAGTATGTGTACTGGCGTCCGCAGTAGCGTAGTGGTTAGCATTGCGTACTGCCGTTCGGAAAGCTCGGGTCCAAATCCAGGTGCCGTACTAACCACCAAAAAAGTTATGGAAAATTAATTTGAAACAAAAAATTGAGTTAAATTTTCTGATTGCGGAATGTCAACACCTCCGAGTGTACTTCTGACATGAAATACATCTGCTCATAAAAAAAGCTTCAGCCTCTCGAAGGCGACTTATTATCAAGACGTAAAATCTACAATTGGAGGGGGAACTCGGCCAAAAATCACTTCAGCGGTTACAAAGCGACAATTATATATATATATATATGTGTGTGTATCAGTGCGGAATAAAGATTTCTTCACTTATATTTAAGCAAAATATATTAATATGTAGCCAAAGTAGAGGCTTATGCGAATTTATATATGAAGCATTGTAATAAAAATATATGTGTGGAAATAAACTCAAGAAAATATTTGTATTAAGCAACAACTGCGCCCAGTAAACGCAAGAAGTAACATGTGTTGGCGTCTGCGAATAATAATTGAAGTGTCCTGCAGATCATCTTTATTTTCATTAAAATGAGACACGCAATAAGAAAATATTAGGACAAGAGGCTGCCTGTACTCGAGTGCGAATAAAGGAAGAGATACATAAAAGTGTACGAGAGTGTATCCGTTTATACCGTCCACTAAGTAAAGGAAGCTCTTCGATCCAATTATAAGAATTGTTTATGCTGAGCAACAAGATTTTGGGTGAGTTTAGATAAATGCCAGGATAAGTCCGAGATTTTCTCTTCGCTCTCTCTTCTCTTCTGTGATAAGTGATATCGGTGGAATGCAGCCCATTATTGTTTTCTCAAAAAATTCTTCTTGGATTGGCTTGCAGAGCTCGCATCGTAGGTATAATTAATCTGTTGAATTTCATAAAACACACTAAGTCTTCGGAGCATCTGGAATGGTGAGAGGAGTCTCCTTCAAAGGTCCAACATTAGTATCAGAACGTGCTAGTAGGCCTAAGTGCGTCTGTTTAACTAACGGTACATACTACCAGCTGTCAAAATGTGAAACAACTATTTTTTTTTTATTAAATTTGCATCAATGCTATTATTTTATAATATATATATGTACATTGCAAATGAAAATGGATAAGGGTAGACAGCACGCTCGTAAAACTACAAGCATTTGACTTCAAGCTTAGCTATTTTTTTTAATATTTCATCGTGTTTATAACGCAATTTCTCTACTTTATCTGCAACAGCATTGACTTGCTGCGCTGTTTTATCATAGTCCAACATCAGTGCCGGCTTATCCAGCAGACCGCATTGATAGCTTAGCTCCTTGATTTCCTTTCTCATACGCGTTCGTTGTTGTTTAGAGTCGAAAATCCACTTGCGGGCGGCGAACTTCTGCTGAAGCAGCGTAGCTAAACAGGATTTTTGGATTTTAATTTTACTACGAATCATGGCTTGTTTCTCTTTTAAATGTCCCAAAATGTGTAGGTCTGCATTACAACGTACCCGTGAGCGTACAAGATCGGTATTGCGTTCTGGGAATAACGAGGAAAAATAATAAATAGAACAAGACTGACAAAGAGGCAAACACAATTTATTTCACCTTCGATTTTCTTATCCAGCGCTTGCACTTCATTTTGGAGGGATTCATATTCGCGCATTTGCAGATTATTACCCAGATTCTCCATTTCTTTTAGTTGCTATTGAAGGGAGATTCAATTGCCATATACTCGTATCATTTATATTTTTTATTTACTTGGAAAAACATATCTTCTTAAATCTTGTCCCTGTCTCACTTTCCTTGAAAACTATTAAATATACTTGAAAATAAAATTAATTTAAATCAAATAATTCAAATCACTTTCCTCTCTTAAGTGGAGTGGCACCAACTATTCTAGAAATATGTTCCTATAACCCATAAAAATTTATATCACGTCATATATTATCGGACTATTAAGTAGAATTTGCAAATTTTTGACCTCACAACCTACGAACCGTTAATTTTTTTCTTGTTTAATATTTTTAAGATTTATCGTTTAAAAGATTTATCATTATGAGATCGCGCCTAAAAATGCGCTAAAAATGCCAAATTTCGACACAGAAGGAAAGCCGAGAATACGGTTCAATTGTTGGGAAAATACTGGAAATGAAAAGAATATAATTTTGCGAATACAAACCTCCGCTAACTTGGCATTGGAATGCTGCTTCTGTATCAATACATAACGTACATCCGAGATTTCATCGCGCAGCTTAGCCATTGTACGTAATTGCACGTCGACATCCTATAGTTCACAATCCAGAAAGAATTGGAGGAAAAGTAACAAACATCGCACTACATTTCGCGACACTTCTCACCACTCACCGTATTAAAATGTTCACCTTTGTAGGCGAAAGACTTTTTAATGAGTTGCTCCAACTCAAGTAATTTCTCTTGATTACTTATTTCCAGTTTAGCCACTTCCAGTTGAATATTACTAATTTGTCCCTGAGAAGTACCCTTAACCTCTGCCTCTCTGCTAAGCATCTGGTCGAGTTTCATGGTGGCATCTTTAAATTTGCTGATTTCATCAAGTATTGTGCCCGGTGGATCGTCCATGAAGACGCGATATTGGCCTTTGCGATAGAAAAACTCAGCAACACGTCGATTTAGAAAACTACGTGTCTTCTGTTCTATTTCGAGTTGTCTCAATTTTGCGCCAATCTCTTCCATTAACGTGGGCTTGTCTAGATTTTGACGCAGAAAAAGGTTGGGATCGATATATTCACATTTTTCAACCACCTCTGTGAGCAGTTCATTAAGAAATACAATTGTGTCTGCTGCAATGTGTTTTGTTTCTTTTTCACGTTCATAGGCAACCCAATCGAATTCGACCACCTCCTCCACCACGTGTGCCTTTTCCATTTCCATAAATGTTTCGAAAACCTCTGTGTCATCCAGTATTTTAGGCGCCTCCACTTCCTTTTCGCGCTTCAACAATTCAAGTAGTTCTTCATCTTCACTAAAAGAAGATTCTTCTGTGGTTGAGGACTCTTCTTCCTCAACCATTTCTTCTTCTTCTTCTTCCTCCTCCTCTGTGCTGGAAACCAGCAAGCCGGTTAGTGGATCAACAAATGAACCAATATCTTTTCCCTGCGTTCTCTTTATGAATGAGCCTATGTTTGGTATTGTGCCCAATTTTTCGAAGAAATCTTCCGATGTGGAAGATGTTGATGACGAGCGCACATGTGCTTCCATTGAAATTGTAGATTCAGATTCACTGCTCAACAGCTCTTCATCGGTTACTTCGAGTACCATCGGTATCCGTTGGGGTTCCAAAGTGAATTTGTCATCCTGTAAGGAGCCCGACAATTTACTGGACTTAAGCGTTGGCTTGCTCAATTGAATATTTATCTTGGATTCCTCTTTAATGTAAGCTCCAACTTCGCGTTCATTAACAACAACCTTGCTGCCTTCCTTTTCCATTGCGAAAATAGATTTTATAAAATATATTTATATGCGTTGTTATATTTTTTCTGATGTAAAGGTATTGTATAACGTAATAAAAATATTTTTCTGTAAAATGAAGCTTATATAGAAATCAGTACAGAGACCGCAAAGTGAAAATGGTTCGAGTTATTTCCATTTCTGATTTTTGGAAGAAAATCAAGGGATTCAAAACTCATCTAGCAAACAATAAGTTTAGCTAATGGGGTGTATTAATTATTTTTTTCAAAGTCTCAAAAAAGAGACTGACTGGGTCCAGGTGAGTGGTCCACATATCTGCTGAGCGTCAGACACGCGCATACTACGTGAACCACTGTCTCCGCATAATTGATTGCATTTATAGTCCTTAACTAGACCTAATTTGCTGGCCAACAAAGCTTCATTAAAAATCTCATCTACAGGCTGTAGTCTGAGCTTTTGGTCAGTGGAGAAAACAGCTGCCATTCCTGAAGTTTATTTTCCAAGTAAAAGAGGAGGGGTTTTCCACCTCCTTGAATAAGACTGGTCTAAAGCTACGACTTCTTCTTTGGTCGATGCCCACATGCCTTCGGACCTAAAATATGTGCCCTCTCCATTTCTAGTGAGTCTAACTAGTCTTTTGATAGCTTAATTAGCTGGTTTCACTGCTGCCGACTTATTTACACATATATAGGAAAGGAAGGCCTTAGTGCCCGTTTGGAGGTTTACATAATTGTATACATATTGTCCATCTCTGTAGGCATGCTCTTTGTAATAGCTATGCCGTCAGTTTTACAGCTAATATTTAGAGAAGTACCCAGAATATTTAACAAGAAGACATAGCAAAAACTGTTGTTAATTTCCTTGGAACTCCATTATTTTGCACAAAATTTCATTGTGTTCTTTTCGTAGTTTTCGTAAAGTTTCTTTAACATATTCTATTTCTTCCAAAGTAGCGTTGTAATCTTTTACTAGAGCTAGATTACCGAGTATATGTTCTTCTCTATGGTTAATATATTTGCTGAATTTAAAAACATTTTAGAGTATTTTCTTGAGCAAAGTGGTGTACCAAATCGGGCTAAGAATCCATAGTTGCTTTATATTTGAGTCTTCTTCATCTGTTTCTTCACATTTCTAATTATTACGATTGGAAACATAAATGGAACCAGATCGCTCTCCACCTGATCATTCCCACGAATTGGAGGGTTATCTATGTACCCACAAGCCGTGAGCTGTTTATAATAATACGTAGAAAACGCCTGTCCTATTTTTTTTACTTTGGAACCATCCTTTCGATCGATAACTCCATTAGCACGATCAATCTGTTACTGTACCCAACCACCATAGCAATGAGTGACTACCACTTGTCGATCACAACAGTGAAATGTGGACGACAACAGAGGCAATGACGGGCAATGATATCAAAAAATGAGTGGGTAATTTAATCGGTATTATATATATAAATGATTGGCATTCTGAATGGTGTTTCGGCCTTCCTATAGAATGAGGTGCTAGTCTTAAGGTTTGCCCAACAAATAGAGGGACCTACAGTTTATTATAAGCTTGATTTTTATGAGAAGTCCTGAATTTCATGTCATAAATGTACTCAGCGGGCTAATTCCTTGCTGATGGAGACCGAAATAAAAAAAATTGTTTTCAATGATTTTGGGTGTTGGTCGGCCTCCGGTTTTCCGGTTAGTTTTGGTCTTAACAAAAAGTCTCCTTTTTCATGGGGCGTTTCTTGCAGGTTTAAAAAAAATAACAGTTTCGTTGTGTTTCATAAATGTTTTTGCATAATAATAATATTTTATTCATTTTCGATAATTAATTTTCTTTGTTACAGTTCGTTTCCAATTTGGCTATCTTCTCCAATAAATCCTTCTGCTGTTTGCGCAAAGCTTCTACATTATTCATTGTCGCATTCGCTTTTTCAACAGTCGCATCATAATCCCTCAGTAACATTGGCTTGCTCAACAATCCGCTTTGGAAGGTGAGCTCACGTTTCTCCTTTTGTAAGAGTAGACGTTGTTCTTTTAAAGTAACCAATTTTTCACGGATCTCATGCTTGTAGCGTGTTAAATTGGCAAGAGCCCGCTTTCTCATCCGGTTTGTCACTTTTACAATATCCGTTTTCACTTTCATATTCGAAAATGTGTGAATGTCTCGGTTACAACGTCCGCGTGCCTCTCTCAATTCGACATTGCGATCTGTTTAAAAATCATTTTCACATCTCATTTGTATTTTAATGGATGAATTTTATTTACTACCTTCGACTTTTTTTTGCAAGTCCTTTGTTTCTGTTTGCAATGCTACAAAGCGCTGCATACCCAAGCTGTATTCGATGTAGTCGTGCTTCTGAAAGTTTTGCCGGGTTATAAACTTACAATGAGAATCTACAAATATAGAAACATAAATTTGAAATTACCTTTTGTAGGTCGGCTTTCGTGTGCTGTACTTGAATAAGCTTGAGATACACGTCACACACTTCATCATGCGATGCGGAAATCTGATCGAGGAGTTCGGAAATGGTCTATGTGCAGCAATCGTGATTCCAAAAATTAATTTTTTATTATCATTCAAATCCCAGCCTTTCACTTACCGTGTCGAATTTGCTTTTGCTATCTTTTACAAGTGTTTTCTGCACTAACGACCTTAATTCCAACTCCTTCTCCTTAACCATTTTCTGCAATTCTTCAAACTTCGTTTGCGATTTGTATCTTAAGACTTCTGATCTGGCCAATATCCCATTTTCCAGCGAAAGTGCTCTATCCAATTGACTTGTAGCATTCTTCAGCTTTTCCTTGTATTTCTCGGCCTCCTCCGGTAGTTCGTCGGTTATGGGAAAATACAATCCTTTTTTCCTGTAGTACTCGGCAGCTTTACGATTAAGATAATTTTTCACTGTTCTCTCGATTTGAAGTTGATCCACATTTTTCAAGATTTCATTCATGCATGCCCGCTTGTCTAAATTGTTGCGTAAAAACTCAGCTGGAGGTCGAGTCTCCACCTGTTTTACTACTTCCTTTATAATAGAATCCAAAAAAATTTCCGCTTCATACTTCAATTGCTTGTACAATTTTTCACGTTCGAGTCGTTCCCAGTCGAGAATTGACGGTTGTCTCTCACTTACAGTCACTATTTCTTTTTTTAAAAAATTCTCCAAATCGTCTGTGGTCTGAAATCTGATTTTACTAGTTCTCTCCTTACTTTCAAGTTCTTCGTTCTCTACTAATACGAGCATTTCGCTGTCTTCAGAGATTGATGATGCCATTTGCAATTCCTCTGTCAGCTGCTCTTCTTCACCTTCCTCTTCTTCGTCCGCAATAACAGCTACTTCAGATTCTGGCCGTAGTGGAGTTGAACTCTTCTCAGTCAAGACTTGTCCAGTAAGTGGATCAACAAACACCCCCACATCAGTATCTTCCACAGTAGTATCCATTGTAGTGCGTGCGGAACGTGATAGTGAGTCAATATCTTCGGATATTTCATCAATATCCGGCAAAGACTCAAAAAAGTGCAGAAAATCGGAGTTCAACAGGTCAAAGGCCACAAATGATTCTTTAGATGCATTCGTCACATTACTTGAGTAATCGCTCTCGTACGCATCATCGTAAAATGTGTTGAATAGCTCTGACTCGGGAATGTTGTCGTCTGTTAGTGTTTTCAAAATACTTGAATGTACTTCACTTGGTAGTGTGGACGGCTGTGTGGTTGCACTTCTTACTGCAGCCAAATGGACTGAGCCTTTCCGTGGTAAGGTTGAGCTTTCCATTTCGACTTGTTTCACCGACTCCCGGTTTTTTTTGTGCAAGACTAGCGTTCCATCCTCCATTGCTACGCGTTCGCGATTGTTTTCAAATAAAAAAAAAAAAATAGTGCAAATAAATTCGTTTTAATAAATTTAATTATTTATCGAATGAAATGTAATGAATAAAAAAAAATTATAAACTGATGAAAATACTACAAACGGTAATTTCAATGTCGGTGGTTTCGATTTTTTAGAGTGAGAGCTAAGTAAATAGAACTGGCGTGTTGGATTCATCAGCTTCTTTCCAAAATGCGTTTGGCGGAAGGCATGCTGGGTGTTTGAAAGCTGCTCTGAACAGTCTATGAGAAGAAGCTCGCGGGTTTCAGGATTAGCCTTGCAAGTTCTCAGTTCTCAATGAGGTGAAGAAGCAAGGGTATGGTAATGAAAAAAGGCACGAAGACATACTGCCATCAAGCAAACTGCACGGGTTTTACACCACTCTTCAACGTAGTAGCTTTGATATTGGATATATTTCATTTTCTTGAAACCGAAATCAACACCAATAATAATGCCAGGCTTGAAATCAAAAGCAGAGTCACTCTTGTCAACGAATGTGAGTAGGCAAACCCAAAGAAAAGTTCTCTCACAACAAATAAAAACCAACAGCACAAGTCGCTCACCACTTCCGCATAGTTATATGGTTCAGCAGATTGAGGGGCACTAAAATTTTTCAATACAGGTTTTGAGAGCGTTGGGCGACTGCGAATGCCACTACCGATGAAACTACGAGCTTCATCAGTAATCCGGATGGGCGTGCGAGTTCTCTCTTCAAAAGTTTTCGATGCCGTACACAATGGCAGAAGCAGTGACAGAGAAAAACCTCCACTCTGTTAGAAGACATAGGTAGAGAAGAATCTGACTTCAATTGGTGCCGGTTGATGCCAAGAGAGGAGGTTAATGGGAGCTTAAATTCTAAAATTCAGAAGGTTTTGAAATATGCAATACAGTATAGAATAATAAAAGGCTCCCTTTTAAATATTTAAAATTAGTTTATTTATTTTTATTTTAATTCATTTTATTTATTTTATCATATTTAATTTATTTTATTTTATTTTATTTTACTTTATTTTATTTTGTTCAATTTAATTTAATTCAGTTTAATATAATTTAATATTGTTTAATTTTATTTGTTTGTAAAATAGAACTATTATTATTATTTATTTCATTAACATTAAAGCTTTCATTCACTGTGAGGCATTAAAATGTTAATACAATGAAATTTATACACTTTACGCAACACCGTTATATTGTAAGCTTTCTTTGAGTTCTTCTGTACTGAAAATGTAAATTTCCACGGTTCGATGACTCTGAAAATGAGATTGAGTCTGCTTAAATATTATTTTGCGTAGTGTGTGACATTTTCGATTTTATCTGAGTGATATCTGTTGGACATTGGACTAAGTATCGCACAGTTCTGAACGATGTGATGAACGCCACTAATTAATGTTATTCGCTATACACTGACGGCGTCTGTAAATATAAGGAAAATATATGAAAATAATACACATGTGTCTAAATGCTTGTGTGAATATTTTAATTAAAATAAATTCATTAATAAAATTACGTCACTACAGTAATTATAGGGGTACGTATATGTATGTATATGTATATTTTCATACTCATTGATGCAGATAAAATATACAAAGTAACAAATAGGGGTTTCAGAAAGCTCTTTCCCATTTACTATCTTCTTTATGCATTCACATACCTTCGTATGCATGTATGTATGTATGTATGTGTGCGCTACTGCGTTAAGCTGTGAAGTCCGATAAATTGTACTAAATTTTTATTTATTGCAATGCAAAGCTTTTTGCCACAATAGTTTTGCGCTAGACACCGATCGCGTTAGACATATTTAGTCGGAACAAGTTTGAGTGGCTCAAAAACGTCAAATATTTGTGCAGAGAAAAATTCCCAAGGGAACAATTTAAGTGTGTCTCTGAACAAAGACAAATAACAATACAAAATCCGAAAAGGTGCAAAAAAGAAAAAAAAAGAAAAAGCAAGTAAAAAAATGTCAACAGCTGATACAAATGCAAAAGGCAAAACAGAATTAAAAGCCGCTATTAGTAATGCGGCAACAGATGGTAGTGGCGCTGCCGCCGCCGCTGCTGCCGCACGTCAAGTGCCTGAGTGGCTTAAGGCGGACTTATTTCTGGATCTGCTCAAGAAAAATGTACCCGATTTTAAGGCAGTAAAAAGCTTCAACGCCAAACCAGCACAAAATGCGGGCGAAAACTATGCCACCCTAATGGCATTGGTGCAAATGGAGGTGGAGCTAAGAAGTATGTTTTGATTTGGAAATAAATCAACATAAAATTCTGAATAACTAATTTGTTTTTTCAAATATCCAGCTGGCAAAACGAAACCCGTGTCGTATATGCTTAAGTTACCTATAGAATCGGTGCAAAAGCTAATGCAAGGCATCAATATATTCTATGTGGAGAGCACTATGTATCGCGATGTCATACCAGAACTGGAGAAATTCTATAGTGACGTTGGAGTTGACGTGAAATTTACGCCACAATTTTATGAGCTGAAAACACCATCCGAGTTCGGTGTGATACTCATGGAAGACTTGCGTGTGCGTGGATTCAAAAATGCCAATCGTTTGGAGGGTTTCGACATGGAGCATACTAAGAATGCTCTGAAGAAGTTAGCCCAATGGCATGCTGCATCGGCGGTGCGTATAGCGGTGAAGGGGAAGTATCCGAAAATTGTGAGCACTGGTATTTTCACCGAGGAATTCATCAACATGATGAAAGCTATGAACCAATCATCTACGCAATTATTCAATGAATGCGTACGCACATATAAGGGACATGAGGTGTACATTAAGAGTATGGTGAGTAAACACTCCACCCTTGTATGTATAATATTGTACATTATATAAAGTAAGCACTCATAGTTTATCACATTGAAACAAGTAGTTGCTTAACTAATCATAATTATAAATATTATCTACATAGATATGAGTGTATAGAAAGCTTTGCACTTGTTCAGAATGCACTTCCCTCAATACACTTAGCTTTACATACGAGTATCTTCTCGACTAAAGCTTTTATAAGAAAGCTTACCCTATTCGTTATTACATACATACCCATGCCATTATTTCTAATTACATGCTTTATTTCAACTAAATTATAGGAGAGGGGCCAAGAAAAGGTGTTTGAAAATTTCATCGAATTAATTAATCCCGATCCGAACGATTTTAACGTTTTAAACCATGGCGATTTCTGGGCCAACAATATTATGTTCCAATATGATGCTTTTGAAAAAATCAAGGAGACTTATTTCGTGGACTTTCAATGCTCACGTTATGGCTCACCAGTACACGATTTGTATAATTTGCTAATCGCTTCGACGAGTTATGAGATTAAGTTGAAAAACTTCGATTACTTCATCAAGTACTACCATGACCATTTGGTTGAGAATTTAAAACTGCTAAAATACACGAAAAAGTTTCCTGCCTTAAAGGACATCCATATAGCTTTATACAAATATGGGATTTTCGGTGAGTGTTAAAGAGTAGCTGAAATTAGCATTATTGAAGTAACTGAACTGTTTTCTAATTATTTGACTAATTTAATTAAAATTTATATAATTTAATTTAGTTAGGATTAGTTAATACTTTATTTCATTTAATTTTAATTTATTTCCTTTTATTTCCTTTATTTTATATATTTTTTTTTTAATTTCTTTTTCGGTTTGTTTAGTTCTTTTTTTTATTTGGTTTTACCTTTACATTGGTTTTAATTAATTTAATTAAGTTTTTTCATTTTGTTGGAATTTAATTAATTATAATTAAGTTTAATTTTTTCTATTTTACTTCAATTTATTTTATTTTATTAAATACCTAATTGTATATCTTTTTTTTCATTTCTTTTATTTCATTTCATTTTATCGCGTTGCAATTTATTATATTTTGTATTTTATTTTGTGGAAATGTAATTTATAATACATAAAAATTAAAATTACATAAAACAATATAAAATGAAACGAATTAATTTTATTTTAATTCATTTCATTTTATATTGTTTTATGTAATTTTAATTTTTATGTACTTTATTTTATTAAATTTATATTATATTCATATATATATAATTTCAAGGCATTTCTCATTGATTTTAATTTTTTTCATTTTATTTTGTTTATTTGATTTTAATTTATCTAATTATAATTTTTGTTTCTTATTATTTTATTATATTTTCTTTATGTTGTTGTACTTTGTTTTATTTAATTTATTTTAAATAGATTTTATTTATCTTCTTATTAAATTTTTTTTCTTTTTATTCAATTTAGTTTCACTTTTTTCATTTTGTTGGATTTTAATTTGAATTGATTTTATTTTAATGATTTTAAATATATTTAATTTAATTTAATTTAATTTATTTTTAGTATTTTATTGCTTTATTTGATTGTATTTATTTTTGTAATTTGTTTGGAGTTCTTTAAATTTTATTAATTATCTTTACACTTTTATTTTTACTATCTCATTTTGAAAGGCTTAGCCGCTTGTTCCGGTCACATGGCCATTGTGTTGTTGGACCCAACTGAAATGGCTACCATTGATAATTTACTTGGCAATACGCCAGACGGTGTCGAGTTCAAAAAGTTAATGTATACAAACGAACGGTATCGCAAACACGCCGAAGATGTTCTGCCATGGCTATATTATCGCGGTGCGTTTGAGTGATAAGCCAAGTTGTGTGATAACAAAAATGCAATGTACATTCTATTACAAGTATATACCGTTACCATTGCCGTTATATTATCAAACTATATATATGTAATCAATACCAGAGTACAATATTTCTATTATTATGTGTTTTATAAAAATATACAATTAATAATTTGCAATTACTTTTGTTCACGAACAATTTTCAAATGATAAAAAAAGTATTTACATATCGCATAGTATATCAGATTTATATATTTTAAGCACGTACTTACATATGAATGCTCGTATGTATGAGCATGAGAAGGTAAATGCATAGGAATGAAGTGAACTTGTTAAGTCATACCCACCTAAATATTCGTTGCACAGTCTGTTCATGCCATTTACAGAACTGAGACGGAACAACTTGTTTTCCATTGTTGTTGTTATTTTATCTATACCATTCGTTGTTCAAACTTATTTGACAATTAAAATTGGCTTATTATTGTATTAGTTAATTTTAATGGAATTAATTAAATATAAGTTCGGACTTAATTGGCTTAAAAGTAAGTGTTGGCTTAAGACTAGTTAACGGAGATTTTATTTTAGAATAAAGAAAATGTATTTTAGTGTAAAGGAAGCTTAGCTCAAATACATTCCTGTAGTGTAAAGCCAAAAAAATCGTGTTAAAGACCAGTATTTTAATAACAAAATCATCAAATTTTGTATAGCATTTCGACTGGAGGGGGAATAATTTTATCTTCCACCACAATTTTTCGATATGCTCTGTTGAAAGCTTATATCGTTCATCGATAAATTGTCATGTTAGTCGAGAGGTTAGAGCCTGCTGTCATTTATAAGATTCAAAAATGTCAGTTGCTGACTAGGAAAAATGGTGAAAATGAACTTTTTTGTTAAACAATATATCTGTCCACCACCAAGGTAGTTAAGTCGAGGATAGTGAAAGGATTCAAACTGACGTGGTTCCAAGCGGATTGCAAGAATAAGTGAGTATTTCCGCTTGGAAATAAACTCAAATATTATATAATTGTTTTGATTCTGTGTTAAGTACTAATTTTCTTTTCTGCTCTTATCGCTACATACACGTACAAACAAACGAACTTTGCACTTCGGTAAACAAAACTTTTATTTATGTATGTATGATATGTTTCATGCCAAGATTAATAGCCATGCCATAAATTATGGCGAATTATTTTTTCAAGCCAAAAGTACAAACACTAATTGTTTGATTGCATTCTTATTTCGCGTAAGTAATTAATTAATTTAATTTATGGACAAACAAAGGCGTTATGCATTTTGCATAAATAATAAATACAAGTTTTATGTGTTTGATGTGCGAATGACTGAGGGAGGAGTCAATTTATTGCTCAAAATATTACTGCTAGAAGTGAACGTCAATTTTATGTCATTGCTAATAATCTTCCTCAGAGTTCGTCTTGACTTTTCGGCAACCAAATAAGGCCGGTAGCATATGATTAATGGCTGGCGTTGGTGAGTTGAAGGAAAAAAGCTATGATACGAGTATATTGAATATTATGGGTTGGAGTAATTTATTTGTTAGACTATCATGTGAATTTTATTAAAATTTATAAACGATAAATTCAAATATTTTCATACACATAAACCAAAATTTGAAAATATTTGCTTGAATTTAAATGAGCGCCGCTTCTTGATTTTCTCGGCATTTTTGCCTTTGTCAGTTGTCAGAGCTATCACGTGCAGCCATGCAATTACTTGCACACAATAACCGTTCTGCTAAAATAACAACAACAACAGCAAATTTTGTATAATAATGACGTATTTATGTATAAAACTGTGAAAACAAGCAATTTTGTAGCAAATAAGCAAATAGAATTTCATGCATAATTCAACAAAATTCAAACACACCAACAACCAACAACAGCCAACAACAGCCAACAACAAGCAAGCAACTAAGCAATCAAGCAATCGACCGATGTAGCGACAAAACAGCCTTCTGATGAGGAACACTGCTGCAGCTATCTACGTATATCGATATATACTATATGTACCATATGTGTCTATCTTTGTTTGTGTGTTTGTGTGTTACAGCCTTTCAATACTTCCGCTCGACTGCGCCTAAGTATATGCTACGTTACAATACTTGCGTGTATGTACTTTTGCTTTCGGCTATTGACTTTTCTGCTATTTGAGCGTTTAAAATTCAGACAATAAGCCGCAAGTTTTTAGCATAATTTAGGGAGCTCCACTTTAATAGTAGTCTTCTGTACTGTATCATGTTTGCTATTGACTGGCAGCGGATAAATAATTTTCATTTTACATACTCGAGTTGGTCCAAATTCTTGTGGCTTTTGTGGTTTCGAGTCTCTCGCATGTGCGAACTAGTTGACGTTGATGTATGTATGCATCTATTTTTTGGCTGATCATTTGCATAGCGTAAAATATACCTATCGTTGATGTACTAAAGAGAAAGCAATATTTTTTTTTATTAAATTTTCAACTTTTAAATTTGTATCCATTCAAATCTATAATGAAAATACTTGATTTAAAGCTTATCCAGAAATACGCAGATTATATTTATATTTATGAAAAATAGAAGATGTACTCCGATTCAGTAAAAATTTAAATATTTTGTATAAGAAAACTCCAAGCTAAACTTACACTAGGACATACAAACTTTGTTATGAAATGTGTCTACTTTAAGGGGATCATACTAGTGTCCAAGCTAGTTTTGATTGCAGCATTTGATAGCAGCTGTGGTGATTTTCAGCTGGGCCGCTCCTCCAGTTAGGTGTAAGCTCCTCAAAGTTTTCCAACAAAACTTAAGTAGTTGAAGAGAAAAATGCGCATTTGAGATCAACAACTTCATCGGAGAAGAGTGTAGCTGACGTACCCGGTTCTCCGGTTTATAACTGGGCTATCTCTCAGCCGGATTATGGGTCTCTCCTAAAATCTCGATTTTCAAAAGTGTAAGAAAAGGAAAACCAAATAGTTCTACGTTACACAGGTAGTTCTATTTCCAAATGTTCTACTGGCAGCGTTTTCACGTCAGTCGTATCTCTCTATTGGCAGCGTTTTCACGTCACACCATATACTTCTATCTACTCCTATTGGCAGCGTTTGCACGACACACCATATACTCTAACTACGACAGCACAAACAGAAGTGTCGTATCATTGCTGGTGCTGCTCCTTTTATACTAAATTTGCCTACAGGTGGACAGTTATGCACTGCCTTTTGTTGGTAGGCCTATCGCCTGTTCTCCTTTGCCCTACTTAACAGCGACGGATCGGTATGCTAGTGCCTAGCTTAATATTATGTACATATATATACATATTAATATGTGTATATGTATGTTTAGATATGTAGGTATAGGTAGCTATGTGTAATTATTTCTATCCGTTGCGTATATATGTATTTCGTGTTATATGTATATATATGTTGTAACTTCTCTTTTGTTGTTGTTGTTGTTGCTGTGGAGGCTCCAAGGCCTTGGACTTGGGGACTTCACAGTATACATTACAGCTTTTATAATTTAAAATTTAATTTTAAACTCTACAATTGTGAATAAATAAAACAAAATAATCCAAGCAAAACAAACAAACGAAATGTTTAAGTCGAAACAAATTGAAAAAATATGTTTATTAAAAAGTATTTCAAAATTTTCAAAACAAAAGAAAATTTCCCAAACAAGCAAAGAAGATGTCCCAACCACGTGACAATAAACGAGTAAAAAGAAAATGCAGTCGTCCATACGAAAATAAGTCAACACAAACCGAACGAAATCGCTCAAGAAATGAGTCGAGTAGACGAAATGGTTCAGTTATACTAAAAGTCACCGACTATACGAAATTCGACGATGCTGATGATCAAAATGAAGACGACACATCTCTGAGTGACACATCCTCAGCACAATCATTGCCCAAACGCCAGGCGCTGCCAATAGTTACTGTTAGGAGTTGGGCCAGCCAAACGAGTAATGAATGGCGGGAATCAATTGTCGATAATATTGGTTCGGCTTCCGATTCGGATGACTCAATTAATGCAAATACAAAATCGTACGACTTCTTAGAACACGAGCCCGTGGTAACTTCTTTAACAGATCTAAGACTGAGCGACAGTGAGGAGGAGCAGGAACATCTATATGTAACCGAGATTACAAGCAATGAGGAAAAATTGGCAAAATTATAAAGCAAGAGACATTTTCGATTTCGACTGGGAACTTAACTTTTTCGGTGGTACATTTTTGGTTAGTTATATTTCACAACATTAGAGTGAATAAACCAAATGCTGACACAAAAACTTTGTTTTTTTTTTTATTTTTTTTTATTTTTCGTTTTTCGAAAAATAGTTAAAATAAAATTGAAAATAACAAAATAAAAATTAGAAGGGTTGATTTATGATGCTCTTCCGATTCTGTAGTAAAAAAGCGTTTCTTAAAGTATTGATTTCGTTCCGCTGGGTCGTTACTTACTTATTAAGTAGATCCGACTCCAGGAGCCGATGCGATCTCCTTTTTCTCTCTTCTCGCAGGAAATTCTTTCATCACTATACCATCCCAAGGATTTAAGTCTTTAGATGATTTTTCTGAACGGTGACTCAACGGAATATAGAGAATGCTTATTGTTAGCTTGGCTAGTTTAGCACATGGGCGACGAATCGATAATCATTGCCTGAAAACAGAATAACCGGATTGGAGTCACTTAGAAATATTACATGTTTATTTCTGAAAAGTAGTTTACAGAATTTTTGAAATCAATTTTTGTGGAAATGTAATTCAGTTTTTCATATGAAATCATTTGATCGAGTTTTGTAATTTTTTTACAATTTTATATATTTTTATATATTTTTTATTTTTTTTTACCATTTATCTACATTTTATACCATTCCTTGGCATTTTTTGGCTCAATGGATCAAGAAGAAGTTTTCGAAGTAGATTACGAATATTATGAATCAGAGGACGAAGCAACGATTTTACCCACTGCTGAGAGCGAGCCACTCACATCTGTTGAGCACCAGACTTCTCGTACATCCAATAGGAGTGTCACAGCGAAATTGACCGTGTTTGATAGTTCAAAGAATGTACGTTTCGGTTCCGCTAAGGGTACCTTAGACAGCTTACGCTCTGTCACCAATGCTGAAACGATTGATGGCGAAGACTACGATTTTGGTGAATCGAACGAAGATGATACAGTGGCACAGTTCGAGACTAGTATGAGAATGAGTTTTTTCGACAAAATTGCCAATTTGCCAACGATAGAGGAAATATCATCTGCGTCTGAAGAGACAATTATTGAAACAGCCCAGGAGGAGAAAACGGTTGATATGTCCTTAACGGGTAAATTTGTGGACCCATTAACCGGCCTGGATATAGTGGAATCAGAGCATTCCGAAATAATAGACTACGAATGTGATTTTGAGGAAATGGACGAGATTTGCGAAGAGGAAGCAGATGTTGACGAGTTGCAAATCACTGAGGACAGCGAGTTGCTGGAACTTCAAGTACTGGAAGCCATGGAAGAGGTTGAAGAGGTAAAACCAAGACAACACGAAGATGAGTTTTTCGATTCTGAACATGTACAGAAAATTATGCTGGAACTAGATTTACAAGACTTCAAGCAGGCACTAGCCGAAGATACACAGCGGCAAAATGTAGCGGTCGTGGTGGGTTTCATCGACGATCTATTGCAATTGGTTAGCGATGCAGCGCAGTACAAGGACCCCAACGAAATATTACGTAAAACCATAGACAAGAGGAAATTAATGGATGAAATCAGCGTTAAAATACGGGCACTAGAGGTAGAGCAGTCCGTGCGACATTATCTTAATCGCAAGGTGGTCGACCATCATAAACGAAAACAAATGTATCGTGCTATAATCGACGATTCGGCTGAAGACTTGGAATTCCTCATGGCAAAATATCAAGACCAGCTGCAGAGTTACAATTACATATTGGGAAAGCAGGATGAAGTGGATACGGTGACCAAATTGAAAATAGACACTTTAACTGCCAGGAGAGGGGAAAATGAGCGATTAGCCCATAAAATGGTGAGGCAATTTGAAGAAATGGTGAAGCATGCGCTCATACCCAAAATAGACAAATTGGAAGAGGGTGAGAATGCCTCAAAGAGACCAGAAAAAGGCAGATACGATGAACGGTTGAGAGTGAGTACATTTTTGATTTAGACTCAATTCAATTTTCTTTCCGACTGCTTTTATAGTATTTTTGTCCCCAATTAGACCGACAAGAAGTGAACGTATTCCATCGGTCTGGAGTGCAGTTGAATATTTCCAGCCCATTTTATGAGTTCTTAAGAATTTTAGAAAATAATATAAATATTCGATTTTCATATTCACTACATTTTTTAGATCATAACTATATATCTGAAGAAAATGGCAAACGTACGCAAAGAATTATCAGAAGCCAGGCTTGAATTCATTAAGAAACAACATGCTTATGCTGATCTCAAGGAGGTGCTTAAACATTTATTTTCCAAATTACTGAATTACTAAATTATCACTTTTATTACTTTCACCAATTCGCCTTACACTTGCTAGCGTTTAAATAAAATTCAAGATATTGGCAATGGCCTAAAACTCTACCAATATGAGAATCTGCAAAATGAAGTCATGCAATTGGGCAAGAAAGTGGATGGTAAGACTTTTCGTTACATTCTCGTTATTTTGCTTTTCCTTCAAAAGTGGCAATACTTCTTCATAGAGCGCGACACCGAGCTGGCTAAAGCTCGAAACATCCAACAACTCGATACACATATTAACACGCATTTGAGGGAGCGCACGCTGATGTTGCGTAATCAACTCGCCGTACAAAAGATGACTTACAAAACCTTATTAAAGGAATCTCAAGATACACGTCGGCATTTGTACAAACAGAAGCAGGTCCGTTCGCACATTCGTAAGGAAATGAGAGAGCATGCCTTTCAAGGTGGTATCCTCTCGAAACCCACACTAATGCTGGATTATGATCAGACTGAGGATCAGATATTGCAAAAGCGGGAAATCGTTGAAGGTTTACGTAGCCAATATTCAAAACTAGTTGAAAAAATTGCCTATTATGAGGAAATGTTAAACTCTAGATCCATAGAGAGTCAAAATAAAAAATTAAAAGTGAAAAAGTGAAGCAAATCTTGCCGTTTTACTTAAAATGAACTTTTTGGAGTCATAGTTTATGCTTAGACCTTTGAAGCTTTTCCGCCTATTTTAGGTTGATTACATTTATGGAATTGTGATTTTAGCGGTGACCATCTTAAAAGGGTTCAACCATTTTTGTTAAGTCATTGGAATATTATTTTTTTTGCTTAACAAGTAAATGAAAGTAGTTTTTTTTCATTTATTTTACTTTAAACTACTAATTTTTTATATACAAATCAAATACTCGTATATATAAATATATATATATGTACTATGATTTCACTTTGCGCTGCGTCTGTTGCATTCTCAAGGTCGAGTGAACAATTTTTTAAATTTCCCTTTAGAATTTCCTTCCCTCAAGGTGGCTTGGCGTTTTCTTCGTCATGCTTTTGTTACTTTAGTTGATGCACTTTAGGTGAGACTATTGTGCTGTGTACATTTTAATGTATTTAATATTTATATTTTTTTCATTTAATTTTTTTGCTTTAATTTTTTAGAAATCTAAGTACATATTATGACAAAGCTTTTTGTCGGATGACATTGGCTTTTCCTGTGAGCTCAACTGTGAAAGTTGATTTAACTCACATCTTCCTCTCTGTTGAGGGTCAGGGGACTCTTTGTAAATTATTTGGTCTCGTTAATTGGAGAGATAGAGGGATGGTAAGATTTGATTTTATTAATTTTAAGTTTAAATGAGAGTAAGTCTTCTTACTTTATTTGGTCTCTAAGCAACTTTATGAAACTGAAACTCGCAGGTCACAAACCTATTATATTACGTGACTCGAGAATGTCGACAGTATCCGACGAATCACAACCAGATGATTTTGAAATTTTGCTGAAGATGTACGGTTCCCTTTTTCATAAGTGAATGCAAATAGCATAATCACAGCTGTATGTGATATTTGTATAGGTTCGCTTAATTTTTGGACATGCATGATAGGTCATCGTATTCTACTTTACTGGCGTAGATTATAGCCGAGTTATCAACAGCGCACTATTCAGTCCATGTTTCGCTGTTTGGAACGAATTATACCGAAAGCTCCTTCTCCCCTTGGTCTTTTCAACAGAATGGAAGTCTTTCTCTGCTTTTGTTGCTGAACTCGCGGCGCCGTTGTTGAGGTCAATGATGCCAATGTCGTCGGCGTACGCAAGCAGTTCTTCACTCTCTTAGAAAAATTTATCACTTTATTCGGCTCTGCAGCTCGTATTATTTTTTCCAAAAATATCAAAGAAGTCAAACAAACGGCACCAATATGTCCTTTCCGATCATGATGGAGCTCTTGGTGTTGAACGTGTAAGTTTTTTGGGGGAATCAAATTCAACTTTAAAATCAATGAAATGTAAATATCGGGTTAATGACAGATTTACCTGGCCTAAACCCACACTGAAAAGACTTTGTGCGCGAAGTTGAAGTTTTTGCTTCTCTGTAGCGAATAATGCACTGTCGTTCCTTAGATGAATTAGAGGTAGGACGCAGATTCGTTTCATGTTTGCTTTGATCCCAAAGAGCACAAAAAAAGAAACATCTGTCATACTTTTGTTGATTTTACATGGGATATCAACACCAAACAAGCAGATGAAGACAGTTCTTATGATGTGTATTCTCTATTTAGAGACGAAAACGGGAAAATAAAGAAACACCCGCTAAAAATTTGTTCGTAGTCAATTATTTAACGGTTTTACACTTCCATGTTGAACATTCTCCAACAGAAGCTGAATTTCGCCAATTTTATTGTTAAATTTTATTTGATAATTTTTTTTCTCTGCAAAACTCTACACGAAAACCACATGACAATTGTGAGCGACAATGATATGGAAATAGTTGAATTCACCGTTGAATGGACACATATTAAATGTTTGCTTGCTGCAAGTTGAGCGACGTTAAGAAGTCAAGGCATTTGAACCTCAGAAAATTGGTGGCTTTTGTAATTCGAAGGTAAGTCGATGAATAGAACGTGTGTATGTCGCAATGAAATTGGGTTTTTAATCGAATTCAGCAAAACTGGCATGCCAACTAGAATGCAGCAACTAAACATATAATGACTGTTCCACGGAAAACGAGATTGTTCAGCAATAACTTCTGGTGTAATCGGTTGGACGTATTGGGTTCTAACTTAGCAAAGCTTCTAACTAAAATCTTAGTTTGTTTGAAAAAATGACTGTTTACCCTAAAATTACTTTAATAAAAATGGAATTATTCTACATCTGTTTGTTGACAACTAGAAAGCGATAGCTTAAGGCGGCCTAAGGCATTTGCGAAAAATTCTGTACCGAGCAGAACAATTCATTGAATTTTCGCAAAAAATGATCTATTTGATTTGTGTTTTGTATAGTCCAGTTTTCCACGGGACAGATTTCGTTCGCACCGCATTGTGCATATGAACTGCACGCCATTGTCAATACGGTTACTGTAGTTGTAAGCAGTATTTGACAGGCACAATACTCAACAACGGTGATGGAAATGCGTTGACTGCAAGTGTGTTGCATAGATGCACAGAAATGTACATACATGCATGAACATGTCTGATTTCATTCAAAGGTGAATAGAGCCATGTAAGTTGTGCATTGGTATGCCTCCAAACGATCTCTGTCAGAGCCGCGACATCAATATGCCATTTCTACTTCACTCGGAGAATCTATGTGCGTTGTGCACTGTAACATACGTGTCCATGTGTGTGTACGCTTGCATATCTTTGCGCATAAATTCATGTGATTGGATTTCATGCAAACCGCAATTTTAGCCCTCTTTAAGCCAGCGCTTATGGTTGCGTGAGTATTGGTTTATGTAAGTGCGAAATGAAAAATGAACAATTTGCAACCCAGTAAACATAGCTCCAGGCAGAAAAAACGCTATGGAACTGTGGTTTTTACAAATACAAAACATTTTTGGACTCGGAGGAGAAACCATTAATTGTCTGGCAGAAGCATTGGTTTTGCCTTGAGTTATGCTTTTTCAACTATTTTTAAAATCTTTTCGCTTTGGTGGCAACCAAACGGATAGTTTGCATGATATTCTTCATATTGACTAATGACATCTGCTGTTGTCTAAATTTGAAATTCATGCCACGTTTTGAATATACATACATACAAGTAGTTTACAAATTTGTGTGCGAGGAATTTATTAAACATTCAGTTTAGGGTTGCTCCGCCTTTTTGTCGGTCATAGTGATAGAGAATTATTTATGCATGATGGAATTTTAAGATCCTTCTAATGAAGTAGATGTCTTTCTCTTCTTCTGCCTCCATCAGCGGGTATTGCATCGAATAGACGTTGTCTCTTAATTCGCTGAACTAAGTCAATATCATCGCACAGCTCGGACAGCCCGCCATTGCATCGTCTGCGGTATTCGCTGTTGCCAATGAGCAAATGACCATAAACTGTTCCCAAAAATTTTCGCTCGAAGACTCCCAGAGCAGTCTCATCAGATGTTGACATCGTCCACGTTTCTGCGCCATGTAGTAGGACCGGTATGAGGACTTTACTTTTTGATTTCTTAGTAACACCTGTTAGCAAGAGTGATTATGCGCTGGACTTTCAGGCTGACATTAATGCAGGTGTTAATGCTCTGGATCCTACAAGAGGTTGCTCTGGTCTTGAAACCCTCCGGAACGTCGCTGTATCTTTTCGTAGAAATTTTCGAGCATTACGATTGTCGACCAACTTCTCAAGCTTTGCATACTCACGCAATTCCGCATATGCTAGTTATATAGCCAACCGGCTATAACATTTTAGAGCTCACTCATGGCGACTTTCAAAATAGAGAATTGTCATATAGGCACTGGGTCATAGCGGAAAAGCTGTAAATTAAAGTGCCACAGCCGTACAAAGCTCCTCTGCCAAAATGGTTTTTGAACCAACTCAGCATGCATGAATTGGCATCTCATTATGCGGGTTGCGAGATCGAAATCTCGGAGTAAGAATTTGAACTTTTCCGAATCTCTCTTCCTGCATACCAACCCGAATAAATGAAACGTAACAATGCCCTAAGCGATTCATTAAATTAAAAGGGAACAGGATATTTTTACTCCAAGTTGCGTCTCAACGAGCATGTCTTAAGAATCAACAGCCACATCTACCTAACCTAACCTGACTTATGATATGGCGGGCAGACGGTGTCGGTGATTACCTACTAAAAGAAGTTTAGAGTAAAATGCAATGCAGGAGAGAGAGGACATATGATCAATGTTTCAGATTATCATAAACTAAAACTAATTACCCTAGGTAGGCGAACAAAATCATAGTAGGAATGAAATTATTGATATTAAAAGCTAATATAAGTAAAGATATTTCGAAAGAAAGGACAGTTGTACTTAGTTAATATGGTACATATGTATAAGTCTAAAAGAAATGAATTCTACGAATTAATAATAATAAATAATAAAAAAAAATATGAATAATAAAAAGTGAATTTAATGAAATGCTCAAATTGCTTACTATATTTAATGTTTTATCGACTTGAAAATTTGTATGCTTTTGCAATCTATAAGAATAAGTGATACCCTAATATGCCGATTTGCGTATCTGCATTTCTACACGTCTGTTAAGCTAGTTACCCCTCTCCACATAAAATCTCATCCTCTGAGATTTGCAGCAAAAGTTAATTTGCCACCGGCTGCCTAAGCTATGAGTTCAACGGTTTTTGCTTGCAGCTTACAGTAAATTGCTTTTTTTTTTTACTCACTTTTTGCTATTTCTGCAAATTATTTTGCCTTGCAAACTATTTTGGTTGAATAAATTGTTTTGATTCGAATCTTGGTTTTATAAATTTATTATTTCTAATTACACAAGCGTAACTTTTATTTAGCATTATTTATTTAATTGCGTGCTATTTTTTGTGCATTTGAAATTTTCTTATCAGCAGAAATTTGCATTTATTATTGGTTTTATTTAGTTAATTTAGGCTGCACTGTTGTTGTTATTGCACTCATGAATTCGCTAATCATTTGATCTCTTCACCTAATTCAAGCATATAATCGCTGAAAATAAACATTACTCACATACGATTGTACCACTGCTTCATTACACGTATTTCTTATCTCCAGCATAATGTTTTCATAATTTAAAACTTGCTTATGAAGAAAAACACAATCAGTGGATTTTACTATGAAATATGTGACGTATTCCGTACTACGCTCTGAGAGTATGCCCGCTTTACTTTGATGTTAGATAGAAGGGTTCCGTAGGTAGACATCTCTTTTATGATCGCCATCGGCGTCTTTTGTTTTGCCCCCAGTATCCGCATTTAATTAAGAGCTATATAACTTCATCTCCACTATTCTAGTGCAATAAAACAACTTTGACCTTGAGTTAACAAATCCCAAAAAGCCGTCATAATCATATCTATATTTAGAATGTCACTGAGCGAATGCCACCGCAAAGTCTTTTATGCCTTACTTGTTAAATAGCAACATCCACTCGGAATCTCATGCATGTACATATGCATTAAATGTGTATGTTCGCTTGTGCTTTCTATTTCATTGTCGCCATTCATTCATACACGTTCGCTTTGTATTGTCTTTCCTTGCTGCAAGCGAAATTTATCGTCCGCTAACCAGTTTATCTTCACAAAACCCAACACCACCAATGAAAGCAAAACAATACAAGAAGAAAGCAGAGAGAAGATAAACCCTTATCGCAGTGTCCTATGTGAGAATTAAATCATCAGAAAATCACTAAACGCCTGTCAGGAGTATGACAAGCTTGACGTAGAAGAAAAAGTGTAAATATATTAACAAGAGTGTATGCAGTGAAGTGTGTGCGTGTGAGTGAAAAGCTTTTTATTGGCGAGACTACAAAAGTAAGGCACTGATTAAGTCGCTACCCCGACCACTAGTATCACTGTCACCGCTGATTGCCGTCCGAACCGATAGGCTTAATGAGACTGGCATAAAAGTATTGCATTCAGTGCGAAATCGCGCTTGCTACGAAACGGTTTATTGACAACAACGACGGCAGATATAGCGTAACGAGAAACGACTTGCTAAGTTCATTTTTTAGAAACAAATTTCGAAGGATTCCTACTGACATTGGAGGTGGGTGGTAGATAAATTACAAAGCGGCGCAGTTAGTTCTGAGCTGAGAAGATGCGCTTACTTCTGTCGGCAGCTTTGTTGCTGTTGGTTCTTACGCTGACTACGGCTGTGCCACTGCCAGTTCAGGAAGACCAAGATGAGTCAATATCGAGCATTGAGATTCCGGATTCTGATTGGCTAGATAAAATAGAGATAATCCTGCATCGAACCAGCGCATCAAAAGAGTCACTGAAGAAACGCGCAGCGGATTCCGTACCCGACGTGGATTTGTGTAACCACCATAAGCGTGATAAGGACAATTACGAAGTTAGTGGGGAGGACCCTTATGAACGTTATTTCCATATTGAAAAACCCTATGAGAGTGAAGTTCGCAGAAAGCGGCAGGAAAATGACGATAACAGCTCTTCAGTGGAGAAAGGCGGTGAAAAAGATACAAAGATATTAGATGAACGCCGTCGAAAGCGTAAAACCGATGACAGCTCATCTGAGGAAGATTCGTCTGAAGAAAAAGGCAAACCAGGTGCCCCCGGAGCAAGTGGAGGCGAAGATGCTAAAGGAGCGGATGGTGCACGTAGAAAGCGGGACGCCGATGACAGCTCATCTGAGGAAGATTCGTCTGAAGAAAAAGGCAAACCAGGTGCTTCCGGAGCAAGTGGAGGCGAAAATGCTAAGGGAGCGGATGGTGCACGTAGAAAGCGAGACGCCGATGACAGCTCATCTGAGGAAGATTCGTCTGAAGAGAAAGGAAAACAAGGTGCCCCCGGAGCAAGTGGAGGCGAAAATGCTATAGGAACGGATGGTGCACGTAGAAAGCGAGACGCCGATGACAGCTCATCTGAGGAAGATTCGTCTGAACAAAAAGGCAAACCAGGTGCACCCGGAGCAAGTGAAGGTGAAGGTGCTAAAGGAGCGGATAGTGCACGTAGAAAGCGAGACGCCGATGACAGCTCATCTGAGGAAGATTCGTCTGAAGAGAAAGGCAAACCAGGTGCCCCCGGAGCAAGTGGAGGCGAAGACGCTAAAGGAGCGGATGGTGCACGTAGAAAGCGAGACGCCGATGATAGCTCGTCTGAAGAGGACTCTCTAGATGAAGATAGTTCATCTTCGTCAAAGGAAGATTTACCTGTTTTAAAGGAAGGCAATGCAGAGTACGCTCCGCGTTTTGGACGAAGTGTTCGCAAAAATACCATATCTGATGAAAGCAAGGAAAATCTTGATGATGGAGCAATGTTAAGTTTAGATTTCGCTGAAAATAATGAGTTCAACGAAGTAATTGATTCAAAGAAAGAAGAAGACACCTCACTAGAAGACTATGTGCAAGGTTGCGAGGTGATGGAAGCCGATTCAGACGAAGCCAACGAAACGACCTACATAGAGGATAGACGCAAGCGGTCAGTGGAGAGGGAAGAGAGTGCTGAAGCAGTTGAAGATTTGGCATCTAATTCCGTAGAAAGCGAAGAAAATCGCAGAAGTGAAAAAAGTGAGGAAAACAAAGAATCCAATGAGGGTGACTTGAACTTAATTTGGGTTAAACGACGAGATGTCAATAATGCCGTTCAAGCAGATGAATCGTGAGAAGAGTAGAAAGTTCTTTGCCTAAACGTTTGAAAGTAAAAGAGTTGGAGAGGAGAGGAAGCGAGTCAAAACGATTTATTAATAACTTAAAACAAATTTGATGCTGTATTTTGTAAGATTTGTTTTAATGTCTTTTAAATAATAAATTTTAAACTTAAGCTAATTTGATGTGTGAAAAAAAGCATAACAAAAGCAGATAACTGACATTTGTTTATATTAACCTCTGCTACTTGATTGCAAAAAACTGTTTTGGTGCATTCGATGCCGGTCTTATCAACATAACCGGAATTCGGCAGCTTGACTTTAGCGCGCTTCCATAGGTTTGTCTGGATAAAGAAATTATACATATATGTATATATTTTGGTGCTGAGTTATCTTGGCTGCTCGTGTTGCTCGTCGTGTTGTTTTTCATTCTCAGTTTTTTGTTGCTGGATCGCAGCGGTGCCAGTGTTTGTTGCTCTTGCTGATATACGGATTTGTCATGTCAGTTGATAAGCGCGAAGTATTTAACCCAACTGACATGGTGATACTCAATTGATGAGCATGGCTCTTTTGCACAATAGAGGGTAATAAATTAAGACTCTTATTTTTGACGTGTTTTTGTGGGTAGGAAATATACTCCACTGATATCATGTGACTCATACGAAAATTGCCATTTTGTTTCTAACTTATTTATTTGAAATAAATGAGAAACGCAGCAAGAATGAGTGCCGAGTGCAGTGATTCGTTTTTTTTCGGAACCTAAACCGAGCAAATGCCAATCAACAAAATTGGTAAGGAGAAATATTTTTAAAACTGCCGAAGAACCACTGAGCTTTTCTCATTTCGGAAATACATTAAGATGGCATTGCTAAACCCTGTCATCATCTAACGAAACTTTTTTTAGAAAGTTTACTACTGCTATAATTTCCTCTAAACTATAAAATCAATTGAATGCTATGTACACAGAGTAAATCGAAAATTATCGCATTCGTTTCAAGTTGGGAGAGTAAAATCTGTTGAGAATTACAAAATGTCACGGAGAGCTTGATGAAAAAAGAGGCGTCTGGGAAATGTGTAGAGCAGAAAATATCAATTTACCTCAATCGCAGAGACTTGAGTTGATATTTTTAATTTTTTAGTTTAAAATTTCCTTTTAAAATTTACTTTATTTATTGAAAAATAAAAAACTGAAAATAAAGATTAAAACAACTGGCAGAGCATGCTGTCATAATACGATTACTGTTATGACCACTTTTTGATTTGTTTGGGTTATAAATCAGTCTTATCAATAAGTAACTGTAAGCGCGTCGCATTTAGTTTAAAAATAAAAACATATCAGTTATTACTTTTTTAACAAAATTTAAACAAAAAAAAAAAAAGTTGTTCAAGCAACTTACACGAGTACAGGGCCACATTTTGACAAACTCAAACTTCACTGTCACAGTATTTATGAAAATGGTGACTCGAACATGACCAAATTTTGTGCTTTAAGAGAGATAATGGGACACATAATCGTCCAACTGCTTGAACATTTGCTAAAATTTAAAGAAATTTGAAGATCTTAGTTCGGTTACAGATATTATAAGGCTCGTGCATCATCGTTTTGCACCTCAAATATTGTTGCTGTATGTGAAAGTGTAGCCGAAGGCACGAATTTCAAGTGATTCGAAGACCATTTATTGCCACGTAGGGAGTAAAAGCTTACGAGTATATGATATTCTGGAACAGACTATAATACCAAATTTACGAAATATCAGGGAAAATATCCAATATCTCTAACTGTCGGTTAAATTGTCTTAAGATAATGTCAAATTGTTTGTTCGAAAACTTTTGCCGTCCACAGTTCACCAAAAAGCACAAGAAAAAAATAAACAACAAAGCTATGTATGTCCGCGTTCATTCACCGCTTGCTAAACAAAATTCTACGCAACAATGTATGGCATTTGGAATCTAACAAAAATAAGCAGCATACACACAAACACACACATACAAAATACATTCACGCAGACGTGCACTTCAAAATGCCAGCAGTAGCAGCAGTTCTGCAGTGGAAATGATTTTTGCGTGTATACAAATGGATGGACCTATCCCAAAAGGCAGACCGTTGGCCCTAGCGTGTTGCTGCTCAACCAAATTGGCCAAGCTAACAAAAGCAAGAAGAATAGTTTATATTTGCATGCGTATGTATGTGGGTATTCAGCTAGAAGCTAGCATAATAATGGAACGGCGAAATTTTAAGTTTGAAGGTAGATGAAGAGAGTGACAGAGAGGGAGAGAAAAAGAGAGAGAGAGAGAGGGAGAGAGAGAGACAGAGCGAGATAGTGAAGCATGACGAAATTTCGATTGCATAAATACAGCGATGGAGGGGAAGACAAGTGATGTAGAAGTTTTGTTTCGGAACTGGCCAATTTATATGCTTGGTTATTTGTGTGAATGTTTGAATGTTTGTACGAGTATGCATAGTATATTCATGTTTTTTTTTTATTAGTAAACGCAGAAATTAGCCTTTGCGCTGATTAGAGTGTTAGAAGTGGCGCAAAGCCATTTGGCAACACAGACATGTGCACAAACACACACACACACACACACACAGATTACTATTGGAGCTGATGAAGTAACACAATGACAATATACATAATTAAAATAGCCAAAAAGCAGGCCAGAGTGAGCTTCAGCGCGTACATACACATGTACATAGCCATATATACAAACATACATATGTATATTTATCTATTGCGGCAACAGCGTGCGGCGGAGCTGCTGCATATTGATGAAGTGAGCACTTTTTAGTTGGCGAATTGCAGTCGCGTGTGGCAGGCAGTGAAGTGGCAGCAGCGAAGTACAGCGAGTTGAAAAACCACCAACAATAAATATCGTCACATTTGTCAAAGAAATTAAAGGAAATATGTAATATGATTATATTTTACATAGCCAAACTGTTCTTTATGTGAAAAAAAGAAAAATAGTAAAAAAGTAAAAAACATAAAATAAGTTATAAGGAATTTTATCGACTTGGAAACTAAAATATTGTGCAACACGAGTGAAATTTATTATATAATATATAATGGCGTTAAAGCACTCTTTAAGAAAAAAAATTATATAAATCAAAGTGCAGTAACATAAATCAAATGAGGCATAAAAAATAAAAATTAAATGGAAATAAATAAATTATGTCGGAAAGCCGGTTGCAAGTAAAAATCGCTCAAAAATTTATTTGCTGATATGAGGAGTGCTTCCTCTTCTTTTTATTATGCGCACGAATTGTGTGCGCTCGTTTACATACAAACAAGATAACTGCACGGTTGCATGTCGGAGTACAAATAGTGTAATTTGTATTCTATATGTTTGTAAACACATACATATTTATTTGGCTTTTAGTGAGTTCTAAAAGTGTTTAGAAAAGTAAATTTTCAACACTCACGCGAAATGGCGCTAACAGTACAAATGAGGGCAAATACATAAATGCTATTTATGCATTTTCATACATACATACATACAAATATGTTTAATACACAGTTTTGTTTATATTTTTCGTAATATGAAGTGGCGAAAGTTTTTTAATGTTTTCCAAAAATTGATACTACGAAAAAGGTGCTTAAACCAATTAGGAATATGAACGTAAATATTTGTTGTTGTAACTCTTAGATAAAGTACTTCCATATTAGCAGTACAGAGATATTTTTTCACCTGTCCATTGTCTTTTGGTAGCGCAACCATTTTTGCCCTTCCCGCAATTCTATAAATCTTGCGTTCAAGTCACGAATTATTTTCTCCGAGAGCTCCATATACCTGCGTCAGTCGCAAAAAAAAATATGATTGTGGGGCTAGTTGCAGACTGGTTCCTCGTGTTAAATGGAGTGTCTGGTGTTGATCCTTTGTGTTTTAGTTCTCTTCTCTGGAAGAATATCCAAGGAGCCATGGGTTTTTTCTTACGATGACGGATGTTTTATGTTGATTCTATTTGATTTCGATATGCTTCCAACGAGTGCGAAAGAATCCTTTTTACAAACCTGATTATAAATACTAATCAAAAGTTTCTCCCTCTGCATGGATTTATCTATCTCGAGGATACTATTTCCTATGCACACCACTGCATATCTCTAAATTTTCGGTATATCAGCATGCTATCAACACGGTGTGTGCGTCAGACGTCAGCATCAGCGTAAATTTATTTTTTATTTTGCGAATTTCGAATTCTCTTCGCTTCGCATCTTATTTTTAAAATATTGTGTTGATTGTTTTGTGGATTCTATTATTTTATGCTGATCAAGAGTAAAAGCTTTTCAAGTTTATTCTCTGTGCAAACACACATGTACATACACACATAAGATAACATAAATAGCCTGCAGTGAAAAGCTAACCTGGTATAAAGAAAATCTAGTTCCAGTTGAACTACCGCAGAAATTCAACAATAACGGTAATAGTCATAACAGTTATAACTACATGTCAAGTGAAAAGTTATCGCAGGTTGTCATGAGATTATTATTATAACAAAAATGGTCTCATATAGGTGAAGGAATATTTGAAGTGAACTAGTATTTTACTAGTATGGTGCTGATGTAATGTTAGTTTAGCAATATTTCGTATTAAATACAAAAACTGCGAATAACCCGGGAACGATTCAAGGGAGAAATTTGTGTATGAATGCAAAGTGGTTACTTTCAACTAGTTCTTCACTAGTATCTTCACCAACATGTTAAACATACATATAAAGGGTGATTTTTAAGAGCTCTAGGTAAGCCTTAAAACAAAACACAAAAAATTCAGAAAAATGCTTGAAATCTTTATTGAATCGATAGTACGGTCCATATAATTTAATGTTTGAAGATTATTTCATGCAAATATTGACCGTGACTGCACCTCAAATGGTCCATCCGCTTAGTCCAATTTTGGCATACTCTTTCCAACATTTCGGCCGGTATCTCACGAATTAATTCTTCAATGTTGTCCTCCAATGCGTCAGCTGAAGCGGGCTTGGCTACTAAGTAGGCATTAGATTCAACACAGTCCCACAAAAAATAGTCTATAGACGTTAAATCGCATGATATAGGCGGCCGAACGTGAGATAAAACGTTCACCGAACTCGCCGCTCAATAAGTCCATTGTTATGAATGGAGTGTTGCATGTGGCACCGTCTTGTTGAAACCACATATCATGCAAGTCAAGCACTTGCATTTAGAGCAAAAAAAAAAGTTGTTGAAGATGTTTGGCAGTGATACAAAATATGAAACGTGCGTTAGCTGTATAAGCCAGGGTTGTCACAAAGATATTGGCTAAAAAATCACCCTCTATGTATGTGTGTGTGCGAACATAAATAAAATGCATTCGTTTATCATATATTTTGCTCCTCTTTCGAATTTATTCTTCATGCCTTATACACGACTATTCATCGCTTCACACTTATTTTCCACTCTCGGCGAAAATAAATGCCGGTGATAAAAGGAAGAGCACAAATACATATAATACAATATATGCCAAAACAAAATAAAGAATCAACAATTCAGTGAAATGTGAAATAAATAGTTTGTATGTATGAATGTATGCATGGGATATGTGTTTATTTCAGCGATTTTACAAGCAAATAGTAATAAAAATAAATGCTAAGTGAGAAAATAAAGTGAGGACAAGAAATAAATCGACGACGGAAAACGAAGCATGAAAAAGTGTTAGAACAATCATCAAAGTGGTGAAGAATAAATTGAGTGAGCTGAATAAATTGCTCAATACAACAACAGCAATAAAGTAAACTGTACACAGAAATAACTAAATACATGCACAAGAGCTGCATTGAGCAGAAAATAATATAAAAACACCGAGATAAATCAAACAAAAAATTTACACATTTAATTGAATTACAATCACAATGCCGGAGGCCACATCCACTTTCCCCTACGTTTATACACCGGATCCGCCCAAGAAGGCGGCAGTCATAAAAGTCTCATGTGGCATCGGTGATACGGATGGATTTCCCGCCTTTGATGTCGATTCAGATGCTTATGCGGCCAAAGATGATCCCAAGTGGGGTTTCCTAATCACGGGCGGTGCTGAGTTCCACATGCCGCTGACCGTATTTCAGGTGAGTAATATTATATATATATATGTACATATTAATATGGGGTTGAATGAGTGTTTACGTATATTGTGTATTAATATCCATATTATTAGCAGTATTTATTTATATGAATTCGCATAAATTAAAGATGTGGTTGCATCTGATCATGAGTGGCCACTCGGAACATGGCTTATTAAACATGTTTGATACGAATGTGCTTTTGGTTGTAAGGTATTTAAAAAAAAGTATTATAATTAAGCATTTTTGCTGCATATACTGTTGTTTTATGTTGTAAGTAAGGGAGCGAAAGAGCGCTCGCCTCTTGAGTCAGCATCCGTTGTTTCGATCCCAGCAAGTGGTTCTTTCGCTCGCTTAGTTATAACGGTGAAACAAATTTAGTTTGGCAATGCTATTTTTTATTAAATTAGGGGTCCAACTTTTATGAAGATATACAAAACATAAGCTATTGTGTTACGCTCTGATGCACCTACAAGATTCTCTGAACGGCAGAGAAAAAAAACACAGTCTCATGTCACAGTAGGAAGTTCTAGAAAAAAAAAAAAATCGATATAAACGTTTTCATTATATTAGGAGTTTCATGTGCATTCAACATTCATAAAATTCGATTAAATATGAGGATTATTTCTGAATGTGGCAACCCTAGTTTTTCAATCTGCCCACCGACTATTTTATCGAAATTTTTGACATTTTTGCTGTTAAACCTACTCAGTACGTTCTGACATACAAGCCCTATATGTATTGTTTACAGTAACTTGAAATCGTGAATTAACTCAGCAACAGTGCATTGATGAAATTAATGCAATTTTGTATGGTGGAAAGTCCAATCGAGGTCGCAGATCACTCCAAGGCGAATTTCGTGAAGGTCTTCCAAAATCAGTTGTTATTACATTATTTATGCTGTGAGCAAAATGATATTGGATATTGATCATTATGTGCCCTATTTTGATATTAATACAACTATTTGCAGTAGAGGGTATGGAAGTTTAAAGATGACCCGAAATCAACAAAAATTTTGTGAGCACGAAGCGATTTCAAGCAAATGGTTACCTGTTAAAAAGACTGCATATATGGCAACCCTGCCACTATAATACCGCAGCACAGTAAATTCTAAATCGTTGTGTTTCTAGGAATTAGTAAAGCTATCTGCCGAAGACGCATCACTATAACGCGAGCTCTCACACGTCGCCTGAAATAATTGCATCTTTGAGCACTCAAAACTTCATTATCGCTTATCCGCGCATAGGCCTCACTTTGCACCGAAGGTCCTGTCCTGGTCCTGGTTGGACCTTATCATTGTGACCTCAGACCTGGTCAGTCAACTATTGACCAGATAATCACCACGTGCCAAATCTTGGAAACACGATCGACGCACATCACCTCTTCGTCGATTTTAAAGCCGCTTACGACAGCACGAATAGGAACTGCCTCCATGCCGCTATGTCTGAATTTGGCATCCCCGAAAAACGTATATGGCTGAGTAAACTGACGCTAGACAGCACCAGAAGCGCAGTCAGAATTGGGAAGGACCTCTCCGAGCCGTTCATACCAAACGAGGTTTCAGACAGGGTGACTTCTTGTCATGTGATTTCTTCAATCTGTTTCTGGAGAGAATACTAAGAGCTGCAGAGATGAATAGAGAAGGTACAATCTTCTATAAGAGTGTACAACTACTGGCGTACGCCGATGATATTGACATTGTCGGCCTCAACAACCGCGCCATTAGTGCTGTTTTCTCCAGGCTTGATAAAGCAGCGAGGCGAATGGGTCTGGTAGTGAACGAGGACAAAACGAAATATCTCCTGTCATAAAACAAACAGTCATCGCATTCACGATTTGGCTCCCACGTCACTGTTGACAGTCATAAGTTTGAAGTCGTAGATAACTTCGTCTTCATATGGGCCAGCATTAAGGCCAACAATAATGTCAGCCTTGAAATCCAACGCAGAATCACTCTTGCCATCAGGTGCTACATTGGATTGAGTAGGCAATTGAAAAGTAAGGTCTTCTCTCGGCGTACGAAAACCAAACTCCAAAACTCTCTCATATTGTGGTTCCCGTCCTGCTATATGGTGCGGAAGCATGGACGATTACAACATCTGATGAGTCGGCATCAGGAGTTTTCGAGAGAAAGGTTTTGCGTAAGATTTATGGTCCTTTGCGTATTGGCAACGGCGAAAATCGTGGACGATGGAACTTCTGAGCTATACGAGTTATACGGCAACATTGATATAGTTCAGAAAATCAAGAAGCAGCGGCTACGATGGATGGGTATACTCCAGCTTTGAAAGTTTTCGGTGTAGTACCCCCCGGTGGGCGCAGAGGAAGAAGAAGACCTTCACTCCATTGGCAAGACCAGGTAGAGAAGGATCTGGCTGTACTTGGTAAGCGGTGTCTGCGCCAGTAAAGTAAGCAAGCATAACTTAGTAAGGTTTCTTAATGTGATATTTATTATTTTAAACTAATTTGTATTCCAATTGTAGCAGAATTGAATTCCTTAAACGCAATATGTTCTGACAAATAAATGATGCTAAAAACTACAATGCAATATTAATAACTAAATAGCAGCGTATATTAACCTACTCCCAATTCTCTAAAGTCCCGCCACAGTTGTATTATTTGAAATGCAATAAAATATATATGTACGAGTATGTATTAAACATACATATATGTCTGCATATAAATATATAATTTTGTGATGGGAGATATATGTATAATATGTATGGTATACGGGTATGCGCAGTACTGTTAATGGAAGCTTCTAATGCAGCCAATAGGAAAGTGAATTTAATCAAAAACTGTCATTTTCTAAATAAGTCAGAAGTATTTAAATAATTTAAGGTAAATAGAGGTAAATTTTGGTTTCTATTCCCACATAAATTATCACTCACACACAGAACTGTTGAAAAGAAATTTCAATTAAAGATATTTTATTAAATAAAGCATCAAATTGCAAAATCAGTTAGTTTTACGATTATAAAGTAACGGTATTTCGTTTGATCTGCAAATATTTTTCGTATAAAGTACATCCGCCAATTAAATACATTCATTTTAACCTAAATTTGTTTCATAAAAAATACTACCTTTCATCAGACGAACGGGACTCTGCATATATACACAGTCAAAAATTCAATCTAGAAATTTGCCTGTTTTCGAAATGCATAATATTGTTTAAAATTCGTCCTAAGGGGTATCATTTAATAATTTATTTGAATATATATATATGTTGTACGCTTTGATTTATTTACTCAACATTTGTACATACGTATGTATTGTATATTTATATAATCTTGTTAGAGCATGGTGGCCAACCACTTGCCGCAAGTCATTCATTATGAGTTGAAATGAGATAAACAAAAGAAAAACATATAACTGAGGGCAAAATATATCAAGTCTTTTTTTTTTACTACAGAAACTTGCAAAAAAGCTAATTAGTAAGCGTTTTGTAAATAAAAGCAGAAAGAAGTGCTGTCTTCAGCCATGTTGAATGTACCCTTCTTTATACCCTTAATGAACATAACAAAATTACTTTAATGCATTTTCGGATCAAATTTTAATCCAGATATTATAAAAATTCAATACTATAATCTGGCTGGTTCTGATAAATGAGTAAACTAAATATATATAAAAGGCTTCGCTGAATTCCAAAGAGGATTTCTGTGAGATTTTGATATTTTTGAAAGAGTTGCCACCTTCAGAAAAATAAAATTTCCCTTAAATCTTAATTGTTATGTGCACATGTATGTCATTGCCTAAATTACGATGAGAACGACGTTTTTTTCCTGAAAATAACTTGGAGCCGATCATCTAATTCATCTAACTTATACTTTTGTTCACATGAAATTCGACGAAGTGGACCAGATATTGATGTTTTTGAGGCAATTGCTTATATGGGCAGATTTAGAGCTGGTTTGAAGTTCGCGATGCGGTTCCAACAATGGGTTTCAATACTATTCTTACTCATTTGATCTAAGCGTAATGCCGTCCTGCTAATTTCGCGGCATTTATATTTTCACTTCCATGGACGAGTTGGAGTAACGAAAAAGCAATTAATCTCTGATAAAAATAATGCAGTGGGACCCACATTACATTACCAATTATAGCCTTAATTCAGTAATGCCGTTAAATGTTTTTCTTGTATTAGGTTTTCGTTAAAATATTCTTGGGTAAAGTTTTATTCTAAACACATATCTATGGATGCTTCATATGAATAAAACAAAATTGTCTTGCTAAAAGTTTTAATCAATTTTCTTATTCACGCAATGAGACTTTCCCTGAAAATTCTTAAGTGAAGCCTAAGAGGAGCACTCTTTAGATGGATGCAATGCTTTCAGTTAAAACCACATTGGTAGCAGCGATGATTCTCGAAGCCAGTTTTATGTAGAGAAATTTAATTAGTTGATCATCGTGCAAAGTTTTTGTCTCCTTCAGTTCTAAGTGCACTCGAATTTCAGAGCCCAGTTTTATAGGACCGCCTTTACAGTTCCAAAATATCCACATGGTGGCTAAATGATGGAAAGCAGTTGTCTTTCTTCACAGAATAGTTTTTAGGTGTCATTAGTGTGTGAATTCTTACTTTAAATGTCAATAGATTTTGGGTTGGTTGAAATTTATTCAAAAAAAGTAATTTAAATAAAAGAGGCTGAATCCATTTTCACATTTCAGTTGAAGTGATGGCAAAACTGAAGGATCCATGGTATGAGTTCAATGATGAAGACTTCAATTAGGATTTGCTCACCAATTTTTTATCGCAGGGCACCTCACTAGTCTGCTTATAAGTGTTGGAAGTGTTGAAATAATTTTCAGCCTAATTTCTCTTCCAATTTGCGATGAACGCCTTGATGTTTTCCCAACAATTTGATTTTCATGTCAGAAATACGAATCGTGTAAGCGATGTCAACCGCAAGAAGAAGAAGAAGGCTTTTCTAAAGCATAAGCGTACGTACGTACTCGGTTTATAGACGTAATCTACGGCGTAATCTACGGCGTCAGCTTATCTCTCAGCCGATATGAGATCGCTTTTCCATGGGTATATCTAGGCAGCATATTCCTTTCCAAATTATGGTGTTCCACCATTAAATCTTTTTTAAGCTGGATTTAACCAATTATTTAGATTTCTTCTGTATTTACTGAGATTTGCAACGATTTGAGTATAATTTTGTGAACGGATGGCAGTTTGAAATAAACGTTCGTAGCTTCTGTAATATCTAATAACGTGACGTAGGTTACGTTAACGAATGTCGTGATCCGAAAAAAATATTTTTACGCGATGAGTTGCACGTTCATGTAGGTTACAATTTGACTCAGACATTACGCCCTTCAAAGGAGTTCAACCAAACGGGTGAATTTCACCCTAATTTTGCATTTTACAAATTTAAATCAGCTCTCAGTGTCAAATATCGAGATAAACCGTTATTAATGCATGAATAAATATCCGACGCATTTTGTTTTGTCAGTTTAGTTAGGCAATGAAAATACAAAACGGATATAAAATAATTACATTTGTAAATTATTCAACGCGCTTCTTGGCAGTGAATAAATATAGGCTTATTGAAGCAACAACAACATACAGAAACAGCAGAACATTCAATTGTTCAATGCATAATTGAGAATGTAAGCAAAATTTTAAATATTTATATTTCTACATATCATCGCTTGCCAAAAATATTAAACGTCAAACTGAACATCTGAGCCATTATTAGCAAATTACTGTTTTCACACTAGTTCGTGTGGTTGTTTGGGCTGAAGAATTGAACCACACGCCAGCCGCCATCGGTTGCCAAACAAAAAGGGCGCAAGTGGGCATGACTCGAGGGAAAGTAGGTTGGCGCTATACTAGGAGAATATGTATGTGGATCCTTATGTGTGTACATTTGTGCAACCGATCCACGTACGTCAGAGCAACGCACGAGCTGCGCGTTAGACGCCAGAATAATTCTGAGAAGGCGAAAAGAAAAACGCAGAAAATTTACTTAAAATACAAATGTTTTATTTATGTACGTCCATCATTTTAAATTTGCCTAGCAAAAAACAAAAAATATATTTTTGAGCTAAATCTTGTGCATTTAAAAATCTTATTTGTGCTCATTGCTGTGGCAAACGTTTTATTGAAAACATCATTACTTGTTCGCGCATTCGCCGGGAGCTGGTGGGTAAAATTAAAATTTTGAAAAAATTTCACTTGCATAAGCTGAAAAAACGAAATTGAGAAAATCTCAGAGAAATCACTAAATTAGACTTAAGCCATTATTAGAGTTTAGTTTGGCTGTGTGTGCGTACGTGTGCTTGTGATTGTAAAATCGGAACTCGCATTGTAGTGACATTCGGTATTGCAACTTTCTTTTAGGTGACGCCCGAGGGTTTAGCGGACAAAGGCGGCATCCGCTTGGGTGACATTATATTGGAAATTAATGAAGAAGACGCCACTGAGCTTACACTGACTCAAGCGCATGAGCAAATTGAAGCTTCTGGCAAGAAAATCCATTTCCTGGTGAAGAAGTGAGTTGCTTTTACTAGTTATAACTGGTGTTTGTTGTAGTTGTTACTATTGTACGCTGTAAAGCTTCCGTATTTCATTTCTCCTTTTTATAAAAACAAAAAAAAAAAAGTTCAAAATACTTCCTTTCTTACTTTTGCAGCATGGAGGAGGATCCAGATTTCGAGTTGGGCGAGGAGAAGTCAATTGTGCTGCGTGTGCCAAAGCCGATGCCACCGCCAAAGGGTAAGTTCGGAGGAAAAAAGCAGTAAAGCAATGTATATGTTTGTATATCCGTCCATATATCCACGCATATTAGTTATGCTTGTGAGTAGTTGGGTGTGGCATGAAGCGTTTAGTGTTTTTGTAGCGCATGGATTTCTGTCTTTGGCATTGATTCCGCAATTCGCACAGCTCCTGACTTGCATGTTTTCCGTTTGACTCGCTTTAATTTGCATGAAACCGCTCGTTTACCTGTTGGCTTGCACACATTTCTTTATCGGTAAAGTTTTTCGCTGTCCACTGTACGTTTTTTGCGTTCTGCTTTCAACTCACATACATACTAACGCGGGTTTCTCGTTTTATCAATTTTGTTCTCTTTTCATTTTCCGTAGAGTTCACCCCAACCCCATTATTAGGCACCCGTTTTTGGCATCCCATCATGTGGCACGATCCACCCGAGCCACCGAAACCGAAGAAAAAGAAAACCAAAACCGAAGTGGATGAAGAGGGTAATGAAGTTATCATCGAATTGAGTGAAGATGAATCCTCTGAGGATGAAGAGGAAAAGGTGATTTGCTTAATGCACACTTCAACATTCGATATGATAATTGATTCCTTTGCACACATCCTTCCATGCTGCACTCCCTTTCCCTTCCACTTATACTCAAATATACTACTAATTGACACTGTGATGGACGCGCATCCACACATAATTGATAGGTTTCCGCGCTCTCAGTAAAATTTGCTGTAACGGTATTTGTTATTTAAGAGAATTCGCGCAAAAGGGCATTATATATGTGCAAATAATATATAATATGTGCAAAAAAGGCTGAGGAACATTTTTGTTTTAAAGGAGCAGTGTTTGGTGAAGATGTTAACGGCCGTATTAGGTGGTCGAGGTCATATTGAAGTCTAAAGGTTTTTAATCAGGGTAGGAAATGCGCAAATTACGTCATTCGCTTGGAGATAACCGAAATGAAACAACTAGATGGTCAGCCTGATGGTGGCTTTGTTGTTTTTATCACAGAAAAATTGAATTAACAAACTAAGTTTTTAATGTGAAAATACAAACCATGGAACATTGTCGAGAACCTTGAAAAAAAATTGAGATGCAGACCATAAATAAGTACGTATATGTAAAGGGTGATTCATTTTGGGGGTTCGAAAATAAACGCATTTAAAATAATTTTTTTTTTCTTTTTTGTTATAAACTTTTATGAACTTTGGCATTATATGTGAAACACGATATTATTTTCTGTAATATGTTTGGGGTAATTTCCGACCACTTTTTGGCATACCCTTATATTTGGCGGTGATTTTTTGAATTGTAATTGCCTGTCTTCAAATATTTTAGGATTCTCTAAACTCGAAATGTGACAATAAGATTAGATTTAAGAAACAAAAACGCATTTTTTGAAGTCTTTGAAGCAGACTACTGCCTCAAAACGTAAAACGTGGTCAAGTGTGATTAACTATTTTTATGGAGACAGTCTCATTATGTTTCGATTCATTTGAAACTTAGTGGAATGGTAGCTTATCGTTTATATTAACATGTGAAAATTTGTCTTAGAGGCTACCATTTCGTTTTTTACTGATTTTGAGAATATTCAAATAATTCACCTTTCGAAGCCATGAGATTGGCACGATGTGGCATACATATATTACATCTTAGAAAAAACTCTAATGGGATATTAAAGAATTAGTTTTTATTCGACTGCCTCCCAACTTTCTTGTTTTTGTTTCTTTTTTTTTGGTAAATTTGTTAAAAACTTTGTTAAGAAAAAGAATTTCTGCAAAATTTGCCTATAAAACTTTTTTGTTTTAATCTTACTCAGAGCTCTTTCATCTTTAATGCGTACTTTTCTTGCCAAAAACACGATTTATTGCGAAGAGTAAATCAATAAAGCAAAACAAGCGCTCAAGATGTCATTAGCACCGTCAAGTACATGCACAGACACATACATGCAATTACCTCAATACCTGCCACAAGCACCCACCAACTAATACGTTTAACTTTTTATGATTGTCACACCAATAACTGTATAATAAAATAAAATAATTCTCTGTTCATATCCCGCATTGCACTACCAAATTGCTGCCTGCGCCGTCAACACTGCAACCATGCTGCCGCTGCTACGTCTTGAATGCTTTGTTAAACCCACCTAAAAAACACCAACTGACGCCTAACGCTTGCCGCACCAATCGCGATGACCAAATCTCGACGTACAAGAGTAGGAGTTGCCGCATCATCGCATCATACGAAACATACGGCGCTTCTTCGCTGAGGTCGGCGACAATCGCGAGCTGAAGGAACGCACCATTGAGGATATGTTGCTGGCTCTGCCATCAGCATCGCGCTCAATGAAACCGTCGACACAGCCAAAGGAGCAGGAGAGCAGGAAAGGTCGTCGCAATGTCAATGCCTCGAATGCCAAACGACGAGGTGGTGGTCGCAAAGTGGCAAAGGATTCGGATGATGAGGATGTGGACGAGGACAAAGATGAATATGACAGTGATGATGATTAGTGTGGCCAATAGTTCCTCGTACTTGCATAAAGAAATATAATATTATATTATGATATTTTGCCGCATTGCTGTGTACAATAACATCGAGAGAAATTAAAATTAATTTAAATAAAATTTTCGCTTTTGAAAGTACCGAATCATAAAAAAGAATGATTATAATTAATGGTTTTACCTGGAAAATTACAGTAAAGGATTTGTGTAAAATACTTAGAAATATACTATGAATATAAATTTAAATGTTTTTATGCTGACTGTGCGTGAATTGTATTGTTTAATTTTTTATTTTATTCTATTGAATTTATGTATAATAAATTTGCATGAAAACTTTTCTTTATGCATGACTAGTTTTGAAACCCACTCAGTAATTACTTTTTTAAAGCTTTTGTTTAAAAAATAATATTTGAATGAAAGGAAATATATTTCAGTTGATTAAAATTCCTTCTTTTTATCCGGTTGACACTAAATTGAAATAAAATAAAGATTATCGATTGACGTAATATTACAAATAGGGTCCAGATCTAATGAGTTTTTAAGATCGAAACATCATATTTGAAAAATTTTGAAATCGATTTTTTCATTAATATATGCGGAGCTTATATTTATATCAAGAGGAAATTCATCAAAACAAATCATCAAAACAATGTTAGTGAAAACAGGCATCTCTTGATTCCAACTCTTTCCCAGCTAAATCATTCGACACAGTCATTATCTCATCATCACTTGGTGTTAGGCTTGGACTATAAGGTGGATGCATTAGAGCCTCCAAACCTAGCTCTTGGAGATTCTGGCGAGTCGCTACCGATGTGTGTGATTTGGCGTTTTCATGATGACACCCATCCTCCTTTTGGTTAAAGCTGGGTATTTTTGAACGATTGCCACTTGCGATCCAATCCAATTGCTGACAGTGCAGAGAGCATTCTTAATACTACGGGCGTAGGGGAACACCTCATAGTGGATGAGTGGCAAGGGCCAATCCCATAAAATACACAACATAAACGTCCTGGTCGTGAATCCTGGCAAGAAGACGGTTTTTGCAGGTTCACTCTCCCTCGGCCATTTTAATCACCAGTTACCATTCAGAGGTTAGCATAATAGATGCTTAAAGATTTTGTTCGTTAACTCTTGTGACACCAACAGATCGAGCTTGTTTGTAGATCCAGCCCTTTTCAAGTGATTCCAAATTGTTCTTTTGCACAGTGTTTAGTGCCTGTGCATTCGTAACGGTGCTCGCACAACGCTCAGACTCAACATTTTTTGACAAATTTCGACCTGTGTTTTCGCCTTCATTGAAGAGAAATCTAGGAATATAACGTATTTTCCCTTAGGCAATGACCAGCTTTGATATGTGCTCAAACAAGTACAAAATATTTATTGTCTAACGCTGGCTAAGCTTTATACTTTACAATACATATATGCCATTTTCTTACGATCCTCTCCGTAATTATCATTTTTCTACTAATTTTCCAAATCATTTACAAAAAGCTCTTTCTCTCTATTAGTAAATAATTCTTTTTTAGTAACTTCTACACCACTGTCGTTCTGTCATCCTTTCAACCCACTGATTTATGATTTATTAATTTCCTTTCAACTTGCAATTTCCCACAAATCTTTTCGCCTTTTGTAAATAGTGAAATCGGCTGCTTCCATCGAGGCGCGCCTACGCGAAATGCAACGTAAATTATCGGAAATTGCGGAAATACCAAAAATTCTATCCTCCACGCTCGCAACCGTTTCGCAAACCTTTGAGAAATTAAATCCCTCCGAGTTGAAGCAACAATACCGCAAGCACTCTTACGATGAGGATGCACTAGATTATGAGCTAAGTGGCGCCACAACCGCCGCCGTCACTGCCAACGGGGAACGGCGTCTTAAGTTGAAGGCAAAAGGGAAAGCAAACTCAAGAACCACTACGTCACCAGCACGTGGCAGTGGCGGGGAAAAGTTGTATTTGGCAAAAGACCCAACGCCCGAATCGGATTATGCATCGGAAGGCAATTATGAATCAAATGAAGCAGACACGGATGATGACGATTACGTTTACGATGGTGATGTTGGGGAAAGTGGTGGCAGCGGCGCATTTGATGTTGGCAATAGAAAATACAAAAACAGCACTAATACTTCCGTGCGTATGGCGGCAGAGCTTGTGGCGAATGACAAAGAGGCATGTGTTGCGTTTGTAACGCGTATGAGGCCGGTAAAGTCGAGCAAACAGCAACAACAAGAACGCAAACAATATCAACAACATCAATATCGTGACAATGTCAATGTCAGTGAAGAGTTGGAAGATGATTTGTCTACGACAGAGGATGAAGCTAAGGATTGTGACGTGGATGAGGATGAGGTTGAGGCAGAGAATTCCGACGACGATGTCGTTACAGCAAGGTTGGCTGTCGACGGCGTCTCAGGTAGTAGTGACGATGATGATGATGAGGTCGATGATGTTGGCGATGATGACGACGACGATGAAAATGATTTCTTAACTGCCACCTACACCTGGAGCCTGAGCAAAATACCCAAACTACGGTTGAATGATGAGAAGCAATCTGACGACGAGAGTAGTACGTTCAAGGATCAGATTGACATGAATGACACGGATGAGGAAAAGCCGAACAAGAAAGCGCGTTGGTGCCACACAGACGACGATGACGCGCAGCATGAAAAACCTGTGCTTTGGGCGGAGGATGCAGATGAGAAGGAGAAGAAGGTGAGTGGCTCTGGATGTTTAATAAATGTTTAAATGTAATGAATTGCTCATACTTTCTGTGATGATATTTTATAAAAAATGTGGGTGTTATACTTATGACTTGCTTGAACTCATGAGACGCTTGAAGTGTACAAAATATATATTAAATATGTATATATATTATATATGTATATAGGGTGCTCCATCTTTTATGTCGGTATGAAAAGATTGAATAACTTTGAGAAAAAACAACAGATTTCTATACGTGATGTATTTTTATTCAGTTTGGTTCCTTAACATTTTCTTGGACGGGTTTTCGAAACCTATATTAGTCAAGGCAATTGTTAGCAATTACAAAATGACTCCTTTCTTCTGCGTTTGCCATTACCTTTCCGAGCATCTCGGGTGTTATATCGTCGATTTCAGCACGAATGTTTCCGTTAGACTCATCAATAGATAGTTTGAGGCCGGTTTGCGTAAACCTTGCTTTTCAGATAACCCCACAAAAGAAAGTCAGGTGATGTGTCAGATGGTGCTTTTTTGAGTTAACACAATGGAACAACTGTTTTCGTTGTAAAGTGTCACTATGTCAGCGCATTGTTTCGGTGTGAAGCGATCCATTACAAAAATCGTACTGAATCGACGTTTCCAAAACAAATGTGCTGCAGCCGCTCGGTTGGTAATTGGGAGAGTTATTCAGCGTTTACATACCGACATAAAAGATGGAGTACCCTGTATATATGTATAACCAAATAAATTTGAAAAACATGTAGAACTATTAGAGTGAATACGAGCACTTGCCAATTTGTGCTGAGAAGATAATAGTAAATTCTAAGGAAAATGATACTAGAAATCAAAATTAAAATTAATTAATTAAAAATTCGAATTTTTTTAATTTTTAATAACGTAACGAGCTTTTGTAACTTTTCATAGGAACTTGCAATGAAAGGATTTTAACTCGGGCCAATAATATTAATTTCTGCTTTATAATTTTCTCCAATATGTACAAATAGATTAATAAGAATATTTTTATTTTTAGTTTGCTGATAAATTAGAGCGCTCCTGGCCGTGGGCTGATCGAGAGAAAATAATTTACAAGTGAGTAATACTATATGTCATATTGATTAGATTGAATACCATATTTTTCTGGAAAAATTGTGTAAAAATATTTTGCAGAAAAGTCATACAAATTTGCCCGCAAAGGAATTATTATTCATATTTCGAGTGTAACTGACTTGTGTCCAGGGCCCAGGTCCATTAGTGTTCGTAGGAAACAAGAGTATTCCATTTAGGCGTACCATCCAAAAATTTTACTAAAAGGAACCTTGAGTCTGCTTTTTTTTAATAGACTCCGTAAAAAAAGAATTTAAAGCAAAACGAACTGTTTAAACGATTTTTTCGCAAATAACAAGTTTTAGGTCAGTCCCTGCCCTACTTCCCGAAATATTTTCTTCATACAAACCTTTCCAAGAACCATAAGAACAATTTGGCAAATTGAAGGTAATCGGTCGAATTATGCGGAACTTTACAAGCGAACGTAAGATTTTCAAATACGCAGAAAATTGAGAAACCTCTGACCGTTTTTCTTTGAAAAATGAAAAATATCGATTGTACTCGTGGTTTGGTTTTAATATTTTTTTTATTATTTTCACTACTCGTTCCAAAGTGAGCTTGAGCGATTTCCGGCATGGTTTCTAGCAAATAAGTGTTTAAGATTTTTAATAAATAATAAATATAATCCACCTTCTTGATTGACATTTCCAATATATATACACATGTACTTATTATATATGCGGTTTTGTCAATATCCCTTTCCGTTATGTAATTAAACACTTGTGTTAGTTTTCAATTTCATCACTTTCAAAGTACATAAATTCTCATAAGAGTAGCTATTCTTCAACCGCGTTCCAACTTCTTCTTCCTCAACAGGCAATCAACTTGTCATCTGGTGCGTCGGCGTCCCTTGGGTTTGGTTGAGCAACGTATCAAATTATTGGCTAAACAGAATCTTAGCGACAGTTTGGAGCGACAGCTGCAGCACTGAAGTTTAATATTACATTGGCTACGAGTCTTTGTTGCGAGCAGGGGAAAGTCCCATTGACAATGTGGCAATGGTAAAACAAACGGAGCCGATAGCAAGTGGATATGCTGGTGGTGGAGGGTCGTGGAATGCAACTGCCATTTAATAAATTTATTTTGATGGACACTTTAGTAAATTGTATACATACATATATATTTATATTATTGCTTATATTTTATATTTATTGAAATTATATATCATACGATACAGTTAATTAGCTATATTAGCACACATTTACATGCATATGCTGATACATATGTATTTCATTTTAAATAAATCGTTCAGTTTTTTACTTTGTATTGTCGTATTCATTCACTTTAACGGAAGCGGACTGGCGGGCTTGCGGGCTATCCCTACATAAATCAAACGAAATGAAATGAATGGCACAGATTTCCCGAAACTTCCAAGCGTTGTAGATTCATTAGTGGCTTACGGCTAGGGGCGTGGATCCTTGTACCATTAATCAATAGGAACATAATAAGTTTCTAATGAAAGAAGAACCATATCCCTATGTTAAAGTAATTTATGAGCAATATTTCTAAGATACCAATTTTTTTTTCTTTTTTTGCTTGTCGTTCTTAATTGCATTTTCTTCTCATTATTTTTAAATAAAATTAAGAAACCTTCAAGTATATCAATTACGTACTTGAGCAATTTTTATTTAAATCACTTAATAATTTTTTACGCACTGCGATAATACATTTAATGAAATCCACATTATTCGTCGTGGTCAGATAGCATTGATTCATTTCGGAATTTTTATATAAACGCACACGGTTGTCGATGTTATAACCAAGTAGCTGATAAATAAAAGCAACAACAACATTAGTAAGAGCAAAAGTGCCGCAGCTTAACATATATTTTTTGTATTGCTAAATTTAAAAATTGTGAGTTTAGACCTTTCTTCATTGCTATACAACTAATTTATATTTGCTGTAGCATACCATTAGGCGCTCGTCTCAACTCACCAACGGCATTTCAAGTCCATTAGGTCTCTCACTCAAAGCACATACTTTGCCCTTGCTTTCGCACGCCACCAATTTATTTCGAAATTTATAAAAACTTTCCGCTTCGGTTTTGTACAGCGCATAGACGTCTTTTGCACTCACTTTATTGCTATAGATTCGTCTGCACTCCTTGCTCATCGCTTCAATATCGGGTTCCATGTGGAAATCGCAGGTATACCAGAAATTCGCGAGCTCCTCATGTGCAGCGAAGCAGAACTGGAAATTGTTTCACTGTTTAATATTTTGAATGCCATAGAAAAGCTGCGGGCAAGGAAGGAACTTACGTGACTGGTGCCGGCAGTGGCGAGCAATAGATATATAATTTGTAGCATTATTTTTGAATTAAAAAATAGTAAAAACTAAAAAAATAGCCATTATTTTTAGGAATTTTGACATTATTTATATCTTTTTGAAAAACAATAATTGTGAAAACAAAAAAATAAAAAAGCTTAGGTCGAAATTTCATAACAGAATGCATTGATTTCATATCTGATTTTGGTATGTGGAATGCTACAGACTACAGAAATTGAAATCGGATTAAAGGCCTAAACAAATGATCTCCACTATTTCCGCTGCGCTTTGGCAATCCCGAACTTAGCTTTCAAATCAAACATGTTTTGTTAGAGTTAAAAGCGAAACGCACATTTCCAACTCGAGGGTGCGTAATTAAGAAAAATTGTGGTATATCGCACACCGAGAATCTTCAGATATTTGAAGAGAGGACATAACACCCAAACAAATTTACTGTCTCGTACGTTTGATTGGACTTCACTTCTTTGAAAACTTCAACGACAAAGCTATAACTGTGAATTTGTAGCGGTTGCATGGCCATCTGCCACACACCAAGAGCGAATATGGTCTTAATGCCGTCTTGGCGGTGGGAATTAGGTGCCAAAATCGTGCGATTTTATGCCGTTGGTCTTGTCTTTGTGGGCCATGCGAGAGATCTTATTCATGCGGATAAAACATTAATTCTTGAGTAATTGAATGGACTAAAGTTTCCAAAAATTCACGAGAGGATCACTTGAAAAACCGAGTCTCATGAAAACAAATTTTAAAATGCATTTTTTTTGCGTATATTTTCGAAACTGAAAAATGGATGACCTTGTTTAAAAAGACTTTACTTACAATTTTTTGCTCAGTTCATTTATTTTCTTTATCTCACCTTTTTGCTTTTCGTTAATTAGCGAGCACAAAAACAATTCAACTTTATTTTAAACACATTTATTATCTTCATGATATGATATAAATAAACAAAAAAAAAAAAAAAAAAGAAAAGAGCTTGCTACTAAAGCCAAATAAGACGCACAATATCTTATAATAAATAATATGTTTTTCATATAAATAATTACATGACTACTTAAAATGAAATAATGAAAAAATTTGCTACAGTGTTTTAGTTTAATTAAAGTATTTGCATATCAAAATTCTCTAAAAAGATTATGAATTGACTTAATTCATTAATTAATTTGAATTAAAATTTGTTTACTTAAAAATTTAAATACATATACATACATAGCACTTACGTACAACAATTTACACACAACTCTATGTGATTTATTTAATATACATACATAAACACATATATATTTTCACTGTTTAAAACTTATTTCATCTAAATTGTGTTTTCTTTTTGATTTATATTTTTCTGATAATAAATTTATTTATCCCTTTTGCCCAATTAGCTCGGTTCTGTTGAAGGCTTTTTGTTGCTTTTGCTCATTATCATAATTTTTCTTACATACATTTATTGAAATTTACACCTCAAAAGCTTTTCCATATACATACATACAGACATCTGCATACATTAGTGTACGCTTCATAACTCCTCGCAGCTCTGGCAGCCGTTTTTGTTGCTGTTGTCGGCGCATTTGGCTCTTTAAGTATTTCTCTCCTTGAATTTTAAGGAGGTTAAATCTTTATGCTGACGCTGACGTACTTGTGTTGGTACTTGGAGTTCTGGTATTGAAGGTGGCATGCCTTTTTTGTGAATTTAAATAAATTAGGTATTTATGCTAAACATTTTACTAAATTAAACAAAAATAGTGCTATACATATTGATTGATTCTAATCTTTTCTTGTAAAGCATGTTTGTCCACTAAATTAACAAGTAATAAGAAATAAATTTCTCCTAATTTTTTTAAAGCGATTTTTCAACATCAAAATGTTTACTTCATAATTCTCCAATTTACATAGAAATTTCTTTTGGCTAAAAATCCATTAAAAAAATAATTATTTCTTCCATAGATTTTTAACATGTTAAGGCAATAAAACGAGGGCAACCCTTTTGAGATTTACTGATCAATAGAAAATAATATATTTATTATATCAAATTTAAAATTCATGGTTTTGATTAGAAAAGTGTGAAAACTTGCGTTTTCTGCATTTTGAAAATACATCAATTAGACATTTCGGAGATCTGCATTCTCTGCACAAAACGGCAGCGAGCTCAAGTGTTTTCAGTCAATAAGCGTGATGATTGTCAAATATGTTTTTTGTTCATGTTTTGTTTGCTTGATTTGATATCACATTTGTGATTTCGAAAAAGTTGCGGGGCAGATTAATTTTCCCTGATTTTGACAGCCGCGACCCTAAAGAAAAATTCTAAATATTGTAATTATTTTATTTATTCTTCTGCTGTAAGTTTTTCAAATTCCCTTTGATTCTGCACAACTCATTTCAACTTCATTTTCTTTTCTTTTCTTTTCTTTTCTTTTCTTTTCTTTTCTTTTCTTTTCTTTTCTTTTCTTTTCTTTTCTTTTCTTTTCTTTTCTTTTCTTTTCTTTTCTTTTCTTTTCTTTTCTTTTCTTTTCTTTTCTTTTCTTTTCGGACATGAATTTGCCATGTTCTGAAAACCGATTCCACAGAAAAGTACTGATCTCCAATCATTTAAAAACTGCTTTGTGGATTTTTTGAAAAGGTGCCCAAATACTTTTAAGAAATAAGATTTCTTAGACATTGGCATCCAAGAAGAAATAAAACGCATATAGTTTAATGCTGCAAGTGATTTCAGAGATTTCAGAGGCACAATTGTCGACTACGTTTTGAAGCAATTTGTGCCATACGCCAGCAATAACTCGCCGAATATTCTCTTCCAAAGTATCAAGCGTCTCGAGATCATTTGCGTAGACAAGCGACTTTACATGGACAATAGTCCAGCGGTGTTAAGTTGCATGATCTTGGAGGCCACGCTACAGACCCACGACGCGCACACGAAAAGTTTCCTTCAATAACTTAATTAGCGTCATGCATATAGCGCCATCTTAATAATAAGAAAGGTCGTCCACAACAACGGCCTGAATTGGAGGCACTGAAAACATCATAGCTCTATACAGTTTCGGATTCACTGTAAAATACTAATCGGCTTACTTTTTAAAGAAATATGGATCAATGATTCACTCTGCCTAGAGAGCACACCAAACAGGGACTTAATGAGGAAGCAACGATGCCACTACAATGCGGCATATTGTTTATTAACCCTCCCATTCAACAAAATAGAGCTCCATCGCTGATCTTTTTTTGTATTATATTGGTAATGAGCCTGCTGCATTTGCAAACCTTGTTCCGAAGAAAGTCTGCAAAGTTTCAATCAAGCAACAACTATCTGAAATCTAGTTTCGAAAAATGTATGTCTTTTTAAAAACCATTTGTCTAATAAAACAACCTTTACAATGTTGTCTTTCAAGAGCTCTCATAGCGATGTGCCAAATTTTGGCTCATTACGAATACGAAAGCATTCATTGTGAAAGCAGAATGTTTATTTAATTAATTTGCGTTCGTCTCAACTTCACTTCGAAAAGAAAAATGAAGCTTCAGATCACTGTTTTTGCCGAATACCCGAAATGGAACGTTTATTCTTGCAATTTGACTTCAGATCCGTTCCAATACTTTTCTAGAATGTCGATGAGTACTTTATTGAAAGTCTCGGGGCAGTTGCTGGGCACTGCAACATCCTTTCGTCATAGAGATGTCTTGCAACTAACTGAACAGTTTTAGACTGGTCGGGTTTAGGGAAATAAAAAAAAAAAACAAATGTGAATTTCACACATCATCAATCATGCCACATTCGCTTTCAGAGAAGTCCATAGACCGAAATGGGTGTTGAGGTAAATAACAAAATAGTAATAAATATCTCACATTGTACAATAAATCACATGTTAGCTACAACTACTTACGTCTAAAAATATATTTGCACAAACTAAAGGTACATGCCACCTTTTGAATACACGCCGCATGCCACACACTCGGACTCGGCGAGCCACAACACTGTACAACATTTTTCCAAGGCAACACTGCCATAGGGTTTGTCTTTAAGTTTTCCTTACAATGCATCGTCCGCTATTTTGTTGCCATCCAAGTGCAAATTGTTGTTGTATGTCGTTGGAGTGGCATGCACCGCTGTTGTGGTCACAAGCACAGTGCCGCCAGCAAGAACATTGCCATCCAAACTGCCCTCAATACTATAACTACCGCTGCTGCTATGCCGGTTGTTGCTATTGTTGCTGTAGTAACTACTCGTTGTAATAGCAGTGGCTGCTGACGCTGTAGCAAGTGTATTCGCTGTTGTTGTTGTCGTCGCCATTGTAGTCGCCATCGTCGTCGTCGTCGTCGTCGTCGAATTTTCTGCCGCGTTTTTTCTATGGCAATTCCAGCTATTCGTCTCCTCCGCCACACCACAACCATCAACACCACCGCCTGCACCGCCCTCCTCCATCAGAGGCTGGCTGCTACGCAGATGATCGACGGTTTTTCGCCGTAGAAATGGCATTTTGCGCAGCCCACCCATCACACCGCCTGCTGACTTTTGACCAGCGGCTGTAGGGGCGGTGCTATTACTGCGCAGGCGTGCGCCTGCTTTGCTGATGCTGCTGCTGCTGGCTTCGCTGGCACGGCCAGTGACGGCGCTGGAGGCGCGCCGGGACTTTGTCGACGACATGCTCTTTAGTCATACCTTCTCTTCGCCGGGCTGGGGCGGGCCGCATCGCACGAACTATAATCAGAAGAACTGCGATTTGAAATAATTGCGTGTTTTTTAAATGATTTTTTGAGGTTTTAGATTTTTTGGTTGGTGATTTTATTTTGGTTTGATGGTTACATTACATCGGTACGAGTGAGTACATAGTTACATATGTTGAAAGAAAAGAAAAAAGAAACGAAACACATTTGACAATGAAGAGTAGTGTTGGTTTGCTCTTTACATTTGACATGGGCTAATTGACTAGTTACATATGTACATATAAAGGTGATCGGTGGTACAGTAACCGTGAAAAGAAGCAAGCAATAACAGTACACTTTGAAAACTCAGCAACAGAAAATCATAAAAAGTAAGAAATATACATGCACAGTTAGTAAAAAAAATTCCAAATCACTTGAAAACTACTTTGCGTGAAATGAAAGCTTTGAGTAAGCCACCAAAACACTTATAGAAATGCTTACAAATATTTTATTTACCTACATGCATAGTCAGAAAATTAGCAAAGAACTTTTAACCTTAATGTCATAACATTAAATTATAGGCCCTCCATTTCTTATTGGAGGTCACAAGTCTAAAACAACACCCTTCAGCTTATGTTTCGAACGAGGCCGAAAAGTCATTCTGAAATATGCTTGAGCTACACTTGTTTGGATTAAATTGTTAAAATGACCAAGGGAGAGCCTTACATGCGCTTCCACACCAGCTCTGAATCTTATTTAATTTCAAACAATTGGCATTTTTGATATATACATAAACGTATAAATAAGTAGTAGCGAGTTTATTCTGAAACATTGAAAAGTTTTCTAAAAAAGTTTTCTTAAAAAATAAAATAGTTAGAAATTGATTTTTTTGAGACATCAACAACACTAATTTTGAGATCATTAAAGTTTCAAATAAATAATTTTTGGTTTTGTGTCGAAAATATTTATGTATGTACATATACTGGAGCTGGAGCATTTCTCATAAAATTGCTTTATTTAAGGCGGTTTCAGATAAGAAAAGCAGCGCAAACGAACGAAAATAAAGGAAAAATTCAAGCAAATTGAACCATAAATAAGATTATTAAGAACCAGTTTCTGCATGTTAATTTAAACGATAAGCTATCAACAAATTTAATTTCAAGTGACTCGAATCGTAACTGAGATTACCTCGCGTGAATCAGTCCCATAGATTCTCTTAATTGAATTGAATTTTATTTTGGTCCAGCCGCTATGAATTCAGGAAAAACTATAAATTTCATCCAACATAAGGGTCTCTCTTTGAGAGAGATTGCATATGTGTTAACCAAGTGTGTTGTTTTGAGAGTTATTTTCCCTCTCCCTTGAATACAATATATCTATTTTGCATAATTCATTGAAATGAAAATTGTCATAGCGCACGCAGTGGAATTGCTCGGCATTTACGCATGAAAATGCAAGGAAACGGATCCCGTATAAGCCTTCCAACAAGCAAAACGATTTTTCCGAAGCCACATGTGTACCGAATTGCAAGTAAATCGGGCTATAAATGAAATTTTTCCGATTACCTGGGACTGATCTATTCGTTCTCTTCCCCGTGTGAGAAAATTGTTAGCCGATTCTCAGATCTACTGAAGCAGACCTATAGTAGAAATGTGAACATACTGACTTAAATAGTGGCTTAAGGTTTTCTAGGTGGATCCTATTTTCGAACTCATACTACTAACAGCAAAGCGTTTCTTGAATCCATTCGTCAGATCAAAAAAAAACCCTGACCCAGGAAAAGGTTAAGAAAATTTGAAATCGGTCTTGTGAAGCCCGTTGTTATTTAGAAACTCGACGAAATGTCATACATACAACTACCAGCGACAACACATAAGCATTCAAATGTTGCTCATACGACATGCAAGCCCAGTAGCCACATGCCCAATTAGATGGGTCAGTAATAAGAATTATATATAGGTGTATGTTAGAAAACAATAAAAACAAAAAAAAAAAAACATTCAACTTTATTCGTTTATTAAAATCAAAAGTACTATTTTCAGCTTGTTTTATCTATAATTTAAAGAAAAATATATGAGTTACACTCTCTGTCGTCAAAAAGCACTCATTCTCTAGATGAAATTAAGTTCGTTGGAGCAAATCTTTAGACAGTTTAATCCGCTTTCCAAATATTTAATTTTTTTTTTAGGAAATATTTATATAAATAACACAATTTAAGTTGTTTTTTTAGTAATTATTCTTGTATTTAAGGTGTTGCCATAACAGAAAATTTCCTTACAAACTACTAAATGCAGATGCTACTTAGTTCTATTATCAGTAAGCTTATTTACAAAATCTTTATACAAAGACAAACACACTACACATACAAACATAGATATTTCGAATACAATTAGATTAAGCAGAAGCATGTACAAAGCCAACAAATTCTTACCGAGACCTGAGTGGCTGTGTAGGAATTTGCACGCGCCCGATTACTGAAGCATAGATTCCGCCAACGACGCTTCACTTGGGCAATAACCTCGCCGTTGAAGAAGCAGAAGAGTGTGGCAACAAAGAGACCCTGAAAAGTAGAGGAGAATATAAAATATTTTATTTCTAAAAGTACACACCTAAAATTTCTTATATTTATTTTAAAAATCTATATAAATCTATTCTTTAGTTTTCCCCAAAGACTTTTTACTAATTTCAATACACTTTGTCTGTCAGTCTCGTTCGTTATTCGTCGCATGCATGCGCAGTTTTGAAATAAAAACTTTTCTAAACCGTTAAAAAATAAGTCACTCGAAAAGTTTCCCTACAGATCATTAATTTCAATGCATTTCTATCGCGTTGCACATTTCGCATTTTTTTTCCAACGTTGCGCAATGTTTAAAGCAGATATTCTTCTTTCTGCAACACACTCACTCTGATATTTAAATATAATGCAAGTACTCATGTGTGTGTATTCCAGCGCGTGCATATGAAATGTATGCTAAATGCGCTCATTTCACATCTCAAAAGCGTTAACAATTTGTAAGCTTAGAAGTGACAAAGATAAAAATAAAAGTAAAAGTAAGGAAAATAAAAAAGGAGAAAACAAAATTTTAAAACTATCAGCCAAGTGCAACTTCCAACGGAGAAGCAGTGCACTTGACCCACATTGGGTGCTTTCGCAGGGAAGAGTGCGAAACTGTATCGAATACAATGTAGTGACAAATACATATTTAGTTATAGACAACAATTTGGAGACAAGAAGATGAATATGTGTAGGAGGAAAATTGACAAAAATGTTGAATTTATATTCATAAGAATTATGCGCCTGAAGATTTACACACTCTGGGAGTATATTTTGTAGATAAATATAAATTGAAGCATAGTTTCGGGCGCTGTAGTTGACTTATAGCGCAGCTGTCCGAATTATTTATTATAAGTGAAATTAGAAAAGATAATATATATTTCTTATGCTCAAAAAGCTCAACTTTGAAAAACTGTTTAAAGTTTTTAGGATACTAGAAATTTAAAATTGCCTGCGTTCTTAATTTTATACCGAGTTACTGTTGCATTTTGGTACAGCACAACTTTTGCTCCAAAAAAAAAAAAAAAAAAAATAGAACTTCTCTGTTTGCAAAGAAGTACTTATACACTCTGTAATACAAGCCTTGAGCTAAAAGCAACCTTCTACCATTTCTTCGCGAAAACAAAGCCATCATTTCGAGCGCGAAATGCAACTTTTAAATTTGTCTGTTGTGTTGCAGAAAAAAGAGAGCAAAAGTGAAGGAAAGAAGAGCTAATGCTCTGGAAGTTTCAATTTAGTGCTTGTTTATTATTTTATACTTTCTCGTCATAAAGAAAAAATTGTTTTTTCGCATAAATAATGCTTTCTTTACGTTTTCCGTTTTATATGCGAGAAAAGACTGCGTTGCGTTGGTTTCTTTCCTGCTCGAGGACTGTGTAAATATTGAAAAAGGCTTTTGTTTGAAATCTCTAAAGAATTTTTAAAGTACGAACTAACAGACATACAAATACGTGAAAAATGCAGTTATACATTGAATTTCGTACTCAATATAAATAAAAATAAATTGTGTTATGTACTACTGTCTCTTTCGTTCCTGCTGTGAGAATATATACTCGCATTTAGCATCTCAAAACCACCCAAAATTATTTATCCATTTTCATTTTGTGTATAAGTTAGATTTTTCATTTTATAATCACTCAGAAAATAGATATCAGGTGCTATGAGAACTTCCATAGGTTTTTGTTATTTTGTTATTTTTGATGACCTTAAGCTGATACTATACTGATACTTAATACTATATAATAAAGGATGCTCATTGCGCTCCCTCGGATAGCCACGGATGAGGGATAGTCACTCGTAAAAGAGCACTCCAGCACAAGAGCACAAGGCCGATTTCACTTTCACTAGCTTTTAAAAATGATATCTCATGAGCAGATACCCTGTTAATGTACCCACAAAAATACTAAGTTTGATATGTGTACATTCCACACTACTCCACAATAATTTGGTGTACATCTGTGGTCTACTGCTTAAGACGAAATATGAAGGCACTGAAAGGTCCGAGGCAGTCGGCCACTATTGCAATGCGAACCAGTGCATCCGCTATTCGAACCTAAGTGATATTCACTGTATTTCGCCTACAAAATCTGTTAAATGGCTCTTAGAATGTTTTTATGCATTTGATCTTCGTACTGACACACTTAATTGCATTAAAAGCCTCTTGGCTGTCTACTAAAGAGTTGATAGATCTTCTTTTGTCGTAGTCAAGCAAGTTCGAAGATCCCTTTGTTAAGGGGGCGGTAACAGAAGAAACCTGCTCCTGTGCCTGCCTTGCAATTAGATTCCTCAGTATAGATATTGATATCTTGACTATTGCGCTCACTCTTCCTAATTAGGAAAGGAGTAAGTAGTATCATTCGTCAGAAGGTTTAACTTTCATCGTCGCTTTTTTCGTACAGCCTGAGTTCTAATATAATTTTTTGAATTTTGCCATGCCTCTCAAATTTCGTAGCCTGACATTTACATGGTTGGTTGTTAGAGCTGCTTGTTACATAATATTATATATTAGTTGGCCTAATGTCAAGGATAGCTTCTAGAGCCTTTGTTGACGTAGTCCTCATCGCGCTTGCTGTACAAAGAAGAGAGGCACATTGTACCCTTTCCAAGGCTTTATTCGAAACTAAATATATTAGTTATCCATATATTCGAACGGGTCTAACGACACTTGTGTGAGCCATCAATGTGTTATCTATGGTTGTAGGCCTACTTTCGGAGCAATTGCAATTCTGCTGGTACTCCATTAAACCCGCTTTACTTCACTCTAATTGCTATTTTTATTTTAGCAAGACTTATACGGAGATACCTAACAGAGTTGGAGAGTAATAAAATGTTACCTTTTAAAGATGGTGGGTTGATTTGGTGAACTTTCACCTTTCTTGTAAAGAAAAAGATCTCAGATTTTTCCGGGCTTACTTAGAGTCCTATTCGCTCAACCCAATCAGCAGCGGGGAAAACTTTCTACTTGTTAATAAAACTAACAAACAATATTGGTCTTCACACTGATCTAAAAATGATTGCGCCTAAAATCAAGCAGTGAAAATCTGATTTTCGGCACAAAGATGCAAAGCTATTGGCTTAGTTTACGAAAAGTATTTCTGCAAAATGAGATATACGATAATAATTAATAGTTTTACATTTAACACATACAATATAATTTCTATTTAAATATATTGGATGACATCTGTAAAAAATCACTTTTATATAAAATATTTTTCTCTCTCAAATTAATACTTTATATGACCAACGTATGCCAGTCCTTGAACTCCATCTGATAGCGACAATAAATCACAACAGGCATTAATTCTACCCTACACGTATATGCCCGTAAATATGTGTTATTCTGGAATATGTTACTATGGTTTTTCACTTTAATGAGGAAATAAATTGTAAATAAATACTTTTTCCTTTTTCGCGTGATGTAAAAGGCTATAAGAAAATATTGTGACAACAGCTGAGAAGATATGAGAGAGAGAGATGTGTGCGACGTGCATGGAATTTATGTGAGCAGTGAGTTGGTGACGCAGTTGTTGTGCATAAAGTACATATGTACACATGCATTCAGACAAGTGTTGTTCTTGTAAAAGTAACTCACGTTTATGTACGGGTATATACCATCTGGCTAACCTACTAAAAGTGTAAAAATGTATTAATATGTAATGTGTAATGTGCTAGTATTGCTTTTACGCACTCGACACTTTGCAGTCTCCATTATTTCTAGCATCTCTTGTCACTCTTTAGTACGTTTCAACGCCGTAAACAAGTGTTTCAATAGCTTTACAAGATTATTATTATTATTTTTTATTTTCTGTTCTTATAGACACTATAATTGCTCTTGTGTTAAGCACCAATCAAGTTGCTGGGGCTTTGTTCTTTTTGGTAAATTTTTATTTTGCTAAGCTGAAGAAAATATGGCGGAATTACTTTTTATTATAGAAAGCATAAAAATTGCAAAACCTTTTCATCTGTATTGGGAAAACACAGCTACTGAAAATATAATTTTCACCTTCAATTCTCGGCTTTGATATTTCCTGCCATTTCTCGCGAATCGAATCTTTTATCATAATTATTGCTGCGAATTTATTACATTATCCCAGAAACAACATTTAAACCATTTTTTTAACCTATCTCAACCTCATATTTAATAACACAAACGACCTATCGTTAAATCTTTGCTGACCTTTTTCTGCAACGGTTTGCTGTGAAAATATTTTTTCTTTTATGTTATTTTTATTTGTTTTGGTCACCTCGAGACTTGATACTTCATTTTATTATTTTTTCTTTTGCTATGTTCTTAAAGATTTAATAAAGCATAGCTCAATAAAGTTTGCTTTCTTTTTATATGAAAAAAAAAAATCAAATATTTATTAAGAAAGTAGCAGGCAACACAGTGAAAGTGCCATTATTCTTGAAAAACCGTTATCTCAAAGGGTGTCAGCCTTGAATTTGAAGTACTAAACAAATATTATAGTCCTTTTTAAGGTATAACATAAAATACGCAACCTTTTTTCTAATAAATACTGCTTGGGAAGGGTAGTAATTACGAGTTCATGCAATTGGTTTTCATTTTTTTCCTTAAAATACGTTAGATGATGCGCAAGTATGATTAAAATTGATGAGGTCGACCGAAATGTATATAATATTTTTTATGTCTTTAGCAACGTGAGTATGGATTTAAATTTTGTGACTGCAGGTTTGGGAGAAAAATATATTTGATTTGAATGACTTTAACTAATGAGCTAAGTTCTTAGAACGCATTACGCGCACTATTGTTGATATTTGTATTTAAAAAAGGTGAGAGATTAGCAATGCACACAGCCTTTGGGAAGGCTTTCAGTTCAGCCCCGATCAACATCAAATAATAGAATGTGGATTTAAATAAAAAATCATAAATTATGATAAATTAAAAAATGTACATGCCATTAGGAACACATATATAGGCATATCAAAGTATATGGCAGCGCCAGTTTATATTTATGTGTCCGCTGAAATAAATCTCAACTTGATAAACTGCTGAATAGTGCTAAGAAGACATGTTGCTTATACGACACGTAGAAATTTTGAATGTGCTTGGCTGAAATGTATGTGCGTACATAGGTATGTCGTAATAAATTTAGGTCTTTATTATCAATCCCTACACACCCTCTGAATTCGCAAGATTAGGAAATGTGCAATTTTAATTGAATTTAATTTGACAAAAATGGGCAAGGCATATATTTTGAAATTGTTTTAGTTTGAATAACAAATCCAAAAATGAATTAAAAAATTCTACGGCTTTCGCAAGCAGAGAACTCTAAATTAAAATAAGAAACTGTTTAAAATGTTTATATAAATATTCAAATAATTTTCTTTATATAAAAATTTGCTTTTAAGAATATTTTGCCGTAATCCTCTCAATGAAATGAAAATGTTACATATGAACAAATAAATATATGCGAGAACACGAGCATAGTCAAGGCATTCAAGCATGCAAGTCATGTGCAGCAACCAATATGTTGCCGGAATGAGTGTGTAAATTTCGTAAGAGAGAGTGTTTGTATGTGTGAAAAATTATGTGGAAACGCTGGCGACAGAAATAGAGTAGAAGGAAAGTAAACTTGAATGCATCGGAGCAGTGATTGCCTAAAATCCGATTGACAACACATTGCATTCGAAGATATTCTTATGACACATTTTCCTGCAAGAAAAACCGATGAAGAAAATTTGAAAAAAAACTATAACAAGAATTAAAAGAAAAATACAAATTTTTATAAATAAATAAAAAAGAAAATAAATTTATTTACAGAGATTTGTTTTCAAATTACTTTCACCCATCTAATTTTGTGAAAACTTCAGGTTCTTTTTCGCAAAAAGTTTTTTTGACTGGAAAATGTGAAATTAACGTTTGAAATTACTTTTTTATAAATTTGTAAAATTTTATATTAAAAGCAAATATTTTTTCTAACTTTTCCCAAAATAGTTAAAAAAATGTTGCTAGATTTTTGTCTTCTGATTGATAGCACAGAAACCACTGAACTCTAATCTTTCTCCCTTCCAGCTGAATTAATTGGAATTGCTATTGTTAGGCACTTAATCTTAAAAGCTTTTCACCGAACTTATTGCTTCTGTCATTTACTTGAATATGCTTGTCTTACATACTCGTATACGCATACATACTGACAAGCACAGCAACTAACCTTACTGAAATTCTGTATGCACTTCTTCTCAGTTAGCAGTATTCTTAGTGCACAATAATGTCGTTTTTCGAATAATTGTCGATAAAAGGATATTAACAACAGAGAAGGCATGAAGAACAAGAGCTGTCACACACGCTCACTTAGTAATTTTGTAAACAGAAATGCTTATATAAATGCACTACATACGTTTGTATGAGTGTACATGTGTATAGGTGCACGTATACGTGTTTAGTTTCCCAGCTTGTTTTCCTCTAGTTCATTAAAAGTGGACTTAACTCACCTGAAATGATGCCGTAACTGCCGATAACACTTCGTACGTTTGCTCCCATGGATGGCCAGGATCCGGATGGAATGGTGTCAAAATGTATTGTAGTCCCAATAGGGGTACAAGCAGAAGTGTTGCGCTGCCAGAAAGAGAGAGAGAGAGCAAATTTTAGTTTTTTAAATATGTGCATATTTCGAGTATTTGAAAATTTTGAGAAATATGAAGCTGGTAAAAATTTAGTGCAACTTGGAATGTTTTAATATAAAATGTGAACATTTGGTATAGGTTAGAAAATAGTGCTTGAGGGGTTACATCTAGTGATGAGCGCTAAAAAATGAGGTCATTCATATATGTTTCAATAGGAAACTTTTACTTTGAGCATTTTCACACATATTATGAGAACAATGAGGAGTAGGAACCCCTCCCAAAAACGACGATTTGCGGTGACCATTATATTTCAGAAGTGAATCATCCGAAATTCAAATATCAATCTTAATCTTTGGATTAATCGAAGGATTTAGCCATTTTCTTCGACGAAATAGCGGCTTCATCGGCAAGGGAAAATCTTCGATAAAGTACTAGGAAATATCGTTCGGAAGCCCGTGTAAAAGTTTGATTTAATTGGTTGAGCCGTTTTCGAGAAATCTTGATCATTGACTTGAAAAATTTAGTCTTGAGAAGAACGAGGTTAAAGTTTCAAAAGCGTTTTGCACAGAGTCAATGTCTTTCAACTTAATTCGAGCCATCTATTATATATAATTGTAACCGCTGAAGCGATTTTCCGCCGAATGCCTCCGAACGGCTGAGAGTTTTTTTTACGAGGAGCCTTTATATCATGTCTGAAATACACTCGGGAATAAATTTAGCTTAATTTTTTTGTCATCTATTTCGGGGCTATAAATATACCCTCTGCGGCCTCGATAGCTTCCAAAACATCTATCTGGTGTTGCCAACGAACCATTCTTCTCTCTCGCGTGGGCTTTGCATTTGGAGATCGTTACGCGTCATGAATCTTCTTTTGCGGCATAGGCATGGGCATTGGGTCAGAGTATTTACTTGAATACATGTAAATTAGGAAAATGAAGTTAAAAAAGAAATCGAATTTTTTGAAAATTTACTGATGTAACCCATTAATGCTTCATCATATATTCTCTAGCTACTTTTTTTTACATCTTTCTTTGTGATGTTCAGAAAAAAGGCAAGGAATTAAAAGAAAGGCTTAAAAAGGTAAAAAAGTATATTTTTATGGATACTGGAACATTTTTTTTTATTGGAGTAGTAAATAGTTAAATTTTTTTTTGAAGATTTCGTCAGAAGGAATCTCTAAGATATCCAATCTCTAATGTTAATATTTTTCCGCACCGCCTTATATACATAAATCTCTAAAGGTTACGCATATGCAGCGCGGAATGATGAATAATTTTCAGCATATCGATATTGTGGATTGATCTGAAATGCATTTCATTTTTACGTATTAAAAGGAGTCTGACCACCCTAATATAGACATCGAAACATTTAATGTACAAGTGTGTGAATATGCAAGAAAAGGAGTGTGGAAATAACCAGAAGCTTTTAAAAATATCAACACAACTGCACATTTGCATGACAATATAACAACAAAACTACTACTTACCGGAATGCTTGTATAACGGTATGTGAGGGTCCACAGCTGCCTTGTATGCTGGCCGGTGCCTTCAGCTTAAGTAGCACAACGCGCACAATATTGCAGAGGAATACCAAATTCAGGAAGATGGAAACACAAACATGTACGATGAGTATATTTTCATAGCCCGTGCTATTAAACCAGCAGCTGAGAAGTGTGAGAAACAAAATAAATTTTACTATAATTGCAGAAAAAATGAAGTCTTAAATCTAGCAAAATAAAAAATACAAGCACAGGGCTTAAGAGCTGAATATAATATATAATTTTTTTCAATATATTGATGAAAAAAGTATTATTAAAATACATCCTTTTCTCATTGCCAACTCATTGGGTCATTGAATACTCACTGTATAATCTCATCACCAGTGCCGCCCAGACCGCGGGCCATAGCATAAATGAATATGACAATCGCCGGCGTACCCCAACCGAAGGCAACGAGCCATTTCACCAGTTTTTTCTCCGAGATGAAGGCGGACACGAGCACAGTATGCAAGTAGAAGCCTTCGCAGAGCATCCACGAATAGTTTGTCAGCAGAAAATAGTGCAGGATTATATAAAGCGCAATGCAGGGAGGCTGGAAGTGAAAAAAAGGAAAAAAGGAGAGAATGCCGTATACATGTGATATATGATGTATATATATATATAGGTGTTTATATGTATATGCATAAATTTATCTATTTGAAGTGACAGAAGCTGCTTGTATTTGGCATGGCAACTGGTTTAAAATTAAATTTGTTTGTAATAAAATTGCCAAAAAAGTATAAAAGTACGAATATATAAAAAAAACCACTCAAAATCGCAATAAAAATGGCACAGCAACTTGGCACTCAAATGTATTTATTTGTCATTCTGCGTATTTACTGCTGCAAGCAATTATAATATGCAAATTTCTTCTCGAAACATATGCGTTCACAAAGGATACCAACACAATTATGGATATGTGTAGATACAATATACATACATACGTGTATGTCTGAAGTTAAGTACAGTAAAAAATTTTATTTTTAATTAAAACAAATATAAAAATGTAAAAGGATATCAAGAGAATTTTTATGAATAAATTTAAAAAAAAGTCGGTGTTTTTAATATTTTTAAAGCTTTTACTTTCGATTATTTCATGTTTGACGAGCAATTTATGCTTCATTTATCTGATTATGTAATAATTCAAACAAATATTTTGTGTTTCTTCTGGCACAGTTTTAGGCGCTTTTTATTAAAATTTGCTTCAGCACCTGAGTTGGTGAAGGGGATGAAAAAGGCTATAATTTTAATTTTAAATTGATATTTGAAAGCGAGTGCGTTTCAACATTATGGCAAATTTATATGAGTAGTTGATTAACATTGAGAGCTACATAATTTAGTCCTGACTATAAACTTGATAAAAAATAAAAGCTGCCTCTGTATGAGCTGAAAATAATTTGTGTTTCTTTACCAAATTTCATGTAGTTACGGTTTTAAGTTTTATAATATAACTTGATAAAAAATTTAAGATTATATATATATATATATATATATATATATATATATATATATATGTGCCACTTACCGGACTTCTTTCCACCAGCTCAGTGTCGGGTATGACCACGAAATACCAAACCAACCAGAGTGAATTGTTCACTGCGAACGATGTGAATAAATTCATGTGTAGGGTTATGCGGGCACATTTAAGAGATCTGTAATAGACAGGAAATGTGAATGAATTATTGGTCAGATAGCAAATGTGGGTGTGCTTAAAAATAGGAAATGACGATGACAATATGCTTAAAGATAAAATAGTAGTTTATGGATTATTTTCCACTGTCTTAATAAAAATAACAAAAAATACTTTCTCTATTATAAGCACCAGTATGCATCCATTCTATGCTATAAAAAGTAATGTGCTTTTATTCTTAAATTTTGCTTGATTATTATCCTTATCTTCAAGAAATACCAATGACTTTATTAAAACTTCGGACTGTCGTTCTCTTTCTACAAAACACAAAGGTGGAAAAATAGTTTGCATTTTTAAGACTTCTTCATATACAACAATCATTTGGTGATTACTAAAAATGCCAAAATAGAGCTTTCGTATAAATTTTTTGTTCATAGAAATTTATTTAGCACAAATTTTGCATACTCCTGTCTATAGTTTTCTATTACAATAAGAGTTCTTGCTTTGAAATCTGGCTGTGTTAGAAAGTGACTTTCGCCTGGGAGCATTATTCACATTTATTAAAATGTCGAAACCAGGAAACAATTGAATTTACAATATAATTTTATTTAAAATACAAATAATTTGAACAAAGCATGCATTTAAAGTAGTTGAAAGTGGAAAGGATGGCCAAGTGAGCAATTGAAACGTTTAGTTGCTAAAAATTTACTAGAACTGCGAAATTTCTCACTAAGAAAAAGATAGGAACGGATTGGCTTTGAATAGCTTTAAATGCTTTTAAACACAGTTAATTATAATTTTTTTTTGAGAAAAACGAACAAGACATTTAAAGAAATTTAATATCCTTAAATTTTACTGATTTCTTGTTAAGTACATTTTTCTTCTCCTTCTTGTTTACTGAATATTTCAGCAAGACTTTGGTTTTTTAGAAATCATGAACGAAGCAACAACAAAGTGCCTGACAACGAAAATTTTTAACATAATGGAAATAATTTTCGAACGAATTGGCAAAACTCATACCTCAATTATAAGTATGCTTTCATGTAGAGTATTTATTATTCTGATATTTACAATGTTAATTAACGTCGCAGTATACATATATAACTTGTTTTTATTAAAGAAACACCCTTCTTTGGTTCCTAATGAGTTGAGGAAATTCATGCTTGTAATAATTTATTAATATATTTAAGTTTTTAATTCCAATTCACGTACAGTTTTGCTATATATTTGAGGAATTTTTCAAATCTTTCATAGTTAAGGACTTTTAAAGAGTATCAGGATGCTTAACTAACGAAACTAAACCGTTTTTATTTGTAAATATGGAAAATAAACTAAACGCAAAGATCTTGTTTCGTTACCAAAACGAAATGAAATGAAATTGGCAATGTTGACACCTCAAAAGCTAATCGTTATAGTTAACCTTGAACTAGCTGAATGCTATGTTAATAACAGCACACTGCAATGTTAGCGTTTAACACTTTCTGTGACGGATTAACATTAACGACTGCATTTCGATTAGGCTAAAAATTATATAAGATTATTTTGATAACTAGATTAATGATAACATTTCCAAATGTTTTTGCCGGATTGACTGAAATCTTTTGAGAAACTTGAAATTTATTGCTACAATGCAGTTTGATACGTACTTATATAATACATATATGATCCGTTGTAACGAAGTTCTTTGTTTGAGATACGCTCCGTATACCCAGGGTGGTCGCTATGTTTCCCTTTACAACAAAATTTTATTTTTTAATTAATTTATATACATCCAACGAGACTACTTTCTACGTTTTGTTCATGAAGATCCCGGTGGTGAAACAACCTCCGCTGGTCTTTCGTTCAGTAAGGTGGAGTCCCTTTTCCGAATATATTCTTTTGCTGTAGTAAAAGTTGTGGAGGAGTAACTCCTCCACTTCGCTCAACTAGTTGAATATATACTAGGTACGCGTGAATTGGAAACCCTCAATAATATTATACCGTCAAGTATACCGAGCGACTTATTAAATTTTTTGATAATTTGTAAAGGTAATCAAGGAGCCGAAAAAGAGGAAGGCAACCATATCCTAAAACGTTTGGAACATATTTATAGTAGAAGCCCAACTCGTACTGATATAAATAGTTTCCTGTTTTCTGTACTTATAATAATGCATTCATTACAGGTGCACAAATGATTTTGGCCATATACTGATACTTACTTAAAATAACTGTAAATTGCTAAGGAAAGCAATATGGCTACCAACGAAATGATGTAGCCGGTCTTATAGAAGAGGTTAACGTTGTGCTTCCACTGAAAGGAGAGACGAGAAAACAGACACAAAATTAAATCAAAATATTTATGAAATTGGAAAAATATCAAAGCAAAATCCGTATAAATAATTAAAATAATAATCGCAATAACAAGCGTAATAAGTACGAGGAGGTTAGCAAAAGTTCGGTAAGTTGACCAAAAAATAATAATTTTTGAATTTGCTCGTAATCTTTGTTCTTTTTATCTTCTCTACATAATCACCATTAATTTCAAGCCATTTCTTAAAAAGTCTTCAAAAACTTTTGCTTTTTAAGCGTAAGTTCAGCATTAACCACGTTAATTATCTCCTCATTGTTATTAAGGACATTTTCTTTCAATTTTTGGAATTCGGGAAATATGGTGCTGGACGTATTTTTTCGATCCCAGATCGCAATAAAGCTACGCGTTATTTTAGCAATGTGGGATGGCGCGTTGTCATGATGTAAAAAGTTGTGCCACAAATTCTCTTTCTTGCTGCTTTCCAACAAATTTTTGAAAGCTTTTGGTAAGCACTTTTCGGTGTACCGTTTTGTGATACCGTCTGACCCTTTCCCAGTGGAATGGCAGCTACGATTATCGCTCCTGGTGGTCTACATACCATGGGCTGCTGTTTGGTTTCTGAACTGTACTTATAGACCAAATGCTCGTCACCAGTAACGACTTTACTAAAGTTGCTAGACTGACCATTTTTATTTAGCAAAAATTGAGAAAAATGCGCTCGGGCCTCTTTTGGGGTCTCATTTAAAATTCGTGATGCCCATCGAACAGATTTCTACGTGTATCCAAGATCATTACTTAGTATTCGCGAGACAGTCCAATTTATTAGCAATGATGGGTCAATCGTGGAATTTAAAAAGAAGACTAATAAAGTCATTGCAAAGGATTTGGTATCTTCAGATTTAACAAAAGCAACTGACCGAACTTTTGTCAATCCCCCCGTATACAAGTGGCATTATTCATTTACTCAAAAGTAAAATCAGAATTCTTCTGTGAAAGGCTACGTATTAATAATTTAATGTCATTTCGTTTTCCAACTCACCTCTAAGTCATCGAAATTAATGCAGGTCGTATAATTAGACCAAGTTTTATTCGTAGCTGGATGTTTGTACCACTCACCATCACTTCCGCATTCCTTGTGTGCATATCCTATTAGTGGCAATGTGTTGTAGCACGTGTGGCAGATGGCAACAGCAGCAAGAGCAGCGAGCAGTTGTCAAGAGAATGAGAGGAATATATAATGCATTATTAAAATTTTAATGAGTCTAACGTGGGAGTTGCATTTTTTATTATTTCCAAGTAAAAATATATGCACTTAGTATAAATATAAGAGTAATATCTATGTATGTGCATATATCTAAGTGTAATTCCATTAAAATTAAAAGTAAACATGTTTATCTCTTTGTTCGCCATTACAATTTTAAATGTGAAAATGAGGTAATTGTACTGTTGCGTAGTGTAACTAGAGTTACTATCAGGTGTACAACTTTGCTTCCGCCGTTTCCCGATAGGTGCCTGTACCGGCTGAGGCTGGTTGAAATACATAGATGATAATGCCTTTAAAGTGAGTGTGGATAGTGCCTAACGAATTGTCATCGCCGTTTCAGTGACAGTTGTTCTTGTTTTCGTATTATTCACGCTAGAAAATGTCCGTTTATGTGCCTCCTTCTTGCCATTTGCGGGAAGTTTTACTTTTCCGTTATAATTCGAAAAAAAAAAATGCAGCTGAGGCGCATCGAATGCTCTCAGAAACTTACGGTGAGGCTGCTCTGAGTGAAAGAACGTGTCGGGAGTGGTTTCAGCGTTTTAAAAATGGTGATTTCGATGTCGAAGTCAAATATTGTGGTTATGAATGTGTTTGGTGGGATCAGCTCGGTGTGATTTACTACGAGCTCTTAAAACCGGGTAAAACCATCACAGCAGATCGCTACCGAACGCAACTGATGCGCCTTAGTCGCGCGCTAAAAGAAATGTGGCCACAATGTCAAGATCGACATGACAAAGTCATCCTCCAACACGACAATGCTCAGCTTCACGTCGTAAAAGTGGTCAAAAAGTAACTGGAAACGCTGAAATGGGAAGTCTTGCCCCACCCGCCGTATTCTCCAGATGTCGCCCCTGCTGACTTCCACCTATTCCGTTCGATGGCACACGGCCTGGCAGATCAACATTTTCAATCCTTGGAAGAATTGGAAAAATGGATTGCTTCATGGACAGCGTCAAAAGAGGACTCCTTTTTTCGAGCCGGGATCCAAAAATTGCCGGAAAGATGGGAGAAAGTTGTCGCTAGCGAAGGAAAATACTTTGAAAAATATATCTGTAAGCACTTTTTCGCAATAAGGCTTTTAATTTTGGAGAAAAACGGCGGAAGCAAAGTTGTACACCTGAAAGTTAAATCACCTGCCAGAACAGGATTATGCTTATATTTTTAATGAATATTAAATTGTTTTTGCTTCTGGGAAAGTTTTGAATTCTCATAAAAATTGCTAAAGGCACTGTAGTAAACTTTTCGAGTTATGCCACAGTTATACCACATTACATTGTGGGTAAGTTTTGTGTGCATTCAGGTGTTGCCGTATTTGTACGTAATGCATTTTACAAGTAAGTTACGTATACGCCACCGCCGGCACTATTGTGCGTAGATATTTGGTTTAAGTGTGCAGTTGACAATGCACATTTATTTCATATACATATATTGTGGCATTTCCGCTTTTTGGTATGTTTACGTGTGTGTATGAGGACTGCTAGCGTGGCAGCATTAGGAAATTTTGGGTTTTATTAGTTCTTCTTGTATTTCTTGTTTAAATTTCCACTTGGAAAACGAAATTTAGTTTGTAATTTCTAATTAAATTCTGAAGCTGAAGTATAGAATCAGAAGAAAACCATTAGACCTCATGCCACTACATCAAATTATAATTGCCTTAAAATGTCTTTTGTCGTGGGTAACGTACAAGAAATGGGAAATGGCCACAAAAGGTACTTTACTTGCATTACTTTAGCATTAAAATGTTTTAAAAGCCAATTCGCTTACTTAGAAAATTGTTTAAGGGAATCTAAATAGCATTTCGAAGAACTCTCTTTTATTTCTCGTTACGAAACTTCCGCTTCAATGCAACATTATTTTCGGTAACAACAGTAAAAGAAATTCAAAATTTAAGAAAGCTTCACAACATACACATACCCCAATCTGATGCAAACTCACGTGCAACGGCACTTATCGACACTATCACATATTGGGCGCCCTAATGGTATCACGTCACCAGCAAATGTAAAACCGGATAGCTCTAAAGTAGGGGGATGGGTGGAATTAAAACCACATTCCGAAAGCTTCCGCTCACAGGATGTGCCATAAAAACGAACGATGGCAGCGCGATAAAGATAGTAAGGAGTTAAAAAAATATTGATAGCGGGAAAGAAACAAGAAAAAAAGGAAAAAAATATTTTGGCACATGTGCCTGAAATGTCGAAGAAAGAAAATCACGAAAGCGTTGCCTGAACTGCGCCCAAGGCACGAACTGAATGACACCCCAGAGATGATTTTATATGCTGTACGCGACTTTCGAAATAGCGAAGAAAATCAATGTTACCGGCGAGAGAAAGCAAAAATAGATAAATATTAAAGTAAACACCAAAACTCTTAGCTTTTAAGAGCAAAACAAAAAAAAAACCAACTAAACAACAGAAATCAAAGCAGGGGAAAACAGCACCGCAAGACTTTTTTTTTGGCTATGCCACCGGCGCAGAGTGACCACACGGCAGGCAATAAAGCAAACCGCAACTGCGGAGAGGGAGAGGGAGAGAGAGTGAGAGAGAGAGAGGGCACTGAGTTTAGGTTTTTGTGTTTATGGTTTGGTGTACAACAGGAAATCTAAAAACTACTCGTACAAGCCATAAAAAGTTCAAACCTAAAATAAACAAGCATTTAAGTTGGCCGGCGCAGGTACATGAGCCTGAAGTGGAAATACAAACCTCGAAACCACAGTTGAAACCGCGGAAACCCATAACAAATACACGTGCTCTTCGTTGGCCAAAACAATACATTTAAACATGTAAGGGTGCTCTTCATTTTTGGGTTTTGCAAAATTTTCAAACACTCGTAAAATAAATACCAACTCTCCTTCCAAGTTAAGAAAAATATTTTTCTATTTTTGTTGTTTTTAGGTTGTTTAGCGGATGCGCATATGCAAATGGACTGTATGTATATAAGATGTGTTTCCGAATCATAAGACATCAGATTTCGTTTTTTTTTTTAATATTATAACCAATAGTTTTAACATCAAAGTGGCATTTTGACATCATTAGGTTTATTATGCAATAAAGATTTCTTTTTGATCAAAACGGTTTTTTGGCTGCTTTAAAATGCTCGACACCTTCCACTGCCATTGAATTTAACTCGCTTCGTATCATGGCGTACATAAAGACTCTTTTCCAGTATCTGCTATTCATTCGAGATGAGATGATGCGAGCTGTAATTCGGTATTGCAGTAAAAGGAACACCCTAATTTAAATGAGTACATATCTTCTATACTTATATTTAGTTTAGCGACTCAAAATAAATGTGCTTCCGCACTTTCAATCATACTGTGACCTGCAAAGTCATAGTTGGCAAAGGTAGAATTAACAAAAAAAAAAAAAAAAACAAAAAAAAAAAAAAAACAAAAAAAAAAACAAGCAAACAAACAAACTCGGCGCCTTCAACTAGCAAGAGTACTTAAGCACGCGCAGACACGGACGGACGTATGGATGAAGGCGAGTACTGCGTGGGGTCGTTTAAAGCCACCAAGGACATGGTATTAAAATTCCAGAATGCGACGACACAGCCAGAAAGTGTTTGTCAAAGAACTGTGCACACACAACCCGTAAAATGGGCCAACTAAACAGCAGGCATTCGTGCCTTCGCCCTGGACAGAAATGTAGTACATAAATTGCATACAGAATTCTGTAGCCTTAATTTTACACTCTTCTTGTTATGGTGGTGGTGGTGGAATTCACAGTCTGTCACCACAACATTATCACACATTAGCAGTGGGTGTAAAGTAAAAATTTTACTATTTCGACTCATGTAGTCGGAAGTGAGTAAATGTGGATAAAATGTTAAGGTATTTCTACAGTTGAGGTTCATTTGGAGGACTTCTAAGTAAGCAAATTCACCCTCACACTGCATGCCTGGTCAGCTTTTGTATTATATTCCCATAAAATTGTACGCCCAACTCTGGAAATAAACTGCATAGTTATGCCAAATGTGTATCACCCTGCGTGTGAGAAATAAACATATTTGTGTCTACGTATGGCTGATCATATTTACAGACCAGGTCGCTTTGCTACTCACTATAGACAGGCAGCTTTGTCTAATTTCTGTCTGTGTTTTCATCATAAAAACACTCGCCCACCACCATGAAATGGGTTTAGATATGGACAAGTGCGTGAGATTCCATTAGTAGACAACGAAATTTACACTTTGTATATGCCCATTGTGTGCCAAAATCCTTTCATAAATAACCGAATCACTTTAGCTTTATGGTTTTCTGGTTATATCTCCATGTAGTATGGAGTATTTGAACTTAATGTGGCTTGGTGTGGTTTGGTGACCTCACTTCTCAACGTTTCTAATTATGGTGTTTTTGGAAGAGGTTAATAATTCATTAAACCACAAAAGTGAACAAGCTTAAACCCTAAATAAATGTACGTATGTATATACATACATACTAGTATATACGGAGAGATTTTCCGAAGCAGCTTAAAACCATTTTGAAGTAAACTCTTGTGTAGACTGTCTAATGTGTTTGGCTTTTGTTCAGAATGGCTATAAAAAATACTAACGGTAACTTGTAAATATCACGTACTGTTCTAATGGGCGCAAAGAAGGCAAGCGATAAATGAATTAGGTGAATGAACAAACTGAAAAATACTATAATATTTTCTCAGTTAAGTACATATTTGTAACTGTAAACCTAATGAGTATAAAGAGAGAGTATTTTGTGAAAGTATTTGTAACATTTTCAAGAGGGAAGAGAGGTCTTCGGCCACACGGAAGGCTTTATACCTTTCATATGCCGTTTACGGTTATTTCCTTTAAGGATTAGATATTAGTTCTCATATCTAAGAAATTGTTTGGGGGCTATAAGATGAAGTTTTCGGATTTCAACGGCTTTAGGTGTAACTGTTTATTTATATATAGCAAGACTTCAATTTTTAAAATAAATTTCCTTTCGCTTTCAATGTTAAATCGAAACGGAATGATATCGTTGCGTTTGTTGGGTATATCAGGTATCTGTGCACCTAATTTCCAAGTTTGACAAGAAGACGGACAGACGGACCGACGAACATGTCTTAAACAACTGAGCTTGTAATGCTGCCTAGATTGGAATTAATTTTGATGAGCCTATCCCTTCTCCTTCTGGAATCATACTTACATAATTCAGACCAAAACCACCAATGAATATACAACTTGTGTATGTAAAACTAAAAATATTCAAACAAATAAAAAAAGGAAGAGGCTTAAGGATCGAGTTTAGTCATGACTCTGATGTTTCTAACTCCATGTTTTCTGTCAACAAATTTTAAATATATGAATTACATTTTCTTTTTTAAGAAAAATAGTGAAAATTTGGTAAAATGAATATTAACTGGTTAATGCGCGCATTCTGACTGAAGAGAGAAAAATTTCTTTATCGGTCACTCTGTGCTCAAGTGCACATACAAATTTATATGAACATGTTTGTTTATTATAATAAAGGACGTCATATTTTAAGTAGTAAAACAAGCTGCCTTAAGTAAAATAATAAGGTAATGGATACAACAGTACTCATTACAGTGCAAGTTATCTTTATTATGCTCACATTTCTCCAGTCTATAAGGAAATTAACCACACATACATATTATATAGATGATATATACCCGTATCTGTATGTACTGTAGCCCCTGATGTTTTTGAAGAGCAAAACCGAACGCCATACCTGCTGCGAAACATTTACCAATTAGACACTTTGGCATTCACCGCTGTCAACACACGTGGTGAAAGTGTACAAGCTCTTTCAGGACATCAGTGATATGAATGCTTCCGCATGTACAAATGCATGTTTCACGAATACCCTAAAAAAAATGTAAATATGCAAGTCTGCTGTTTTTAATAGCATTGAATTCAGCAAGTGTGAAAGCGCGGCCACCGACACAGTTGAGTGCACTGAAAGCGTGTAAAATGTTTGTCGGCAGCGGATAAAATATCACTCGGTTGGTAAGTTAGTGAGCGCGCGCTGTTTGCTTGACTCTGCTCTTCGTGGGTTGGATTGCCATTTATTTGCGACATTTCTGCCTTTGCCGGTGGTTGCTTTCTCTGGCGTTTTTCGCTCATGCTCATGGGTGCTCATGCGGTGCTTCGGTGTTAAGTTCCACTAACATACACACACTTATGTGTATGATTTTAGTATTGATGGTTTTTTTACTCTCTCATTATATGGCGCTTAAAGCTCGAGTTGTTTTATTTTCTTTTTGGCTTTATTTCTATAAAACCACAAATATTTGTGCGAATTGTTTTCCTTTCCCCGTTTAGTTGTGACTCTGATTTGCGTTAATTTTAGACACAACTTTTATCAGTATGTGTGTTTTTCGCTTAACGGAAGGAATTTGATAGCGCTGGCATCCGTTATATATTTTAATTGCAAATATTGCATATCGGTCTGGATGACTTAATTGGTAATCGATAAAGATTTTATAACTTACGCTTCTGATTATAATCATATGACAGGCTCTGAATTGAACAGAAAACTTAATTTCATTAATTCTATTTTTAGCGGCTTCAAATTTTAGGTTTGGAATCCCTTTTAGTAAGATCCCTCCGCAAACTCTTCCATAAAGTGAAAGTGTGTAGCTCCGATTGTTGCGCGGGATGGCGGATGAGTACTCGAATTACCGACACTCTTGGACGATTATGTATATTGAAGTTGGGCAAGCGATGCGTGGCGCCAACCGAACCATTTCTTTTTGGTAACAACGATTTGCACAAGTTGTTCCAGATTAAGTCTGTTGATAATGAATTGGCAAGCCAAACTAATTGTAAATCAAGTCTAGCTGTCGAAAGGTTCAACTCCGAAAAAAGTATTTTATATATATAATTGGCGTTTTGTAGCCACTGAAGTGATTTTTCGGCCGAGCTTCTCCATCAAATTGTGGCTTTGCGCCTTGATGTTTTTCCAACGAATTGAGGGATCTACAATTTATATTAAGCCGCCTCCGAATGGCTGATGGGTTTTTTACAAAGAGCCTTTATTTCAAGTACAAAATTCACTAGGAGGGACATTCCCTGCCGAGGGGCGACCGCATTTAGAAAATTTACATTAATTTAATATTTGAATGAATTTTCTATAACTTTTGGATGTTGACACCCGGGCCTTCCGAATGTCTGTACGCAATCATAACCACTCGCCTACCGCAGACGCCGAAATAAGTATTGCCAAATTGAAAACTTTACTTCTAAAACATTTTCATTCATAATTGACGTAATGTAACCGTTGAACCGAGCTACTCTTCTAATTTGTGGAATGATTCTTGTATGTCTTGTCTTGTATGTCCCATTCTTGAGGGTCCCACTTTATTTTAAGCTGCCACTGAACAGCTGAGTGATTTTGATGATAAGTTTTTTTCGTATCAGAAAAACGCTCGGATGGGGTTTCGACCGCAAAAGGAAAAATTTACTTTATTTTTTTTACTGAAAGGAATTCGCTATAAGTTTGGACGTTGGACGGTCGTGAACCCGAACCAATGACTATTTGCATGGTAGGATGATGCTCACTCTGCTTTTGCGGTCTCTTGCTGTTTATGGCGAACGGCATACGGAGCAAAGTGATGACCATTTTTGGAAAAAAGCGCTAGAATTTAATTGATGCTGCATTTAATTTTCTCCAGTAACGCTCGTTGTCATGCACCTTTAACATCAAGTTACACCGTAGAGAGATATGTAATGGTATTAAATCTCAAGAAGAAGACAATTTCAATCATTTTCACCAATAAAATGAATCTGATCACCAGTAATCGAATTGTTTCACTGAGTGTTTTAGCATGTGACATTTTACTCTTGAGTCCACCAAAAGTACTCAACAAAGGCATCAGTGGTCTTCAGTAATAGTAACTGATTAGCTAGCCTCAGATTCAAAAAAGTAAGTTGCAAAATTTGCAACAACAATCTGCTGTGAAATTCCTCGTTTTAGGGCTGCCAACTCTTTACTGCACAAAGACGAATTCGAATCTTGCGTTAAATCTCGGATTTGTTGATACCAGCAGCAGCAGCAATAAAGTGAATTCAATGTCGCAAAAAATTTCATTACAAATCCTTAATCAATAAATAAATTTATTATATGAGTTCCACGTAATTTTTTTCATTTGGGTCTCGTTGCTTTACTTAGAAAAAAAAAAATAATGAAATTGACGTAAACAAAAAACGAGTGAAAAAGAGACAAAATAAATAAAACCGCCTTAAGATATGGGTTTTGATTGTAGCCTATTTTTAGCTACAAGTGAATAAATATCAATTTCTTCTTTCACATAAAATGAATTGAATTGAATGGAGCAATGCAAATAAGAACCGCAAATACTTAGGCAATATTTAGATAGCCACCAACAACAAGCACTAAAAATAACTGATTCCGTATAGGTTTTAAGCAGAGCAAGAGGAAAAATAAAATGAAAGAGTATTTGAGTAGGATAGACAATAATATAGTACGTATGTATAAAAATGTAAATACAGCTACGTCTCTCCAGCTGAGCGGCTAACCAACTTAACGGTGAAACCAACAATTACCCACCGACCGATCAAACAACCGTTTATTGCTAAGAAGGCTTGGATTATGGTAAACATTTTCTGTCATTGAGGATTTGTTAGGCGGATTTGTTTGGGCATCTTTCGGTAGCATTGGCTGAGGCGGCCGTAAGAAAGTAGTAGCTATTGGTAGTGGGATCTGCTGATGCACTATTTATGTATTAGCAGATTCATCTCCTCTTTTTACTTAACATAATACTTTGTTAAAAATGAAATGTTGTGGTTGGATTTTATTGTTGTTTTTGCTTGTTTATATGTATATCTCTTTTTCATTCTGCTCTCTTCCACATGACTGTCTGCTGCTGTCGGCTGAACTTTCATTTCAATTTAATGTGCATATATCGCAGCGGATGAAAACAGAAGCGCAGGTGGGTTGCAAGTACATTAGGGTGGTCAAAGCAAGACTCTAGCTTAACATTGGTTAATCTTTAATTTTGTGATTATGCCAATTACGCTTTCTAGAAATCATGAAAGACAAACTTTTTCTGTTTGTCCGTATGAAGCCAGTTAAATCTGAGCTTTCTATATTATATTTAATTAATATAAAATGAAATTTAAATTAAAATATATAAGATGCTCCGGAAATATTTTTAGCAAGAAGTGTGTAAGTAATTAAAATTATTATATATGTACAAAAATAGAATTTTTCAAAAAAAATTTAGCTAAATTTAAAATTTGTAGATAATAAACGAACATTTTAATTTTTTTAATAATATATTTCAGTTTGGGTTCAAAGTGATAATTTTGGTGCATTTTTGACGGTTCTAAAACTCTCAGGACGACCCTTGTAAAATGGCAAAATGAGTATATTGCAAGTACTCCCTTACACACAAAGCTTGGTGGGCGTGCAAAGTACACCCTGTGTGTATGTGATACATTTACATCGCTATGTATGTTAGCATAAATTGCTGCTGACAGTTTTATATGACCCGCTTTAAACGTGCAATCGGTTAAGGTTAAGCTTCCCAGTTGGCAGCTGCCTTTTCCTTTTTCCTTTTTCATTTTTCACCATTTCCTTTTCACATAAAGTAGCTTTACAAATACATAACACATACAAACGTTCATATTTACGTATAACCAATACACATACCTACATACACGTGTATATATGAACTAAGCTTAGCATTTTTTTTTTCATTTTTTGCGGTATAAATATTTCTTTGATGTTGGGAACTTACTTGTCGGATCGAAGCCGGTTATGAATTTCGGGCAGCGTTCGTAGGCGGATGTGCCAGCGGCTGTATCCGGCCAACAGAGCCAACCATCAAAAGTGCCAGCGCAGAAGGATTCACCTGTTTGGAAAGTGTACCAGCAGGGAAAAAGAAAAAACAAGAGGGAATGAATGTATCATGCAATATATATGTAAATGCAAAACAAAGAAACATTTTGTCATCTTCGGTGGTTGTAAGTAAGAGTGGGTGCTTGTAAAAATCTGCACATGTAAGTCGGATGTGTGTGAGAGCTTTGTTTTGTGAAAGTGTGCTAAATGTCAGAGTTCAGACAGAAAAATGCTATTGTTCTTTGGGAAGGTAAAAGCATTATTATGTGTAGGAGTTTGTTTATTATTTACGTAGTTGAAAGAAAAAATCAAAACATTTGGTTACTTTGCAAACTTTCTTTTGTTGGTTTTCACCTATACTTTGAAAAACGGTTGGAAATTTTACATAAAGAAATAAGTTTCATTATTAAAAAAATAAAATAAAATAATTTTAAATGTGTTTCAAAACTCTTTTAGGTAATCAAGCACCCATTTATATACGAAAGTGTTTACTTGAAGAAATCATTCGCCCACGCCGACTAACGTACAACGCGCCACATACCCACACTAAACCACCAACTCACCTGCCGCAAATTTAGCTGCGGTTCTATTCAAGCGTTCATAGCATTCATTTCGCAATGCGTCCAAAATATCCGGCTGTGCTTCCACACCCACACCGCCTTCTTCCATGCTCTCATCACTATTTGCCGCCACTGCCGGCGCCATATCCGTCAGCGTTGCAGATTCACTGCCAATATCGGAGGAGGCGGATGTTGGCAGGCCGGCTAACATTCTAGCCGCTGGTGTTAAACTGGAACTTGTTGTTGTGTATGCAGATAGTAAATTATCCGTGTGAATAGCTGTGTGAGTATTCGCCGTCGCTGTGAGTCCAACTATTGTTAATGTGTGTGCGATTTGTTGGGCTTTGGCGATTATTCTCATCGTTACTCGAGCTACTGCTCTCAGTTTAGTTACTCACTGACGGAGATTTAGTGAGGTGATAGTTTTATTGCACAGCATTGGTCAATCTGACAAGTGCGAAGGACACTTTCACTGCTTCTACAAAGCGAAAACAAATGAGTTGGATATTTATATCAGCAGCTGTGACCCTCATGCACTGCGCTCAGTTCCTTTTCACATGAGTTTATCTAAATATGCTTTGCTTATATTCTGAAGTATGTAAATGTATGTAAATGTATAGAAAGCTTAATGCATTGGCCTGTGATTTATGTAGAATCGAAATACTTTTGCTTAGGTATGCGTGTACGTAGAAGCTCTGAATTATTTATGTATGAAATAGCTACTCCCAGCTTCCGCTTTCGTTCTTTCTTTCTTCTCCTTGAAGCATAATCTATATGTATGTATATTACGGTATGTTGAGTATTTCCTTCTCTAAGCGCACATATTTAATTAGCTAAATTTATGTTAAGGTTAGTAGCTCACTTTTCTAGCTTCGGAAAATTCCTTTATTTTCTAAGTAAGGGTAAATTGGTTTCTATCAGCATTTGCTTAGAGCATAACTTGTTTCCTTTAAATTAATCCATTGAGATTCAACAGCCGTTCGTTTATATTTAATTATTGAACTGTAAGAAGAGAAAAAAATTTGGTTAATACCGAGCTCAAGGCTTTTTATCAATATATACATGTATTATTAAATGAGAAATAATACTAAACTCCGTGTATGTATCAAAAAAACAAGCAAAAAATTCAATTAAGTACTAAAAGTATTGCATTTAAATATAGCACATATGGGTCTAAACAAATCCATTCTTTTTTCAATAGTTGATTTCAGTGATTTATATCTCGTGAAAGATATATTTTATAATAATAAATATTTTATAATAAATAAGAAGAATTGTTGATCACTTAACTCAATAGTGTTTGAGCTCAAGCCAAAAATGGATACCAGCAAAGAGAAAAAAGTGATCAGCTTTGGCTAGAAGGAGGGGAGTTCTGTTTCATAGGGACAGCACCATACTACAGGCAGAGGGCTCGAGGCTTTGGTGGAGAAGTTTTTATGCTTCCAATCTATAGTGGTAAGGAGCCTTTTAAAATTCATTGTCCCAGTTTTTTGCCAATAGGCACAAGGGTTTCTATGACAGAGGCATAACGACATTTGATAATGGAAAAATAGATTGCTTTCAATTATGTACGAATAAATTTAACCGCTGAAGCGATTTTCGGCCGAGCTCCTCTTCCAATTTGTAGTTTTGCGTATAGATATGTTTCCAACAAATGGAGGAACATACAGTTTATACTAAACCGCCTCCGAACGGCTGATGGATTTCCCTTAACTTAATCTTGTATTCAAATTAGTTTTCTATAACTTTTTGGATTTTAGTACGATACCAGGATTCAATCCCGAGCCCTCTGAATGGCAGAACGCCACGCTGACCGTTTGGTGCATTAAGTTTTCATGTGTTACCATATTAACTTTTACTAAATTTCAGAATTCTAAATTTCTTTAATTACAATTTTTTATGGAAAATTACAGTTATTTAATTAATTTTATTAACATAAATTCTAGAAATTTTAACTTCAAAATTTTTGCTAAAAAAATTATAAAAAAAGCAGGAGAATATCGACGAAAGGCGAAAGTACATACACGTACATATAATCTACCTTCTCATCTCGGCCGCCAATATAAATATTTGTATACACGCATATTTAATGTGCCCAACATTGAAGTATCACATTTCATTTGTTTAAAGCTTTTTCATGCGTGTACTGAATGGTTTTGTAAAAAAAACATATACAGACTGCGGAATTTCGTAAAGCTTTTAACTGTTACGTATATATGTGTATTTCAAGCGAAATGATTGCCATTTTTATATTAATTTCCGTTACAAACAGCCAGCTACACTACGAAAATCAATCACGCTCACAAAAGTCACGCACACAAATACAATATGCATGACATAGATTTAAAGTGAAGAAAATAAACGATTCAGGTCAAACTAATTCAAACAGCGAAGCGGCCGGCTGCTCCAAAAGAAAACGGTAATTCGATAGCGCAAAATATCATGAAAAATAATCATGAAAAAAAGCTAAAATGTTGTATGCATATATTAATTTATATTCTGTGTTTTCAGCGAAAAAGAAGTGAGTAAATAACGTTGTTACCACAAAACGATTGCTGAAACGATAAACAATTTATTCGCCGCGTTGTTTTATATTTTTTAATTAAAACTACGCTAAATAATTGAGTCTCAGCATTATTTTCCTTTGTTTATCTATGTTGGGAGATTTTAAAAGAAAACAACCTTTTCTAAAATCATTCTTCAACAACTCGATTAAGTTTTGAGGAACATGAAGTTCACAAGGGGTCGACGTCAAAGAACCGATCGATTACTTTAAGACTTGTGGATTGATTTTTTCTTTGACAATAAGAATGCTGGAAATGTCTACGAGGGGGTTTTAAGCCTTACTGTCTGCTTATCAGCCTACTAATATACTGACATTGATGATATTTGACTTCGAAAAAATCTTCAGCCCAGTGACAAGACGTCGTCCAAGCCCATGCCATAATGTTTTTTTTTTCTGTATATGGTTTAATTTTTATTTAGCTTATGACAATAATTATAGAATTAAGGAAGGCACTTAAACCGACGCTCTTCGTCAACTTCTACTTTGCCAATATCATTGTACTTCACTCGAACACAACAAAAGAGGAAGATAATTTATATGTATAAACTAAAACAACAAATGAATTGAAAGCCTAATGGATTTTTGTGAGGAGCTTTTACTTCATGTCGGAAGTACATTCGGAGGTGCTGACATTCCCTGGCAAAGGGCGAACGCTATTAGAAAAGTTAATTCCAAATAATTTTGCCTGTTGGTGCATAAAAGCTTCGAGCCCATGATCCACGCCCTGCTCTCCACCATGTTATTGCGGCAGCGGTGCTGCAAATTGGAAAGTAATCTTTGTGCGCGATAGCCGAATATCACATTTTCATGTCGAAGCTAATTGGCTATAAAATTTCATAAACTACATTTTTATCAAAATTTTTAAGCAACTTTCGTACATTTTTTAAAAATTTAATTGTTTTAATTGGTTACCACAGGCTGTTTTCAATTAAAATCAAAAGATCAACTTTCATATTTTTAATATTTGCTCATTTTAATTTCAATATTAATTTTTTTAATTGCACGTACACATATACAAAAGCATACTAATATGCATGCGTGTGGCATTTTCAATTAACAAAATTTCAAAAATACAACTCCACACTTGCGTTGCATGCCACGCATTTACACCTGTACGTTAATTGACATAAAATATTTGAAATGCAACATTCAAGCATTTAACTTATAACAGATATATATTATATATATATGTACATGCTTACATATATGCGCATAATTGCATTCCACTCATCACCTTACTTTATTTGAATACTTGAATGTTCTGAGGTGTTGCTGCAGTTCAGTTGCACTTTGCATTTTTTATTACTAATTAACAATTAATTTTAATTTTTAATGAAATTTTTTTATTACAATGTTTTTGTGTACGCGCGAAGACGCACGTAGCCAATTGTTATTGTTAATATAAAAATATGAATGAATATGAATTACAGTCGGATATACACATTTACAAGTTGACACTCTCCGTGTAGGCAGAGCGTACGCACGCATGCATTAAATACATCAAAAATATTTTTTATATTTCTGCTGGCTTTTTTGTTTCAATTCTATTTTAATAGAAAAAATAATTTTGTACTTTTTTTTTAAAAATCGTCTTATTTCAGCTTAAATTGCTACACTCGCAACTGCTGCAGCCAATTTAAAAAATATAAACAAACACTGAAGAGCTTAAATTTATTTTGTAATGAAAATTGCTAAGCGGAAGCAATTCAACCTCACTTTATTACATCGATAACTATCGAGTTCATCAGTTTTCATTTCTCGATGTGCATTTTAATTGATTGGAGAATATAAAATTAATTTATTATGATTACAGAAAATGCACACACATATACATACATACGAACACATATGCACATATATGCAATTTAAAAAAAAAACGATCATATTTATGGCATTAAAATTGCATAATTTCATGAATGTATAATTTAATTAAGCGTGCGTGTGTGTATGTGTGCAAAAATGAATGAAATTTTAAATAAACAATTGCTTACATACAGGTGGGGCTATGTGTGTTTTTGGCAATACAAATACAATATATATATATATGAGTATATTTATATATATATATATATTATTTTATTATTTTATTATGCATATTTTTAATATTTCCAAATTTAAGGCATTTATTTTGTAATATATTCATTAAATTTTCAAAAGTGTTGCTTTTTACCAAAATTATGGTGAATATTTTTTGACGTTTACTAAGTTTTTACTCACTAGTTAATTAAGATAAATTGCAGCTGTTAAATATTTAATTTGAATCTTAATCTTCTCCTTTCCATTGTTTATCGAATATTGATTACAAAAGCTTGGAAAGCACAACGAAATATTATTTAAAATTTTTTTTTTATTTTTAACAACATACAGACAGACACGTATACATATCTAAATCTGCATGTTTGATATTTCTAATATTTTATTGAAATTGAAATAGAAAACTCAGCGGGTAAAGTGTTGTGGTAATAATGCGTTTTCTCCACTAAAAAAAAAAAAACAATAAAAAACTTAATTGAATATGAATGCCTTTGCTTTGGCGCTTTTGTTTACTTTTCAAAATTCTGTTATGAATTATTTGAATTTCATTAGGTGCTGTTTGCCGAAATATTTTTGTGTTTGTTAACAGATGAGTAGCACAGGGCTTTGCGGAATTCCTGCGCCTTCCAACCGGCTGTTTAGGTGTAGAGGAAATATTTGCGAGTATATTTGTTGAGTAGTGAAAGTGAGTGAAATTACTAAATTAGCAAGTGCATGTAATGTGATTTGTTTAAAGAACGAAACAGATTTGTCTTTGTCTTAATTCTATTTATATGTACATACAGAGAGAAAAATTTTATATGTTCAATTTATTTAATGGGCAAATGAAGGCATCAGAATTGAGCACCGCTGCCTGTTTTCGGCACTACTAGTGCCTCACACACATCGCATCCAAAATGAAAGCGTGTTTAAACTCAGCAACGAAAAATTACTTATACAATTTGTACTAAAAACAATGCAACATCGGTGCAAGAAATCCATAAAATAAAAGAATAACGGTATAATATAGCACACAAAACATATTCATTTTAAGGGCTGTGCTTATCTTAGCAAATTTCAAGGCCAGAATGTGGGTATGTCGGAAATATCCAAAAAAAAAACTGGAATCCTAGTTTAGGCATCAAGAGAACTGGAATTAATAAACAAACACAATACAATATTTTACAGTAATACTTTAATAGGCGTGTATTGAAACGGCATATCAAAAAAATTTCCTGCAGAGAAATATACTACTTATTAAGCCAGCCCAACTTTTTGGCATATTTGCACTGACTAGCTTGCGCCCATATATTTCCCATGTAAGTAACTGTTTTTTTTTTAAACGGCGATATCATACCAAATGTCACATGTCAATTTTATATGAATGATTTTGACGATTGTTTTTTTTTTTTGGTGATTCGAG